TCTCACAAACATAATTCAAATTTGCAATAATTGTATTATATAGTGTATTACCAAAAAAATTTAAAAAATTATTATTAATACGAAAAACAAAATAAAGATTTAATTTGTGATTCAAACTCAAAAATTAATTTGAAAAATCTGTATTAATAAAGAAAATAATTAAATAAATATTCTAAACACTTGCTTTTTTAATAAATAATTACGAATAAGTTGCCGTTTTGAACCTAATTACGAATATATTGCACTCATTTACGCCCAATAATGATATTATAGCATTAAATTTAAAATTCAAAATTCAAATAACCTCCAATAAGTTGATTGCATTTTGTATTTAATAGGAGTTGATTGTGTTTTGTATTTAATAGGAGCTGATTGCGTTGTAATTTATGAGTTGGTTACAGATTGTCGCCAATTCAAATAAATTTGCTAGTGGTTATTTGAATTTTGAATTTAATGTTATAGGAGTTGATTGTGTTTTGTATTTAATAGGAGCTGATTACGTTTTGTATTTAATAGAAAATTTGGTGTCGTCTTATTTATAGATAAGTTAATCCACTTTGGTGCCATCTTTATACTATCATTGTTGTAAATATGAATTGTGTTTGTGAGAGATAAAATATATCAAATGAGATGTCATTGCGTAGATCTCGAAAAGTTACGTGGAATCAAAAAAAGAATTACCTCATTCGGATACCCGAGTTAAAAGTTATGGCCTTATAAAGTTTTACGGTTAAACTATTAATTTTTTGTGCCACGTGTCAACACCAGACGAGTCACGCCTAATTTGGGCGTGAATGACTGCAATAAATTTGAATATAGTTTCCAAACTGCCTATTCGTAATTAATTATTAAAAGTGTAATATTTTAATTTTTTGCCCTTAATTTTTTTTTTACAAAAACAATCATACTCTTTTTTTTTTCTTTTTTTTTTCTTTTTTTGCTATGATCTTTGACTCTTGAGGATTAGTTGTTGACAAAAATAAAATAAAAAAGAACCATACGTGTTTGAATTTTATGTCGCACTAAACAAACTTATTTTACCAAAATTTTCTCTTATAAGCACTCACAAACATAACAAAAATGTCTTTTATTGTTTCACTTATGCAATATGGAAATTTACATCGGATCACAACTATGTTTGGTGTAACTCACAAACAAACATGCAGTTGTGGCAGATTTGAGTTTTAAAGTGTTCATCTTTAATAGCTCTAGTTTAATTTTACCAACTTCAAAATATGATATTATAGGAGGGAATTTTGAGAGGTTACCACAAACATGATGCACCCAGAAATTAAACCGGTTTTGTATCTGCCAATCCATGCGTCGGCAAGTACAGCTGCAAATATGGTGAGTAAATAGGTGGCACCCAAGTAATTGGTGAGCATGTTGGCTGCATCTGCTAGATCATAATGCATTATCCCATTGAAGTATGGCACCGAGTTCACAGCTAATGAGAAAGTTGCTAAGTTCTCAAAACCAATCATCGCTGCACCCAAACCCAAATAAAAGTCACCACATTATTGACTACGTACCAAACAATCTGCAAAGAGAATCTTAACCTAAAAAACATTTTGCACTTATGGTATACTAAACTGAACCCCAAAAGAAATATAAAAAAGAAAAGAGAAGTAAACATTTTTTTTTATACAATTCTTGCTTTTAGGTAGTAAAATGATATAATCTACCTTAACTTTGGTTCATCTTTCTTGTCATAGCTAACAAAGAAAATGTCGATAATCTTACTTGTTCAGAGTTATTATCAAAATTGTAAACAACCAACTCACTTAAAAGCTCAAGCTATTAATGAAGGTCCATAAATAGTTTTAAATATTTTATCTCTTTAATACAATCCCTTGTGAAGTTCTCATAAATAGTTTTATATATTTTATCTCTTTTTTTTTTTTGGTTACAATATATTTTATCTCTTTAATACAACCCTTTGTGAAGTTTTTTGGATTTGAAGTGTTGATATTGCATGCACCAATTTTTTTTTTAAATGGAGACAGTATCCAAGGCTCTTGTTAGAGATACATAAAATTATTAAAGATATTTTCACCAAATAGCTGAAGCTTTTGGATTGAATTGGTTCTCTATATGATATAAGAGCCTCAGTGACCAAGTGGCCACGAGTTCGATCATCACCGTCCCTCGCTTTTTCTTGTAAAATTTCTTAGCACTGGTAAGTGAGTCTGTGTAATGTCCACCGTTCAAACCTAGTGGGTTCTCATGTGAAGAAACATATTAGAAATATATAAAACCATTAAAGAGACCTTCACCTAGCACCTTAAGTTTTTGGGTTAAATTGATTCTCTACAACTCTGATCACATGTAAAAAACCATTTCAAATAAAAGCTTAGGCAGGTAAGTGAAAATCGATCAATAGTTCTGTATTATATCTCTCCAACAATTACCTAGTACTAGCCAAGAAGCTTTCATCCCCCCATATTTGTATTTCAGCGCGCTTCTTCCTTTCCAATCCACTTTATTTCCATCAACCAGCTGAAGCTCTGCTTCCACCTTGTTATCAACAACCTCAGAATTTTCCTGCATGGACAAAAATGAAAATAAAATAAAATAAGCAGCAAAGAAGTCTAAAGAAGTGAGGAAGATACATGGTTGTGTGAAAAACTGAGAAAAATAAAAGGACCATGGCTCTGCAGAGCACTTTTGAGTTGCCAATTCAAATGAGAGAACAGAAGTGGCGAAAATACAATAGCAGCAGGGAACAAAGATGTCTGTATATATATACACTCAATTCAGCTAATACAACGTTGATTAATGATGCTTGATATTATATTTTAGACAGGAACCTTCTTAATTTACAACGTAAAAAAATATCTTCTTCTGCATGAAAACAAAGGAATACTAATTAAATGATTTAATTACGCCATCCTTGTTTATACGTAGCCGAATGCAGCAAGGCGATGTGCCATTTGTTAGGCCGGGTAGCTAGCGGGTAGGAGTAGCAGCCGATAAACAATTAGGGTTTTGAAGTCAACAGATATAGATTTATCCATCTTCATATTTATCCACAAAAACGAAAACGCGATCTTAATTCTTAACCAATATTTTTTGTTCTGATGCGTAGACTTTAAGCTCTTCTGTTTTATGTGTGATTAATGCATGCATGCGAGCAAACTTTTAAAATAGAGTTCACCAGAGGATAAGAAAGTAAGATTTGTTTATTAAAGCGTCACGTTCATCGAGGAACTTTGTATTTTATTTTTTATTTTTTATTTTGTTTATAAATAATACTTGAATGGTGTAGGGATTTTTTTAAGGGAAAATAGTTTGTCCTTTTAAATGACATAAATTATATATTTTTATCCTCTTATAACTATGTATTCTTAGGGGTATAAATGGGCTAGACCGGTCTACAGAGGTCTAGGACCTAACCTATATTAGGTCAGACTTGACTTATTACAAATAGTCAAACAGAACAGACCTAGACTTTTAAAAAAATTATTTAGAAAGCAAGTCATAAGTTTTTTTATATATGCATGTCGGACCTATAAACATACAAGTCGACCTATATCATATTATTTATTTTAAATAAAATTATTATTTTAATCATTTTGAATAATAAAGTACTATTATTTTAGTTATTTTTTTAATTATTGAATGTTTAATAGGTTTAAACAGGCTAAAAGTCATATGCCAAAATTTTTATTTTTTAAATATAGGTCATACTAGACTTGTAATTTGGGCCTATACAAGCTAACAATTCATGTTAGGCCTAAGGTTTTTTACATAAACAGGTCTATTTAAGCCAAAGTCTAACCTAACTTAGACTATTTACACCTCTATATTCCGGGGAGTACATAGTTATATATTAAAGTTATATTTTTTCTTTCTCTTCAGCAATTGCCGGCTGACGTGGAAAGTGAAAAAAAGTACAACATTAATATTATAAGGGAAAAATGTTTCTGCAGTTAATGCAGATAAGTTATTTTTTTTTCCCAAAACGACGTCGTTTTGGTATTGAAATCTTAAAAAATTATGAATATAAAGACTATTATAACCCTGGAATAAATTAAAATTACAAAAATATCATGATTTCCGCCCCAAAACGACGTCGTATTGGCTTACTACAGATAAGTTATCTGCAGTAACTGCAGAAAAAACGAACCCATATTATAATTATGTATTCTCCGCCTCCCCGGAGTACATAATTATAAAAGAGGGTAAAATGATATAACTTAAGTCATTTAAAAGGACAAAACATTTTCCTTTTTTAAAAAAGAAAAAAATTGTGTATTATGGTTAATTGAAAATTGAGTTTTCCATTAAATATTTATTTAGAAATTGAGTGTATTAAACTAAGCTAATTATTGACGATTAAGTAATCTTTTATTTTAATTCAAGATATTTTGTTTAAAATTTTCATGATTGTGAGTTTTTCGATATAAAGTGTGAAATCGGAACAACAATATGTAATTAGTGTCTGATTGGGAGGTTTTGTTTTTTTTAGTTTTTCTTCTTCGTACAAGTTAAACCAAACATGTTTTTATAAAAAATTTTATAATAAAAAGAGCTTTTTAATAATAATAAAAAAAAGTCAAAAGCCAAAAGATTTTAGTAGGAATTTGTTTAAGTTTTATCAGTTTTTTTTTTTTGAAATATGTATTTTTTTTTAAATAAATAGCTTTTAAATAATTTTTAAAGTAAAAATTTTATTTTTATTTTAATAACTCTCTTTTTCAACTAAGTAACTCTTAACTTAAAAAAAAATGTCAAACAATCACTTAATCTCAAAGCACCCAAACATAATATCTTTCTCATATCATAATTGATATGGTGAGCAACGCCTACGAGGATGAATATAAAGATGAAAGAAGGGTGAATTTTAATTTTAAAATCAAAATTAAAATTACACATGAATTCTGAATTTCTTTGAGACAACAACCTCCAAATTATGAAGAAAAGAAATGACCATATCTCCAATTTGCCATACACAAGTCTACGTTAGAGCAATAATACCTTTTTTTCCTTTCCTATATTCACTCCTTTGACTTGCCATTAGGGACTACTCTAGGGCCCTTAGCCCGGTACTTGTACCTCTTTGAAACAAACAAATAGATACAAAAGTTAATCGAGCTCACAATGGAAAGGAACAAATAGAACAGGTTTAGATGGTTTCTGTTAATATTGTTCCCTGCTAACCAACCCCCACTTTTAGTAATATGCTTGGTGGCACCATTCACGCTCTTTACCATTATGGTACTTAGAAAATACCCAAGTCCCATAGAGCTCCAAAGGAAGGAGGTTGATGTAGATTTAAGCCCTTTGGGCAACTCTGAATAGAAAAACTGCAGCAGCCCCACATAGCTAAACATGTCAGCTATGCCAAACATGAAGTACTGAAAAGAAAGCCAAAATATGCTTATGGGCAATGGTTGAGATACTGGTGAAGCATCAAGCATGTTGTTTTCTCTAGCCACTCCTTTCCTTTTTACCTCTATAATTGAAGCCACAGCCATGGATATGGAAGTAAGTATTAGACCAACTCCTATGCGCTGCAAGTGGGTAACCCCAGTAGGGATACCAGTGATTTTTCGCAGAACAGGCACAAAATAGCGATCATAGAGAGGAACAACAATGATTAAGAACATAATTGGGATGATTGGGAGGGATGCAGGTGGGATCTTAAAATGCTTGTTGAAGCTTTGGTCCATGGTGTAGCCCTGTTGGATTGAAAAAGTTTGTAGCTGAGCTAGGCAAAGTGTTGATACAATTGAGCAGCAGAATATTGGGAAAATGTTAAGAATGATTTTGGCATTTTCAACTTGGGTAACCCTGCAAAGTTTCCATGGGTTTTGAACTTCTGGTTTATCAAATTGGTCATCAGATTTTATTCGGATGGCTGCTCTATCCAAGAACCTGCGAAAGAGAGCTTCAGTTTAGAACAAATTACCCTAGAATTTGGGAGATATTTTATAATGTTAGCAGAGGTGAAACTTTTACTTAAGAAACATCAATCTGAGACCTTTTACTTTAACCTTGTATCAGTTTTACTAATGAGTTATGAGTTATAACCAACTGAAATACGATTATGTGTGTGTTTTAGATACGAGTGAAATTGAACCTGAAAATGTCTCTATGAGGTAGAAACTCTGTTTCTACAGCAGCTTCCTTATCCTGTTCAATCTCATAAAGATCTATTGGATTTTCAGGAAGAGGATGATTTCTATTACGGATTGCAGCAACATAGACCTGGAAAATACATGAGAAAAAATTAAAACAAATAGCTTGATCAATGCTTCCTCAAAATCCTCAACTATTTCAAACTTCGTAAGATTCAATTCATTTCAAATTCAGAGTGAAACCCTTCATATTGTTCTTCAAGCTTAAAAAATATAAAACTACATAAAAGTTGTTTCCTTTATGTGTTCAATGCTTGCCCCATTCCTTTTCTTTTCCCCTTTTACCAAGTCCACGAGACCTCATATATAACTTTAAAAAAGTTATTTTCCCTATAAATAGGACATCATATATATGTCATGCCATAATGATAAGAATTGGATTGGTAACAATCACTTTTATAAGCACTAGAATTTAATTTGAGTCAAAATCTCTGCTACTTAGTTAAACATATGGAGTTTCCTAATATTTTTAGGGGAACGATCTGTTTACAGTTTTTTTTTATAAATTTTTGCAAATTATATTATGTAATCTCTGAAGTACATAGTGTAACTTAGTCTACTTTCGAGAGAGTACATAGTGTAATTTGTAAACAAAAAATTTGTAAATATAACCATTCCTATATTTTTATCTGTATAATAAATAACGAGGCTTTCAAAAGTGTAAATACCTGTATGATCTCAACGTAACCATTTGTTCCTTGAGCAACATGAATTCTGTATAGTGGTAATCCTGAGGCTAAGATTATTATACCTAAAAATATAGATACGGTGCCAATCCCAAAACCCCAATCCCATCCTTTGTTGTCTTGTATCCACACAATGAACGTTAAACTCACTGCACGACCCATGGAAACAGCTACTAAGAGACTGTTAAAGAAACTTGACATATTCATTGCTTCTTTAGGGTCTGTTTCATCAAACTGATCAGCACCATGTGATGGCAATGCAGTTTTGACTCCTGCACTACCAAAGGCCAACGAGTATAGGCCAATTAAGAGAAAAGCTTCCGGGCCTCCACTCAGTTTTTCACAATGAACAGTTATATCAAAGATGTTGCAAATGGGTGGCTTAAGGACACGAAAGTGTGCTTGTGCTGTAAGTAATGCAAGTCCCTGCAACACAATTAATTTGACAACAACCTCGTGAATTTGTATTCAATAAGTCACACTAGAAAATAAATTTAAGTTAGATTTCTTTAGAAAAAAATAATTTCTCTCCTATTTGATCTATATAATGATATAACGTCGAGGGATTCAATTCAAGTCCTAGTTAGTTTAGAGCTAGGACAAAGAAACTCAAGGAAACAACCAGTGAACTGATTTTATTTATTTTTTAACTTATATTTATCTTTAAGTATTTTTTTCATTTTAAAAGTTTTAAATTAGTTTAGAATTAACCTATAAAAAGATATTTGAAAATCTTAATATAGAAAAATTGAATATTTTATTATTTTGATGACTATAACTGAGAATGAGGTTTCTCTTAATTATCATTCCTAACTTTCCATTTATATCTTTTTTAGACGTTATCGACATCACTATTTCCATTGAGTTCCTCATTTTGAATTTGGATCAGCCCCGAATTTGCACGAGTTTAAGGCCTATTTTGGGCTTTCGTCGTTTCTAATTTGGGCAGGTCTTATATATATATTCCCTTTCAGTACTATAGGGTTCGTATTTATAATCCAATTGATCCATGTTATGTTTATTTGGGGGCAAACTTGAATGTTTACCAAGCTTCATATCAAATACTTAAATTTCACTGTTTAATATATATTTTTTTTTTTATAACAACTGTTTAATATTTTTAAACATATGTATGAGATGAAGCTCTAGAACATTAACTCTTTTGAGTTTCTTATATTTTTATGAAATCAATTATTTTTATAGACATCTAAGTTTCCAAGGTATACTACTTGTCAAAATCAAAACAAACACATGGCATTGTACTTATATCCTTATGTTAAAATTTAAATAATCTGAAAGCTTATATAATTTAAATGACGTAAGGATCAATCCTTATGTACAACCAACGATCATTGGCGAATATATAATTAAATATTAGGTTTTAGTTGAGGGGCGCAATGATCCCTAGAATTTTAAATGGTTGATGTTCTTTTGTTGTAAATTGCAAGGTGTTTTATTCTGTGCGGCTGTGTAAAACAACTCCATCGTATACAATAAGAAGTCTTAAAGATGTCAGATGCATGGCATCCTTCCTTCCTTAGAAAAATAAAAAAGGTTTGTTCTCAATTTTGAACACGGAATTGTTTTTTTTTTTTTACAAAAAAAAAAAAAAATACTCTTTTTTCTTTTTTGCTATGATCGATCTTTAACTCTTGTCCATTAATTGTTGGAAAAAAAATACCATACCTGTTTGGAATTTATGTTGCACACGAATAAGAGATAAGATGTTGTTATTATCAATTAGTGTTACTATCAATATCATTATCAATTTGTTTCAACATTATATCGATTATGTTTGTTGAGATATATAAAATCATTAATATAGCCTCATCCAACAGTTTAAGCTTTTGAGTTGAATTGGTTCTTTACATGGTATCAGAGCCTCGGTGTACCGGGTTGAATTGGGCTGTGCATTGTCATGTGAGGGAGCGTGTTGAGAAATATAAAACCATTAAACAACTTAAGCTTTTGGGTATATTTATTTTCACCTTTGTATGGTTATGATTCTTCATATTTAATGTGAAAAACATTAAATATGAGAAATTGAGGAATCATAACCATACATGAGTGAAAATAAATATAAAATATTAAATATAGGGAGAAGAAAAAAGGTTTTTAGAAAGTTAAATCAGAGCGTAAAAATAAATATAAAGTATTAAATATAGGGAGAAGAAAGAAGATTTTAAGAAAGTTAAGTCAGAGCCAAGATTTTTAAAAAGTTAAATCAGAGACGTTGGATCAATATAATCGATTTAACGGTGAAACAATATGTTAATGACATTAGTAGTAACAATATCCTATCTCCACAAATAATATGCAAATTTACATCTGATCACAACTATGTTCGGTGTAACTCACAAACACACACCCATGCAGTTGTGGCAGATTTGAGTTTTAAAGTGTAGTGTACTCTTTATTAATAGCACTAGTTTTACCAACTTCAATCTGATATTGGGAGGTAATTTTGGGAGCTTACCACGAACATGATGCACCCAGAAATTAAACCGGTTTTGTATCTGCCAATCCATGCGTCAGCAAGTACAGCAGCAAAAATGGAGAGTATGTAGGTGACACCCAAGTAGTTGGTGAGCATATTGGCTGCATCTGCTAGATCATAATGCATTATCCCATTGAAGTATGGCACCGAGTTCACAGCTAATGAGAAAGTTGCTAAGTTCTCAAAACCAATCATCGCTGCAACCAAACCCAAATAAAAGTCACCACATTATTGACTACCAAACAATCTGCACCGACAATTCTATTTTTCACTTATTATGGGATACTAAACTGATCCCCAAAAGAAAAATAGAAAAGAAGGAAGAAGTAAACATTTTTCTTGCTTTTGAGTAGTACAGGGTCGCTTTTTTTAGTATTTTTAGAAAAAAAGTTATACTCACAAAACTTCCGGAAATTATTTTTTCTAAAATATTAAAATTATTTTTTTTTCTTTTTTTTACGTCAACACAAAACTTCCGAAAAAAAAAAAAAAAGTTTTATGACTACGTACTCTTAGAAGTACATAATTTTTTTTCTACCAACATAAAAATATGATTTTCCACCTTAACTTTGGTTCATCTTTCTTGTCACTACTAACAAAGAAAAGGTCCATAATCTTATTCGTACTAAGTTAGTATTATTACTTAGTATGAGCCAAGAAGCTTTTGTCCCCCCATATTTGAATTTGAGAGCGCTTCTTCCTTTCCAATCCACTTTATTTCCATCAACCAGCTGAAGCTCTGCTTCCACCTTCTCATCAACAACCGCAGAATTTTCCTGCATGGACAAAAATTAAAAAAATAATAATAAATAAGCAGCAAGAAAGTCAAAAGGGGTTAGGAAGATACATGGTTGCGTGAAAAACAAAGAAAAATAAATACCATGGCTCTGCAGATCACTTTTGAGTTGCCAATTCAAATGAAAGAACAGAACCGGCCAAAATACAATAGCAGCAGGGAAGTGGAACACCGATGTCTTTCTATATATACATTTATTTCAACTTAAGACAAGACAAATGATGCATGGATGCGTGATAGACTGTTTTATTTGGACAGAATATATACGAGTTAAGGTGTGCAAATTTCGATTCGGGTTTTATACTAAATCAGAACCGGAAAATTGGTTCAGTGGGCAAACCGAATCATTTTAAAAAGTGGTTCAATTTGCTTTGATATTAGCCGGTTTCTGAGTGCTAGTGAATGGTTTTTGGTTTGTGTCTCTCCAACCTTCCCACAATTGCGAATTTTAGTATTCAAAACCACTACGGGGCAGGTCAATTTCCTAAGATATAGTTGGTCGCCAGGCCCGGCAAAACGGACGAGTTTTACAACCTACCTAACCTTTTTTTTTTTTTTTTTTTTTTTTTAGAAAAGTGTTTATCCTTTTAAGTGACATAACTTATACCCTTTCGCTCTCACGAAGGGGTGGGACTCACATCTTAATTTTTTTTGTCAACTTTTTCTCCTCCTTTATCCATATCTTTCTCTCTCTTAAAATGACACAACTCTATATCGTTTAAAATGACACACACTTTACTCCTTATTTTTTTAATGCAAGACAGGATTGCCCATAGGGTCAACCCGCCCGCTATCAAATAAGGCAGAGCGTGTACAGAACCTTGGAATACACACTAGTTGCCCACACAATCAATGTGGGACTATATATCTCAACACGCTCCCTCACGCAAGAGCCTTTTGAGCTAGAAGCGTGGAATTGCACAGGCCCAATTTTTGGTTTACCTTTTTGTGCTTTTTATTTTAATTCCATTTGAAAGTGGGGGGCCGTGAGAATCGAACTTGTGATCTTATATACCATGTTAAAGAACCACTTCAACCCAAAACCTTAAGGTGTTGGGTGAGGATCGAACTCGTGATCTCATGGTCACTGGAGCTCTGATACCATGCAAAGATCCTCACCCAACACCTTAAGGTTTTGGGTTGAAGTGGTTCTTTAACATGGTATCAGAGCTTGAGTGACTATAAGGTCACAAGTTCGATTCTAACGGCCCCCACTTTCAAGTGGAATTAAAATAAAAAACACAAAAAGGTAAACCAAAAAATTGGGCCTGTACAATATCCACGCTTCAAGCCCAATGTGCTCTCGTGTGAGGGGGCGTGTTGAGATATATAGTCCCACATTGATTGTGTGGACAACTAATGTGTCCTTTATAAGGCCTTGGACACTCTCACCTTTTGAGCTAGCTTTTGAGGTGGTATATCCCAAGGTCATTTAACATGGTATCAGAGCTTCAGTGACCATAAGGTCACGAGTTCGATCCTCGTCGTCTCCACTTGTGAAATTAAATAAAAAAGCACAAAAAATTGGGCCTATCCACACTTCAAACCCAAAAGACTCTTGTGTGAGGGGGTGTGTTAGAGAATATAATATAAATCATTAAAAAGATCATCACCCAACACCTTAAGGTTTTGGGTTGAAGTGGTTCTTTAACAAGGTAGATCAAATTTTTTAACCTACTTTCAAAAAGAGGGCCGAGCTGATTGATTTATTTTTTATAGGATTAATGGCAGAGTGAATTACCTACTTTGCCACTTCCAGAGAAAATGATTTGGATTTTAAATTTGTTCAGAAAAATATCTTGCGGTTCAATTTGGTTGATTTATTTTTTTTTCATACTTTTATGGTTCATTTTGATTTGGACGGCTGGTTGGGTTTCAAAAAAATAATTCAGTTTTTAAATTAATTTGAAAAAAATAATTAAATTCTTGAATAATAAAAATAGGGAAATCATGCTTTCATATTGTATGAGATTAATCTTTCATGTTATACTCACATAAGAAAATGTGTCTTTTCTTTTCTTTTCTTTTAAGAGGGGGGATATTTTTACTATCAAAAAATTTACCACCAACTCACTACTTCTATAATCACAATTGGATCAAAAAGAGAAAATATTGTAAAGTTTTTGAAAAGAAAAAAAATATTGATCTAATGATAATTATGAAAGTAGTGAGTTGGTAGTAAATTTTTTTGATAATAAGAATATATCTCATCTTTTTTTAAATTGATGAACTCACTTTATTTGTCTCTCAACATACTATATAAGAGAAGTAATCTCCACTAAAATAATTAATTCTTATAGTACAATTTTAACCGATTCACAGTTCACTCGAATTCGATTTATTTGATTTTTTCTTTTCACATCCTACGTTGTTGGTTGCTAGCAGACTGTATTCCATGCGACTTATTCAACTTTACACGGGAAGATTTCAAGGATGCAGTCTATCTGTCAAACAATAATCAATGCGGGTATCACTTGGCTATATCCAAAAGTTACATAATATTATCCTTAGTCAAATGTTCCATTAGAATTAAATTAAAACTGCCACAGCCTTAATCTGTATTAAATGTCATGACAGTTTTGTTTAGATGATATCTAAAAATTTGTCGCGGAAACAATATTCAACCTGGGGATATGCCCATGACTAAATGCCTAACCATAATATGGAATACGTATCTTCATTGTTGGCTCCGAACATTTGGCTGGCGTGGGGCCCGGTGACTTGTCGGTGGAAGTTATTGTTGCAAGTCCGTGTCTCCTCTGACTCTAGTGTGGCTCCTCTCTTACCTTATAAATGGAGGGAAGAGAACGTGGGTTGTGGTTTTGGTTCCACGTAGACATGCAGGGATGCTTACTTGGCTGTGTGCAGTGGGGTTATGTTGCCATTTGTTTTTTTTTTTTTTTTAAGTTAACTCAATCTTAATTATTTTTTTGAGGCGAGTTGGCTTTTTTTAATATTCGCACAAACTTCGATCTTTAAAGCAGCTATGAAACTTATTCGGAGTGCGGAATGGGATAGGGATGAAAATATTTAAACTCCTTCCAAAAGTAATATTTGAGAATTAAACCGTAGCCCTTTTCTTTCTACTTACAGAACTTCCTTATTACTACCAACAAAGCTATCACCATTTAATAGTATGTTGCATTTGTTAGGTTGTAGGAGTAGGAGCTGATAAACAATTAGTAATGTTCGAGTCAAAATTTTATTTTTTGATAAATTGATCGGTTGATAAATTATTCCGTTACTGTTACTCCGATTTGAGTAAGGGTGTTCGCGGTCTGGATTGGATCTGTTTTTGAAGTAAAAATCATCTAATTCAATCCCTTCGATTTAATCATGTAATCATCCATTCGGTTTGATTTGTTTTTCAAATCTGATCCAATCCAATTTTATTTGGTTTGGATTGGATCGATTTTCGGTTTTTTGAAAAGCCTAAGATTTGTATGATAACTATTGTGCAAATAACATATCTTTTGGTTTACCAAAAAAAAAACATATCTTTTGTATGTATCGACTTTGTAAAGTTTGTATGATGATTTTTGTGCAATCTAGAAGCATTGTACAACAAAAAATTAAATTATCATCTTTTACTTCCAATAAATTTTTTTTGATATGGTTGCCTGAGATACGAAGTAAGCCAAATTTTCATCCTATAGAGGAGTTGTTGTACAACAAGAACCTATATAACAAAAATATATTATGTATCTTACACACAAAAAAAGCATTACATAGATCAAGCACAACCTACTTTCTCCAACATGATGGGTTAATGGGTCTTGGATTTAGAATTTTGCTATATGATTTTTGGGCTATGATCGGGAAAATGTCCAAATAGGTAGATGGTAAGGTTGGGGACTCGTTGGATCGATTTGGATTGGATCAGTTTTCAGTTAATTCGGTTTTTTTTATTTTCGATTCAATCACCGCAGTTTGGATCGTGATAGAGACCCACTACCCGAAGAAGGAAACACAGACAGCCATAGTAGAAGAGAAGGAGAGACAGAGGAGATAGATGCGCATCAGATGATACAAGTGCCTGTTAGGAGGAGTGGTCGAGTTAAGGTCCCATCCAAATGGACCAACGATTACGTGCTTGAGACACGTGGATGACGAGTGGCAACAGGAGGCTGATTGCATACCACATGTGTCGGTTAAACATTGCTGAGGCTTTATTGTAACTGGGCCAGTACCTTAGCCCATTTAGTATAATTCCGTTTAGTTAATAGGGCCAAGCCATTTGGTCCAATTGTCATTTCTCTTTATCGTATAATAGGAAGTAGAAGTGTGAGAAGGAGGGTATTGAAAATCTGTAACAAACTTGTCTTCTCTCTCAACTTGCTATCTAGAGTAATCAGCAAACTCGAATTGCTGAGTTGTAATCGCAAATTTAATTCAGAATTTCTGTTACTTGTGAATCATTAGCTTGAGGCTAACAATTTGGTGCTTTCATTGAGAGGCAACTTCTGATCATCACTATGGCAGAGGGAACTCGCAGCTCTGTTAAGCAAACAGCCATTGACGAGTGCTTGAACCGATTAGCACATCATGACGATCAGTTCAATTCTCTTGGTAATCTGTTGAAGGAGATAAACGTGAAGTTAGCCTTAGTAGAGGCAAAGCTGGATCAGAACCAGAAAGGGAAAATCAAAGGAGAAAGTGCATCGCACGGAGGTTTGGGAGATCTCTTTGGAGCAAATGCATTCAAGTCAGTCAAGCTTACCATGCCACGATTTTTTGGAGGCAATCCGGAGCCATGGATCCACAAGATCCAGCAATTCTATGGGTTCCATACCCTCATTGACGTTGAGAAATTCACGCTCACTTCATTCCACATGGATGGATCTGCGGAGGAATGGTACCACTGGATGGATCGCAATGGGAGGTTGCGAACATGGGAACACTTCTTGGTAGCTATACGTGCCAGATTTGGACCTTCACGCTACCGTGATCTGAGGGGCGAGCTGGGACGTCTGACTCAGGGAGCAACAATGGCTGAGTATCAAACTCAGTTTGAACAATTGGCTAACCAGGTGATTGGAATCGACGATATCAGCCTTCAAAGCTACTTCGAATCTGGTCTCAGACCGGAAATACGCAAGGAGGTCCGTATGCATTTACCTGCAACGTTAGAACAAACCATTGACTTAGCCAAATTAATAGAAGACAAACTGAATGATAAAAGTACAGTGTGATCGTATTATAACAGAAACAACCTTGGTTCCAATCATGTTAATCAAACCGGAATATTACCCACGCCTCAAAAGGGTGCTGCTCTAGGACCAGTGCAAAAAAAAGAGAGTATACCTATCAAGCGGCTGTCATCAGCATAAATGGCTGACAGGAGGGAGAAGGGATTATGTTTTTACTGTGATGAGAAATACAACCGGAACCATATTTGTAAAGGGAAGATGTTCATTCTAGTGGTGCAGGATGAAGAGGGAGACACAGTAGAGATGGATGCGCATGAATTAGAACTGGAGCATGAGGTTTGCAATGAGAAAATAGGTGGAGATGATACTGTGAAGCCTGAGATCAGCTTGCATGCCATGGCTGGCCAACACTCCACTAGCACATTACGTGTGAAGGGCAGAATCAACAATGTTGCAGTACAAATATTAGTGGATGGAGGTTCGACCCATAACTTTATACAGGAGCGGTTGGTAAATTTTTTGGGCTTGGAAACCAAACCAACCCAGAAATTTCAAGTACTGGTAGGCAATGGAGAAGTTATGAACTGCTTATGGGTATGTGCAAAGATCCTTCTAGAAATACAAGGCCATGAGTTTTATCCTGACTTGTATGTGCTACCAATTCAAGGTGCTGAAGTTGTGTTGGGAGTACAGTGGCTATCGGTGTGGGGAGATGTAACTATCAACTATAAGCAACTAGTGATGAAGTTTGAGAAGGATGGCAGTGAAGTGGTAATTCAGGGAGAATCCAATTTGAGTTTGGAAGCAATTCAACTCAACCAATTACGTCGACTGACATCGTCCCATTCAGTTGCTTTCTTATATCAGCTCCAAACTATAGAGCACATCAGAGACGAATCCCACCCAGACCAACAAGAATTGGATGTACGGGTGCAACATGTCCTGCACGAGTTTTCTGCAATTTTTGAAAAGCCTTCAAGCTTGCCCCCTTTTCGAGAAGAGGACCATCGAATACACCTGGAACCTGCAACCACAGCAGTTAATGTCAGGCCATATCGGTACCCACATTTTCAAAAATCAGAGATAGAGAAAATGGTTAAAGAAATGTTAGAAACAGGGGTGATTCGTCACAGCCTTAGTCCATTTTCATCCCCGGTCCTATTAGTCAAGAAGAAGGACGGGACTTGGAGATTCTGTGTTGATTACAGGGCTCTCAATCAAGTAACTATTGCCAACCGGTTCCCCATTCCAATAGTAGATGAGATGCTCGATAAATTGGCAGGTGCCACCATCTTTTCCAAGATAGACTTACGCTCCGGTTACCACCAGATCCACATGGCTGAAAATGATATTTTCAAAACGGCTTTCCGGACCCATGAAGGCCACTATGAGTTCGTGTTCATGCCCTTCGGTCTCACCAATGCTCCGGCTACATTCCAAGGGATCATGAATTCGGTACTTAAGCCCTTCTTGAGAAAATTTGTAATTGTTTTTTTTAACGATATTTTAGTGTACAGCAGGACACTACTCGAACATTTGGAGCATCTCTAGACAGTGCTCAATTGCTTACAACAAAATCAGCTTTATGCTAAGAGGGAGAAGTGCTCATTTGCTCAATCCGAAGTAGAGTACTTGGGGCATGTGGTAGGAGCCATGGGAGTACGGCCAGATGCCAATAAGATCCAAGCAATTATGGATTGGAAGACACCAACAACAATAAAGCAGCTGCGAGGCTTCCTAGGGCTAGCTGGGTATTATCAGAAATTTGTCAAAGGATTTTCCCAACTGGCAGCTCCATTGACCACACTCCTCCAGAAAGATGGGTTTCAGTGGAGTCCAACTGCTACACAAGCCATGAACAAACTCAAAGAAGTTCTTTCGAATCCACCAGTGTTGGCTTTACCAAATTTTAGTGAACCATTTGTGCTGACAACTGATGCTTCCGGGATTGGAATTGGAGCTGTACTCAGCCAACGAAACCAGCCCATTGCTTACTTCAGTCGAAAGTTGTCCAACAAATTGCAGCAGTCATCCACCTATGTCCGCGAGCTGTTTGCCATCACGGAGAGTGTTGCAAAATTTCTCCAATACTTGTTGGGTAGCAAATTTCTCATACGGACAGACCAGCACAACATCAAAGAGTTGATGGCTCAGGTAATTCAAACCCCGGAGCAACAACGTTTTCTGGTGAAGTTGTTGGGATTTGATTATACTATTGAGTATTATCCCGGGGCTGTCAACAAAGTAGCAGACGCATTATCTAGAGTGCACGAGGGTAGTAGGAGTGAAGAACCTGCTCACAGTGCCTTATTCACCTTGTCCACATTGATTAACCCACTGTTAGATTCCATTAAAGCTGAGACCAACAGTAAATCAGAATTAGTGAAAATAGGCAAAGCAATTGAAGAACAGCGAGATGGTTACGAACATTACTCACTTAAGGATGGCTTGATTTTTTTTAAGGGGCGGATTGTGCTGGCCAGTTCTTCTGAGTTGAAGACCACCCTGCTGCATGCATTCCATTCTACCGTCATTGGAGGTCATGGAGGTACTCGCAAGACACTGCACAGGATATCAACACATTATTACTGGCCCAATATGAAAAATGATGTGCAAGAATTTGTCAGGACTTGTCTTGTTTGTCAAGTTACCAAGTATCAGCCCTTGTCTCCCGCAGGCTTACTCCAGCCTCTGGCTATTCCTCACGCTGTGTGGGAAGAGTTGTCGATGGACTTCATTATAGGACTTCCACAATCAGAGGGAAAAACTGCCATCATGGTCGTCGTAGATAGGCTCTCTAAATACGCCCACTTCTCAGCCTTGACTAGCAATTTCACTGCTTCTAAAGTAGCTTCAGTATTTGTTTCAGACATCTGCAAGCTTCATGGCGTTCCTAAATCAATTGTTTCCGATCGCGATCGTATCTTCATCAGCCGCTTCTGGCAAGAGCTTTCTCGTTTAAGTGGTACACGTCTTCAGTTTAGCACAGCCAATCATCCTGAAAGTGACGGGCAGACAGAGGTTACAAATCGAGGACTGGAGCAATACCTTCGTTGCTATACAATGGAAAACCCCCAAAGTTGGGTTCAGTACTTACCGTGGGCGGAGTTTTCGTACAACTCCTCCTACCATTCGTTCATTGGTTCCACTCCGTTCCAGATCCTTTATGGCCATCTACCACTAGCTTTACAACCTTATGAAGGAGCAGCTTCCCCTATTGAAGCCGTGGATACCCTACTCACACAGAGGGATGTCATTATCAGACAACTCCGGGAGAACCTCCACCGCACCCGTCAGCGCATGAAAAATCAGGCTGACAAACACCGCCGTGACATCCAGTTCGCCGTAGGTGACCAAGTGTTGGTCAAACTCCAACCTTATCGGCAGAAATCGGTTAGTAACCAGTCCTTCTCTAAGCTCCGTCGCCGATATTATGGCCTTTTTCCTGTCACAGCGCGCCTCGGAGCTGTCGCTTACCGTTTGGAACTCCCCGATGGGTCACGGATCCACCCTGTCTTCCACGTCTCGTTGCTTAAAGCCTTTCGCCAAAATCTGGCTTTCCACCCACAACCACTACCAGCGGTGACTTAGGATGGCCACCCGGTGACAGATCCACTAGCCATCCTGCGTTCTCGGACCATTTCTGGGGGTAAAGGTTCGGACTTGCAAGTCCTGGTGCAGTGGAGAGGGCTGCCTTTGGAGGACGCTTCCTGGATTTCGGCCTCTGAGTTTTGCACGGCTTTCCCACAGTTTGATCTTGAGGACAAGATCGAGTCTTTAAGGGCGGAGGGATTTGATAGAGACCTACTACCCGAAGAAGGAAACACAGACAGCCATAGTAGAAGAGAAGGAGAGATAGAGGAGATAGATGCGCATCAGAGGATACAAGTGCCTGTTAGGAGGAGTGGTCGAGTTAAGGTCCCATCCAAATGGACCAACGATTACGTGGTTGAGACACGTGGATGACGAGTGGCAACAGGAGGCTGATTGCATACCACTTGTGTCGGTTAAACATTGCTGAGGCTTTATTGTAACTGGGCCAGTACCTTAGCCCATTTAGTATAATTCCGTTTAGTTAATAGGGCCAAGCCATTTGGTCCAATTGTCATTTCTCTTTATCGTATAATAGGAAGTAGAAGTGTGAGAATGAGGGTATTGAAAATCTGTAACAAACTTGTCTTCTCTCTCAACTTGCTATCTGGAGTAATCAGCAAACTCGAATTGCTGTGTTGTAATCGCAAATTTCATTCAGAATTTCTGTTACTTGTGAATCATTAGCTTGAGGCTAACAGATCGGTTGATGAACACCCCTAAATTTGAGTATGGTGAGATTCTTTATAGGTGACCCTCCCAAAATCATTTTCTTCCTTCCTAATGTAAACTTTAAGCTCTTCTTTTTCACGTGTGATTAATGCAGTCATATGAGCATATCAAAAAGTGTTCTCTAAAGGAATAAAAACATAGATTTGTTTATTAAAGAGTGACTTTTCTTGAGTACCTTCATATGTATTTTTTTATAATTAAAAAAATATTTGATTAGGAGTGAGGTCTTCTTAAAAAAAAACATAAACTGGGTATTAAGGTAAATAAAATTGAATTTTGATTATAGACGATAATAGTTTATTTTAATTCATGCAAATATGCAAGGTATTTTAGTTTAATTATTTTATTATCGAATGCTTTTTTATTTAAACGTGAAATGGGAACAACAATGCGATTGGACTGAAATGAAGGGGAAAAAAGAAGAAAGAAACGTCTTTATCATATCATATTTATGGTGAGTAAATATAATGCATTAAGCCATGGGGAAGATCATATAATACGTACATTACAGCTGTAGCCTCCAAATTATGAAGAAAAGAAACAACCAGATCTCTATTTTATCACACAACCCTACATTAGGGCTATAGCATTTTTCCTTCCCAACATTCACTCCTTTGATTTGCCATCGGAGACTGTAGGGACTTGAGGCCTGTACTTATACCTCTTTGAAACGAACAAATAGATACAGAAGTTGATCAAGCTCACTATGGAAAGGAACAAGTAGAACAAGTTTAGATGATTTCTATTAATGTTGTTCCCCGCTAACCAACCCCCACTTTTAGTGATATGTTTGGTGGCACCATTCACGCTCTTTACCACTATGGTACTTAGAAAATACCCAAGTGCCATAGAGCTCCAAAGGAAGCAGGTTGATGTAGATTTAAGCCCTTTTGGTGCCTCTGAATAGAAAAATTGAAGCAGACCCACATAGGTAAACATATCAGCTATGCCAAATATGAAGTACTGAAAAGAAAGCCAAAATGTACTTATGGGCAATGGGTTATATACTGGCACAGCATCGAGCATGTTGTTGTCTCTAGCCACTCCTTTCCTTTTTACCTCTATAATTGAAGCCACAGCCATGGATATGGAAGAGAGTATTAGGCCAACTCCTATACGTTGCAAGTGGGTAACTCCAGTGGGTATACCGGTTATTTTACGTAGAACAGGCACAAAAATGCGATCATAGATAGGAACAACAATGATTAAGAACATAATTGGGATGATTGGGAGGGATGCAGGTGGGATGTGAAAATGCTTCGTGAAGCTGGTGTCCATGGTGTAGCCTTGTTGGATTGAAAAGGTTTGGAGCTGAGCTAGGCAAAGAGTCATTATAATTGTGCAGCAAAATATTGGGAACATACTAAGAATGATTTTGGCATTTTCAACTTGGGTAACCCTGCAAAGTTTCCATGGGTTTGGGGGATCTGGTTTTTCAGATTGCTCATCAGATTTTATTTGGATGGCTGCTCTGTCCAAGAACCTGTGAGAAGGGAACTTCAGTTTAGAACCAAGTACAATGAAGTTTGAATGATATTTTATAATTTTAGCAAAGGAATATTTTTTATGCGATAGAATATTATGCCTATCATTTTTCATGTCTACTCTATCTACTCATCTCCAATACAGTTAGATTAAAATCTCAACGAACTTTCACCCTTTTTTTTTCCTCTTAAAGATTTTGATATGATGGTATTGGAAAAGAATAGGCAAAGTAGTCCCATTTTTTATTTAGGAAAGATTGATCTAGGATCTTTTACTTTAACCTTGTATCACTTTTACTATTGAGTTATGAGTTATGAGTTATGACCAAGTGACATACAATTATGTGTGTTTTAGATAAGAGTGGAATTGAACCTGAAGATGTCTCTATGAGATAGAAACTCCATTTCCATAGCAGCTTCCTTATCCTGTTCAATCTCGTATAGTTCTACTGGATCTTCAGGAAGAGGAAGATTTCTGTTGCGGATTGCGGCAACATAGACCTAAAAAATACATGATCAGAAAATAAAATAAACAGCTTGATCAATGCAATATTGTCCTAAAAACCTTCACTATTTCAAACTTCATGTTATTCAATTCATTTTAAATTCAAAGTGAAATCCTTCCAATTGTTCTTTAAGATTAAAAAAAATATTAAACCTATTCAAAAGTTGTTTCCAATACTTGCCCCATTCCTTTTATTTATCCCCTTTATTAAGTCTAGGGGCCTCCTTTATACTTGAAAAAATTAAGCTGTTTTCGTTATGGATGTAACAGCAGCGCATCATGTGCAATGCCATAGTAACGAGAATTGGATTTGGTGACAGTCATTTGTATTAGCACTAAAATTTAATTTGAGTCAAAATCCCTACTACTTAGTCAAAGATATAGATCAATATTAGAAAAAACCTGTATAGCGACGGAATTATTATGGAATTTTCGTCGTTAATTTCATCATTGCAACTATTTTCTGTTGCAAATTCCCTCGCAGACGAGGTTTGCAACAAAATTTGTTAGAGAAATCGAATTAGCCACGACTTTTGAGAGAAAATTTTTATTGAAATTCCATGGCTACTCAGATTTTTTCTAGTAGTAGAGCTTCCAACTGTTTTTATGAATCACCTGTATGATCTCAATGAAACCGCTTGTTCCTTCAGCAACCTGAATTCTGTATAGTGGCAATCCAGCGGCAAAGACAATGATACCCAAAAATATTGCTATGGTACCGATCCCAAAGCCCCAATCCCATCCTTTGTTGACTTGTATCCACACAATGAACGTTAAGCTGACTGCACCACCCATGCAAACTGCTAGTAAGAGAGTGTTGAAGAAAGTTGACATATTCATTGTTTCTTTAGGGTCTGTTTCATCAAACTGATCAGCACCATGTGATGGCAAAGCAGCTTTAACTCCTGCACTGCCAAAGGCCAACAAGTATAGGCCAATGAAGAGAAAAGCTTCTTGGCCCCCACTTAATGTTTCACAGTGAGCACGTGGATCAAAGACGTTGCAAGGGGGTGGCTTAAGGGTAGGATAATGTGCTTGTGCTGTAAGTAATGCAAGTCCCTGCAACACAATTAATTTGATAGCAATCTCATGAATTTGTATTCATTAAGTTTCACACTTGAAATTAAATTTATGTTGGATTTCATTAGCAGAAAATAGAGGCCCCTATTCCCATTGAATTCGACGTTGTACGAGTTTAGGGCCTATTCCGTAGTTTCTTGTTTGGACGAGTTTTTGGTAATGGATTTTGGCACTTCACTGACAAGGTTTTGGGCCAAATATATATGTTCCATTTCACTCGGGTTCCTATTTGGAATCCAATTGATCCATGCTAGGTTAATTTGGAGGCAAAGTTGAATTTTTACCAACCTTGATATCAAAGACTAAACATGACAATTTAATATTTTTAAACATAAGTATGGGATGATGCACTGGAATATTCAAATGTTAAACTCTTGAATTTCCTTGGATTTTTATGAAACCAATTCTTCTTTTATAGGTATCTAAGTTACCAAGGTAAACTACTTGTCAAAATAAAAACAAGCAAATGACATTGTACAAATTTAAATTTAAATAATATGAAAGCTTATATTATTTAAAGGGTTTTAATTTTCTCATGCGGTAGGAGAAAATTTTCTCATACTATATACATATTTTATGTGGGGCCCACATCTATTAAAAAAAAATATTGCGCAAAAATCAAATGATCACTCCTGGAAGATGAGAAAATGTTGATGTAAAGATCACGAATCTTTTTTACTAGACAACACTCATTGGAGATTATATACTTATTAGGTTGATTTATTTGATGCGTTAGTTTTACTAATAGGGGTTAACAACTTCAATAGGCTATTAGGAAGGGGTTTTTGAAGCTTACCACAAATTCGATGAACCCAGAAATCACAACGGATTTGTATCTGCCAATCCATGTGTCAGCAAGGACAGCCACAAAAATGGAGAGTATGTAACTGACACCCAAATAGTTGGTGAGCATGTTAGCTGCATCTGCTAGATCATAATGCATGATCCCACTAAAGTATGGCACCGAGTTCACAGCTAGCGAGAAAGTTGCCAAGTTCTCCAAACCAAGCATTGCTGCACCCAAACACAAATAGAAGTCACTGCATCATTGACCACCAAAAATTCTACAAAGTAGAACCCTAAACCAAAAGACACAAGTACAGTAAAGAATGATACTTTCTGTTTCTGTATATATATGGTCAGAGGTTATCAGCAAAAGCTTGTTATTTTCCTTCATTTGTTACCTTTTCTTGGAAACTTCAAAAGGCATGGTATACCTGGATTAGTTTCTATGAATAAACTAACCCCTCAACTTTTCACTTATGGTATACCAAACTGAACCCCAAAAGAAATATAAAAGAGAAAGGAGAAATAAACATTTTTCTTGTTTTTGGGTTGAACAATGATATAATCCACCTTAACTTAGGTTCATCTTTCTTGTCACTACAGATAGGAAAAGGTCCATAATCTTACTCGTACTAAGTTAGTATCATTACCTAGTATGAGCAAAGCAGCTTTCATCCCCCCATATTTGTATTTTAGAGCGCTTCTTCCTTTCCAATCCACTTTATTTCCATCAACCAGCTGAAACTCTGCTTCCACCTTCCCATCAACAACCTCATACTTTTCCTACACGGACAAAATTGGAAAAAATAATAATAATAATAAGCAGCAAGAAAGTCATAAGGGGTGAGGAAGGTACATTGTTACGTAAAAAACAAAATAAAATAAAATAAAATAAAATAAACACCATGACTCTGCAGAGCACTATTGAGTAGCCAATTCAAATGAAAGAGTAGAACTGGAGAAAATACAATAGCAGCAGGGAAGACCAATGTCTGTCTATATATACATTCGATTCAGCTAATACAATGTTTTTTAGACAAGTTACGTGGTTCTTGGTTGATAGCAAAATGCATAGATGCGATTAGCCGACTTTACAATATACGATTAATTCCAACGTTGCTGTCTTTTTGTCAAACAATAATCAATGGCGGGTATCACATTGCTATATCCGAAAGTAAACCAATATCGTATTCTTAGTTAAATTCTCCGCCAGAGTTAAATTAAAGCTGCGACAGCTAAATAATATTTAATGTTACGACAGTTGTTTAGATGATCTCTAAAAATTGGTCTTGGAAAAAATATGTAACCTCTTTTAGCTAAGTGCCAATCCATGTATCAGTCACACCGTCTCAAACTGTGTTCTTTCTTTCTCTTCCTTTTTCTCTACAAGGTCAAACTGAGAGATGGATGTTGGGAGGAGAATATTTGATAAAAGTAAAGGTTATAGAAAGATACGGAAGAAGACAATACTTTTATTACTACACAATTCTTTTTCTTTTTTAGTTCGTTGGCTTGTTACAAAATGATGGAGGACACACCTATTTATATTAGTAGCACCTTCTTAACCAATGGCTAGGATTGTGCCAACACAATTCTCATCTAAGGGCTACAAATTATTCTCTAGAATTTTCTATAATCTCCTAGCTTAGATATTTATGATGGTGGTTTCTAGATATAACTATTCTCTAGATATTTTGATGGAGACATCTAGAGTTGATTATTCTAGAATTTGGGTTAGATAACTCTTGGATATTTCTTGACGTTGGGCTAAATGTATACTAAGCCCGATGGACCAAAAACTAAATCAAATTTATTTATTCAACACCTCCTTTAAACTTGATTTTGTAACTCCAAGCAATTTTCTCATCTTGACAAAGTCTTCAATCTTGAGTGGCGTAGATTCATCTTGTAAATGGCAGAAGTCTCTCTCTCTCTCTTTTTATCAAATCTTGTAGATTCTTCTGGTAGTAGCTTCCACATACTTTCAAATAATTATTAATGATAGTTGCAAAGTGTGATTTGAATTCTAACACTCCCCCACAAATCAGACTTTGCATGCCAAACATATTTTTTTGAACACATTTGTCTGGTGGCTTCGGGATTGGTGGAAGATAAACAATCTTTATCGATGTTTGTGGCGTCTCCGATACATGCATGATCTCTGCTAAATTTGACCAAATAATCTTTGGTTTTTCACTTTGCTCATTCTCCATAATGTCTTCTTTCTCTTACTTTTCTGACACATCAACAAGTGTTTGTTTTTCTTTTACTAGAATTATTTCTCCTTTGTTTGTCTTCTTTATTGGTACTCCCCCTGACTTGTTGTTACTGCTCCTTGGCTTCACTTTTTGTTCAAAATCACTGGATGCTTCCTCTTCCTCAGCAGTGCCTAAATAGCAAACAAGATACCATGTTCCCAAATCCTCTTCTTCCTCACGCTCCTCATCATTATCATCGACGCCGTCAGGATCACCACTACGCTCGCTGTCACCTTCTTCTCCTCTTTTTTCTTCATGTTCTTTCATCAAAGCGGATTTATTCATCCACTCAGTAGCTTCTGTGTTTTCTTCCATATCATCAATATTATCATCTTCAGCTTCAGATTCTTGTTCTTCTTCCTCTTTCGTAATCTCTGATTTTTCTGACTCCAATTCATTTTGGATATCGAACTCTGATTCTGGATTGCTTGATTCTGCGTCATCATCAATAAGACAAACTTAGGTAGATATTTTTCTTTAAACGACTTCTCAAAGTCCTTCCAGCTTGCATCATCATTGGACCATATCCATCCTTGATACCATTCTTGATACCAACTAAACGCGCTTCCTCTCAGTCTTCTCACAGCTTCCATCAACTTTTCATCTTCATTGATTTTCTCTGCCTGAAAATATTCTTTCAAATGAATTAACCATCTTGAGGCTTCATCATCTCCTTCATTTCCGTAAAATTTTGGAATCTCCATTTTTTCTTTCTCGAACAGATACCTGCTACTAGAACGAGGCTCTAAAACTCTTCTTTTTCTTTCACAATGCTTCAGCACTTCTCTTTACCAAAGCTCCCAGATTGAGGTCTCTGATACCACTTTGTTGGGAGGAGGAGGATATTTGATAAAAGTAAATGTTATAGAAAGATATGGAGGAAGAGAACACTTTTATATTACTACACAACTCTTTTTCTTTTTTGGCTTGTTACAAAATGATGGAGGACACACCTATTTATACTAGTAGCACCTCCTTAACCAATGGCTAAGATTGTGCCAACACAATTCTCATCTAAGGGCTACAAATTATTCTCTAGAATTTTCTATAATCTCCTAGCCTAGATATTTATGATAGTGGTTTCTAGATATAACTATTCTTTAGATATTTTGATGGAGACATCTAGAGTTGATTATTCTAGAATTTGGGCTAGATAACTCTTGGATATTTCTAGATGTTGGGCTAAATGTATACTAAGCCCAATGGACCAAAAACTAAATCAAGTTTATTTATTCAACAATGGATGCAGAAGGTCCAAGGGAAAGTGTTCTGGAAAGTATTTGCATTTGAACAATTCTTTCCACACTTAAAAAACCAAAGAACTCTTCCAGAAAACCTAGGGAGTGGGGATGATCCATCATCGATGACCATGACCAACACGAGTAGGACTATTGAATAGTTGGCTTGACACAAATTCCACTTCAAGGGCTAAATATTATTCAAATTGTTTTTTGTTTCATGTTATATATATATTCATAAATATTAACAATTAATTTAACATTTTTTATAAAGATATAATTTTTTATTTTGTAAAACTTTATAAGTTTATTTTATGAATTTTAATATATTTTATTTAAAAACATGAATTTTAGAATTTAAAAATAAAATAAAATAAAAAGGTGGATAAATTATTTTAACAAGCTTTTTAATAGAAATAGCAACAAAAGTGAGATGGAGGACACATATAATGATCTAAACAGACAGTTTGTGCGATTAAGATGAAATTAAAGAAGATGAAAACTAGTAATGTTTTGGAACCTGATGATGTCCATATTGAAGTGTGGAGATGCCTAAGGGATATAGCAATAAGTTGGTTGACAATCTTCTTAATAGAATTCTCCAAAATCAAAAGATGTATGATATGTGGAGGAAAATTATACTTGTGCCTACTTGTGAAAACAAAGGGGATATCCAAAATTGTTCAAACAAAAAAAGGTATTAAGCTTATGAACCGAACTATGAAGTTGTGGGAGAGAGTTATTGAACATTAATTTAGAATAGAGACCAAAGCCTCTGTAAATCAATTCAAATTTATGCTGGGAAGATATATTATGGAGGTTGTTTTCTTGATATGATAGTTGATGGAAAGATATCATAAAGAATAAGGACCTAAATATGGTGTTTATTGATCTTGATAAAGTGTATGATGGGGTTTTAAGAAAGGTTATATGATGGATTCTTGAAAAGGAAAAAGTATCATCAAGGTATGTAGAGGCAATCAATTAGGATATGTATGATGGAGCTACTACATATTTGCAGGCTTATAATGAAACATCAGGTTATTTTCCTATCACGGTAGGTGTACACCACCAATGTTTTGCTTTGAGTCCTTATCTTTTTGTTCTAGTTATGGATGAAATAACAAAAGATGTCCAAGACGAAGTGTCGTGGTGTATGCTATATGCAGATGATATTGTACTTATTGATGAAACTAAATCTAGTATTAAAAAAATAAACTAGAATAGTCTTATGTAAGTCCAAGTAAAACTAAATATATGAAGTGTGAGTTTGTTTCGGCAAGAGATAAAGTTTAAGATTTTATGCAGTTGCATGGACAGAAAGTACTGAAGTAAGATGTCTTTCGATATTTGGGATATATTTTTCAAAAGGGTAGAGAGATTGATGATGTAAACAATAGAATCAAAGCATGTTGGATGGAATTGCATAGTGCATCAAGGTTTTTCTGTTATCACAAAATTCCTTTGAAGCTAAAAGAAAAATTTTATGAACATCAAAGCAATGCAATGTTATATAGAGCTAGATGTTGACTAACACATTGGCAACATAAGCGTAAAATGGAAGTAGGAGAAATGAGGATATTAAGGTGAATATGTGGTCATACAAGGATGGATAAAATAATAAATAAAGATATTTGACTAAAGGTAAGTGTAGCACCAGCGATTGGAAAGAAAAGAGAATATAAACTAAGATGGTTTGATATATATTACGAAGACACCTAGATACGTATGTGAGAACATAAGTTTGTTATCGGAAACTTGACACAAAAAGGGAAACAGGTCGGTCGAAACTTATTTGGAGAAAAGTTATGCATTGTGAAGATTGACCTTTCTATGTTCCAAATGGTCATGTTTACTCATTTCTTCTAATATTTCCCTTCATTTGTTTATTTATTTATTTCAACTCTAATTTATTTTTTACTTTTTATAGATTTTTTTTCTTTTTCCTTTTTTTTCTCATTTAACTATCTTTATTTTCACTTTATTTTTATTCTATTATTTGTATATTTCTTTTTAAAAAATTTAATTTTTAATTTTTGTTTATTATTTATTCCTATTCTCTTTCCTCAATTTTTTTATTTAAGTTCATCGACTATTGAACCTAATTAGTTTAGGATAAAAGTATTAATTGATATTGAAGAACTAATCTATAAATAAATAAAAATAAAAAAATAATTGTTTAAAAATTAGTTTTAAAAAAATTATATAAAACTATATTATAAAGGATATTTATCCTAATATTATCTAATTCAGCTCAAATATAAGATAACATTTGCTTAATTTGCATAAAACATAAGATATCATCAGACTTTATCATTTCCTGGGTTCATCGATCCATCCCTTTTCATCTTATGCATCTAATGTTATATCCTATGTAGCACCGATACGACACGCGACACGTGACACGACACGACACGACACTCCGACACGTCAATCCTGAAAAATTATAGATTTCGACACGTTGGGACACGGTTTAATATTAAATAATATTTTTAATTTATATAGTGTATATTTCATTTAATATTTAATAATTTAACAAAAAAATGAAACTAAATTAATAATACCTATCAACACGTTATAAAGATGGAAGCTTTAATAAAAAAATAAGAACTGGGATGAGAGAGATATATAATATCAAATAGAGAGATCAAATCATATTAGAGAGATCAGAGAGAAGATACAACAAGAGCGTGATAGGAATTGACAACAATGATGTTAAGATGATCTCTTATCTACTTAAGGGAAAAAAAGACAAAAAGATAAAATTGATATGATCAGGTGGAAGCTTTATTAATATATTTTACCTTTTAAAAAAAATAAATTTTTTTAAAAAAAAATTAAAAAAAAAATTTAAAAAAATTTACGAAAATGTCATTTGACCGTGTCGGACACGGTCAAATTCGCGTGTCGGAATGGTCAACGTGTCGGAAAAAGTCAACCGCGTGTCCGACACCGTGTCGGAGCGTGTCGCCGTGTCGGAGCGTATCGGACCCGACTCTTCCTGTTTTTGCAAGTGTCCGTGCTTCCTTGGTTATATCATATCCACCGTACAAGGCTCAAGTATCACTTAAAAGAGCATTTTGTTGTTACGTATCCCATAAAATCTAAAAGATGCCAACTGAAATAGGCATGTCAAGGGTTCACAACATACTATAGAATGTAAATTCAAATGATGCATCATTGATGATTTACTCTTCCCATTTTCACAATGACGCTGTGTGTGTTACATAAAACGATACACGAGTTCTTTTCTGATTATTGTTACCATGCCATTATAGTCAATAACAACTGCCAAGCACATATCTTCAACTGATTGTATTGCAGTGAAAACTGAAGCTTCAATATACTCACCAGAAATATTTTGGGAGAAAACATTTGCCTAGTTATTTTATCCTCTCAATCAACAAAATAATGAGGACGAAAAGGTATACTAAAACAAAAGGCCATTATCAGTCTCTCTACAATGTCATGTCACTACTCACTATGTCCATTGTCCAGTAAATAAACAAAATTGAATTCAAAATTATAGAAATAATAATCGATGATTGCTAGACCATCAATTAAAATAACTACTAAGCAAAATCTACTCACAAAAGAACTCAAAGATTCCCTGTGCAAAGAATGCTTGACTATTGTTTCTTTCTAGTTAGGAGGAAAAAATAAAAAATAACATATTAAAAAAATAAAAATCAAGAACAAGAACATCAATCAATAATTAAGCAGAGAGTACTTTATCCGCAGTAAAATTTTTCCTTTTTCCACTCCAAGCTTCGCCCCTGTAACTAACCAATGACCAGGAATATCTTGGGGCCCTTTAGACATCTCTGTCATGTCCACAATTTTTGCTAGTTTTCCAATTTGGATTGAACTATCTTCCTTTTTATCTTCAGAAGTTTTCTTCGTCAATGATGATGAAGCGCCATCAGGTCTCTGTGTAGCAGCAGGAGTGGAGGGGTTATGATCCCACACTGACCGTCTTATTGTACATCCTGGTACCTTGGAGAAAAGGAGCTTGAGGTGTAACACATTTTTGGCACCAAAGTCCCAAACACCAAGCTGAGCACCCGTGACAATGTGAACACCAGAGAGGTCACCAATGCTAGTTTCAGTGAACTCAATTGGTGCAGTACTTACATGGGAGAAGTTCTTCCATTTGATTGGCTCGAACCAACGGCTGTCTTGCTCCTCTGGACCTTGCCACTTGGGTGCCCCTATGGCCATGTGTGCATCCCAATGAGGCTGAAGGTTTTTCGGGAGGGAGACTAAATGCTGCAAATGAATTGCAAGTCGGTTTTGTTTGTTTCCTTCTAGGCTAAGCCTTAACCCAGTAACAGGCTTGCGTCCAACTGTTACCTGCAAAAAACACCAAGTCATGGTGTTACTTGGCTACGGAAGAAATATCAAACATGCTTGTAGAGTTAACTACATACATATGGAAAGTACATGATGTATTTTTCACAACCCAAGCAAGCAACAAATGTGATAACTATAGAATTCTGAACTCAACTGTACAATTTTTATATGTTAAAATTAAGTTATAACACATTAAGGTTAATGCTGAAATCTACTTGGACGGACACAAATTAGGCAGTTAGCAAACCAAAAACATATGTGTTATCAAGGAGTCCAACTTTTGGTTTCTTACTGCAATTTAAAATTCATTAAGATTCGACAAAGTTTTACGTTGGCTGCAACTGCCTTAAACTATCCTCCTCTTTCATGATTTTCAACAATAATGACATAGGCAGATTTCTTATTACATTACGAATAAACCTTGTGATTTCTCACGTTTACAGGCTACCTTGTGTCATTTTACTCTCTCAGCTTTATAGTAAATTGACTGAGAAACTATCAGAAAAATCTTGATAGCTAGTTTCAATTCAATAAAATAGGGAGAATGACAGTTTCAACACTTTTTCTATGTTCTGTGTTGTGAATAGTCCTTTTTTGACATAATTTGATAGCCATGTTCAATCAAGTAGGATTTAGTAAGCAATACCTGATCTGGACTGACATAAAGCTTAGGTCCCATTAAGCTGAACTGAAGAGACTGGCAAACAGGCTCCTTTCGTTGTAGATTGTTCTGCTCTGGCGCCCAAACTCGAGTTATTTGGAAATCCAAGAAATACTGTAGGTCTTCGATAGGTGGTTTGTCTGGTTAATATAGCAGAGAGGTGAATTATATACACTAAATAAAACTCTGGTAGAAATTGTCATGCTATACTTGTCCGGAAATCATCATGTTTGGTCTTAATATCGCAGTTTTCAAGCTCAATATCTGGTAATTTCTCAGCTAGTTTTCAGGCTCACTGAACCGAAAAAAATTTCTTCAAATTCATAAGATAACTGGGGCACAAGCATCTAAACACTCAAAAAAAGTAAACTATTATAAGAAAATAAAAGCAATTATTCAAATTTCCAAAAATCCCAGGGACTTCAGCAAATGTATACAGGCAGAAGAAGAAACCACCAAAAAGTTATCTTGGTGACAAGCTCTCCTAGCAGATAATGAAATTCAATTTAGTACGAGAAAATTTGTTAGGAAAATAAGTATGAAAATTAAGATTGCATAACAATTCATGGGTGTTAATAGAAACAGTTTTGAAATTAGCTACCTACACTCCTCACATGTATCCAATAAATCATATCAATTCTTACAACTTCCACGAGATCCTTTTCGTGAAAATCAGCCTGTTCCATCTGAATATCAGAAAATTGCCACCTCGATCCTGTACTGATTTGGGTAAAAGAATTTTGCAAGAAAGACAGATTTGAATGACTTCAATGTAATATTTGTCAAGCTTTCCAAAAAAAAAGTTCTATTTATTCATCTTATTTATTATCTCTTTACTTTTCTATTTTGATTGAGTATTGAAGTTTATATATTTATTTAGCTTATGCAACTAACATTAATTGCTAAAACAGCCTCATTGTAAATCCACATAGACTGAAAGCAGTTATCAAAACCATCTTGATTGATATTGCAATTTATATTCCGAGAATGTTTGTTATACTAACTGCTCCTGGGACTCATTAAGTTCATTACCCTTAAAGAGTTATCATAAGCAATAATAAAAATAACACTACAGCATTAATAATTGGATTAGAACTTACACTCCAGATATAGATCAATAGCACGGGCCAAATGCTTTACACCAGGCACTCCTTCAAGAAGAGAAACAATGGGTGTAAAGTTCATGTTAATGATATCTGGTGCCAATTTTACAGTTTCCACCCATTTAGTATGACTTTGTTCAAGATCATCCCCACCTCTCCTCCTAAAAATGACAGTAACATCCTGCAGCAACAAAATGAAAGGTCACTTCACTGAGATTCCCTTGGTCTATGTATTGAATCACTGACTGAATCATTTTCAATGAGGTAGAGTTCAATAGCAAGAAACAAATGCAAAAGGCTAAGCCAGAATGTATTTTCATAACATAAAGGAAGTTGCTAAATAATCAGAAGCACAAAAAGTTATCTGTTTACTAAGAAATAGCGGGTGAAAGGCATTCCTCAATACTAACCTTCTCCTTGTACTTTAAAGGACCAGGACCTGAAACGTTTTTCACATCAAGAAACCTATCATCTCCAATGTCCTTTACATAGTTCTCAATATCCGGGGCAGACAAAGAAGATGATTGGTGCTGCCTGATATATACTACATCTCTTCCACCAACTGTTGCAGATGTAACAATATGGGTACCAAAATTCTCAATAAAACTGAGAAAAAGAAAGGGCAGAAGTTTCTGATTAGAACTTGACCCTGTGCATCCCATCTAGCTAATGTAATATATAATTCTTTCTTTTGGGAGGGGAAAGGGGATAAGTTTTTGGAACAACCAACTTAAGTCAAATTACAAAATGATCTTAAATGTCATAGTACTGCAACAAAGATAAATTTCATTGTCTTCTGCATAAAATAATGGGGCAAAGGCATCACATTTGGCACATAGAATTGAAATTGATGATGAAAAGTTGGAAACTATTAAATTGAATCTTGGTGTCCAATGTGGGAGTATGCAGTTGTCATTTTACATCACTGCAACTCCATCTGGCATTTGGAATTGGAACTAGTAATTTAAGATCATATGTGAGACAAGTCATCAGGAGATATATTATATTCTCAAATCACCGATCAAATTTTAGCTTCACAAGACCCTCAAAGATCACATGAATAAGAACACATAAATATGGCACATCCCCCATCAAGAGAGTGTGCAACAAAAAAACACTTTCACCTGCGAATTAGTTCATCATTGTCATATCAAGTCCAGAGTTCACAGTTACTTAGCTAAATTGACTTTTGAATTTAATCAGAACTGAGTGTAAAAAATATAGGATAATAAGGGGTTTCAGTTCATGTTTTCTTTAGTGGCTTTCTTTAATGAATTAACAAAAGAATTGGAGAGCTCTGTCGAGAAGAATTTTTTTTCCTTTTCACTTCTTTTTCCTGTTGGTTTTATAATTGTTCTAGGAGCATTCCTTCATTGTCATTCTTTATACTTCTTTATTTTCTCTTAATAGATTATTCAAAAAAGGATTAAGAATCTGGAAAATACAACGCAAAATTTCTTTAATAAGCTAACCAAATGAAACTGATGTATAACAAGTGAGACAGACAGAAATATGCCTCAGCTAGGATTTTTTATGTTGTCTTCGAAATACAAATCTTCACCTGAACAATACAAAGTTATGGTCTGTGAATAATTATTTGGAGTTTCAAAAACTATTTTTTGGTCCATTTCCTAAATAAGAAGGCTGATTGGAATAGGCAAATATGTCCCAAGACTCTAGTTATGATTATTAAAGTAATGACTTGAATTTAAGTATACAAATGTGTGTTCAATTAGTTAATCAACATAAAGGTTGTTGTAAATTTTAGCTTTTTGTTATGCAAAAATATATTAGTAATAGAAAATTTTCAAAACAAGCTAAAATCAACCTCTTCTAATCCAGAAACTTGTAAATAGATATTTATTAATCCCTCCCAGAACATTAACTGCTACAAATAAATATTACTAAATACTGAAATTACTTTACTCCTGGCAACAAAATTTTGTTTTTCTTCTCTTTAATGTCATAATTAAAGCCCGGGATATCATATCTTAGGTATGTGTCTATTTAGAAGTAGATTCGGTATGTATAGCATAAAATCTAACAAGTACGAAATTTCTTCATGTTCAGACATATCAAGCCAAAACCATTTTCTGCAGAAAGAGCTGACTAGATATTATTTACAGAAAACAGTAAAGGCATAGTTTACCTTGCCAAGGATGCTGGATCCCAAGAGTAAGGAACAGCGCGCCTGACTTCATCATTCAAGACCAAATTTAGTTTGGTTAATTTAACTTCAACTAGTGGAATGAAATATCCAACCATGGCAAGAGATTTGGTAGCTGCGGCATCAACCATCCAGGAGCCAGTAAAATTGAACATGGAATTGAAACTTCCAAGTGGAATCTGTCCTGTTATGCCTGACCTCTCATTGAAATATTTTGCCATCTGAAAAATTCAGTCATCAAATAAGGTCACCAAAACTGTTTAACTGATTGTGTACGGTGGTCACAGGAATAAGCCTGTCTCTTTCATGTATAAGCAAAAGCAAAGTAAGCTAAAAGAAATAATGCATATCCTGTACAATAAAAACAATCAAGCATTACTCCCATTAAGTGGAATTGGCTACAAGGATTCTAACACGCAATTATGCTCGAGCATGTATCATAGTCTCCCATCCATGTCTTTGTCAGCCTCTACCCTTTTTAAATGGCATCATCTTTGGTTTCACATGTTACCATGGCCTGGAGAGGTCATTGTCTTACATGTCCAGACCATTATGAACGATTTTCCATCATTTTCTCTTCTATAGGGGCAACTTCAACTTTCTTCTAAATGATTGAAATATCATACCATCCACTCTTCTTGTCTTTCCTGATTGAACTTAAATTCCATATATTCTGTCTTCGATCTACTGAAACAAAATCCCTAGCCCTCCTAAGGATTTCTCATCATGCATCCCTTATATTGAACTAAAATATTATTATATCAAGAAACACACAATAGAAAGACTGTGGAAATAAGGCTCAAAGTTTATAAAGGAATGTTATTAGCAAAATCATGAAGAGTCCGATAAAATAATATAAGGTTCTCAACACATCAAGGAAGCTTTTAGATTATCCATCTATCTTCCCTCAAATGAGATCAGTGACAGATAGCAAAATAAAGAGGTTATTGAGAACAAGAAATTCCTCCTACTGTCCATTTGTTTGAACTTTGAAGAAAAAATAAATTGAGAAGATTGCACTATTCCCTCCAAAATCTTTTTTACAAATCCAAATTTCATGTTAACACAGCCACTATAACCATAGCTGAATAATATATATAGTAGTAAGCATCAATTCCATCACAAGTTCAGAAGTGGACTAGGCTGCTCAAAGGAAAATTATTCTGAGAGAACTTAAAATTGCAATAATGCTCAAAAAACCTGACCTGAAGTAGCTTCTACGAGATATGGTCAAAATCCCAATCTCCCACTTCTCAACTACTTTATCATTCCCACATTTTCGAAGAAATTGCTGCATCCCCTTCAGCTTATTAGCTATTTAAAAAAAATCCAAGTTTTTTAGCCTTTAAAAAGAATTTGATTCTAACGTTGAATAATCTCAAGAAGCATCTCTACATCCTATTCCTATAGGGCTGAGATACTGGTTTGAAAAGAATAGTACCAATAACAGAACCATAGTCAATAGAAATTCTGTTGGACATTTGCATAGGTTGCAAGATAAAATAAAGCCTCGTTGGAAATAGAGAGAGCATACAATTATATCTGATATGCATTCAGAAATTGAGCTAAATGGTTCATAACTGATAAGTACCAATGCAGGGTCTAGTTCATACTAACTGCGGTTTTAGCAAACTCCTTGATAATATTCTGCTTGATGAAAACAAAATTGTGCCTTTACAATGACATGGTTCGATGCATGCACTTCACATTGCTACTGGCCCATCATTTGCCAAAATAAAATGCCGCTCGGGAAGTGCCATAAAAGAGTTAATTGGAATTTTCCAATTCCTATTTCAGGAAACTAGGGACCCAAAGGAATTAATCTGCTAAATAAAGCAAGGAACCGATGTGCTCATTTATTGAGTTAGGCAATGCATTCAGAAAATACAATCCAACCCACAAAAAAAAAAATTCCCAACATGAACACCTCATACAAAAATAAAATAAAAATTAAAAAGTGCAAAATTCTCCTGCCCCCCAGTTGCCTTTTCATTCATTCTCTTCCCTCTGAGATATTCCCAACAAAAAGAAATCAAAATCTAGAAACAAAAAGGGATGAATGAAAAGAATTACCTCGTGAAAAGTACACACAGGGATCTTCTCTATACTACTCTTCCCAGGGGAGCAATCAATGTCAACAGAGACATCGGGAACAACAACACCATGGGAGAGAACAAGATCCCTGGTATCGTCCTCATCAAGGTGAACAAGCCTTGACCCAGGAGCCCCCTTACAGTAAAGAAACCTAATATCTGATGTGACATCAAAGCCACGACCCAAAGCTTGGATTGAGTTGCGAAGAGTAGCAGAGAGAGAATCAGAGGTCTTCGTTGAAGTTGGGTTTTCCATGGTCAGTGAAGAAGAGAAGGAGAAGATGAAATGGTTGGAACTGGGTTGATGAAGATGAATAGCATTTGTTATATGTACAAGTACAGGAGGAACATTGAAAGTTCAGTTTTTTTCTGGAGAGAGAGAATAGGGGCGTTGAATAGGGGATGATAGTACTACAGAGAAGCTTGGACCTTGTAGTTGTTGGTGACCTTGGACGTTGTTCTTTTTTCTCTTGTTCCAAAAGGTAGTAAAACTATTTGAGTTTGACTGTAATAACAATAATAATAATGTATTGTCTGAAAACGCGTTTTTTTGGTATCTGTAGGGACCATAGTCCATACACACACATGGTTGATAGCAGGCTTCTCTTTTCTTTTCCATTTCTGTTTTTTTTTTTTTCTATTTTCCTATGAGATTCTGAGTTGACTGGTCTTGTTTTCGCTCTGTTGGTGCTTATGCTATGTGATGTGCTATTTTTATTTTGGGAAATATATTCCTTTTAGTTTTGATATGATTTTTAGTGATTGTTTTGATATTATAATAACGTAATAGCATCATTTACTATATAACGCAATAACATCTTTTGTTGTGATTATATTTTTATAACAAAAGTATTAATTTGACCGCTGGATTTGAAAACATAGATAAATACAACATCAAGGTGAAATGCAATCCTCGTATTGGCATCAATCAATAATACTGTGTCTAAGCTGTACAAAAACTAAATGGAATAAAATATACCTTAGCGATAGTATATGAGTTCTGAGAGGACCCTTGTTCTGGATGGGATGCCAAGACCTGTCTTGGACCAGCCAATAAGGATAATTTTTATGGGTCCATTCCAGGCAGGTCCAAATACAATTGAATTAACATGTTTTTCGTATGCTTATACTGCACACATCCCTCATTCCCGTCACTAGAACTAATTTTTATGAGCCCATTATAGGCCCAAATACTATTGAACTAATCTCTCATTTCCTTGCACGTGTACGGTGTACCCCATGTCTTCCTTAGAGTATATGGCCCTTACGTCAGATAAGACCCATCAGACATGACAATTGGTAGAGAATTATAAGCATTTAATGCTCTTAGATAGTGGTTATAAGCATATAATGTAGGAATGGGTATTGGTCGACTCGAATCGGATTTTTTAAAAAATCAAACCGAACCGGTTTAAATTGGTTCGATTCTTTGAACTGGAATATTTTTAAAAAATGGAATTGATTCGGTTCGGTTTAAAACTGATTTGAACCGGTTCAACCCGAATCGTTTATGAACCGGTTTCGAACTAGAACCATTTCCGAACTGATTTCGAATTAGAACCATTATTGAACTGGGTTTCGAACCATTTTCGAATCGGTTTTAAGGAAGATTTTTTTTTCTTTTCCTTTTTATTCTTGGCAATGTTATTTTTTTGTTCTGAACCGGTTTTATTCTTAAGCAGCTAGTGCTGATATAAACTCAGCCACATTTGGCTCTTTAGCCTTTTGACCCTGAAGAAAAGAACCAAAATAATCAAATAACAAATACTGTTATGTAAAAATTTTGAAGATAAGAGAGATTCAAGAAACTGAGTAGAATTTTTTTGAGATATGTTAGAGACTTAAGAAAAGAACTGATGCCATTGAAGTAAGATCTAACTCTATGACATCAACTTTAGCTTTGGGAATCTCCTTAAGTATTGCTTTCTTGACATCTTTTCCAGCAACCACATTTCTAACCCCCATAATCACATGGACTCCACGCAAAGCATTTGGCTAATCAAATAACCAAAATAACCATTCACATGATAGTCATCAAATAACTACTATAGATCAACCTGAATCCAGAGATAGTCTTTGAAAAATAGTATATATAGTATTTTTGGAGATTCCCAACTTCAGGACAGCACACAACCCAATATCGACGTCTGAAATCAAATGCAAATTAACACCTTCCCCAGTTGGAAGGCCATAATTTGTCAAACATCTCTTTTTCAAATATTGCGTATTTCATCCTTCCACTTTTGCATACAATCCATCTCAGATGACCGCTCCTGGAAGTTATTTTACAGAAGAATTTATTGAAAATGAGATTAATAAACCTCACTAGATTGAAAAGAAACTAACAGAAAAGAAACCAATCTAACCTTTTGTAAAGCTTCCATCTCACCCTCTTTATAAGGAAGAGACTCCAATCCCATTTTAACATTTTCCACATCTTTTTGTCGAGTGTTGAGTTCATTTTCTACAGCAATAGCTTCCTCACGTTTTGACCTTAATTATTTTGTTTTCTCTTGCAGAGACTCCAAGCCCGCCTTTTGTGGAGAATGGTCTTCATTACTCCCATTGGATACCACCTGCTCTGTTGTTGTAGGTTGAACTTGCTCCTTGACATGACCATTTTCTACTGCAGTTTCTGGAATCATTCACAGAAATTATGGCACAGGAATAAAGCTATAAAAACTATAAAATGCATAATTTTTTTGGCAGGTTTCTTTGCATCATCTATGTATACAATCACCTCACTATGTGGGAGGGTATCCATGATTTTAAAATTTGTTTAAACATGGTGGCTTAATAATACGTGCATTACCATCCACGGCAACCAGGGATGTCATTGCAACTAAAGGAGCACGTAATGTATTTGAGCCCATGTTCTGAAAACTGGTCACAGTAATTGAGAGTAAGTGCTTGAAGATTTGAACAATCCTTCAGGAGACGTAATCCATTATCTGTCACATGAGAATCAGAAATATCAACTGAAAGTAAAGACGACCCTTGTGAAGCGATGACATCCATCCAACGATCATGCATTCCAGGATATTCACCCAAGTAAACATCCTGCCATCGAAAAACACAGGACCATCATCTTTGTAACTGAAATTCTTAACTACTTAAAACCTAATCAACAAACTTTCAGTTCAACCAAGTCAACTCGTATAGTACCTGAAGAGCACAATCTCGAAAAGCATCAAGAGATGCTTCCGTGAGGCAATGAGAATCCACCAATTCATTGAAGATTTGCTGGCTTATGGTTCAATTGATTCTAATGCTCTTAGATAGTGGTTATTTACATGGGACGGAGAAGAAGGTACAACTTCTTTTTCTTCCTTCGTTTGGCTTCTTATATAAATAATACGAGGAATATATTTATCATATTATATGCTATATTTTATCTCATACTATGCAAAAAAAAATGAATAAAATTTATTTAAAAAAAACGAGACAAAAAATAGGTCTCAATCATTTTTTACATATTATATGAGATAAAATTATTTCATGCTAACACAAAAAACATATTTTCCAAATAATATTTCCATGGATTTCTCCAAACTTCGTAATACCTCGTCTCTTACTTTTCCTTAATTTCTATATCTCCAAACACACTTTTTTATTATCAATTTTAAGAATATTAAAGATGGTGAATGTTTAACAATGATCCAATGAAGTTAAGGCATGAGGAAACCATAACCTCATTTGGGCAAGACATATTTTTTTCCAATCACGAAAATTACTCAAATCACAAAGAAACAAATAAAAAGAAGATGAAAGGTTAGGAACGATTAGGAAACAGATAAATATACTCTACCTACTGTCAGTATAAAAGAAAATAAAATATCAATTATCATGCACCACGCTAGGCACTAAGTGCATCTCTTCAGACACCAAGTTAAGCATAAGGTACACCTCGTTAGGCACCAGGTGCACATCATCAAGCACAATGTAACACCCCGTGTATACTCGGAATATTAACATTACATCGTATTAAGCGGTGCTTAATAAAAAAATTTGCGGAATATTCTTTTTCTTTTCAATTATGACGTCATTATCAATTACCAACTTGATTACTTAATCAATTTCATAAAATATCGCCTGTATGTAAATTGCAATAAGACATCTACTGAAATACCTCAATATATAGATAAAGTGTGTATCTAAATCACGGCATTACATCAAGTAATCCGGACAATATCCTGATACATTATTACAACTCCAAAAGACTCAAGACATAATCAAGACATAACAATACTATGTGTCATGGACAATCCCCATGCTCACCAAATAAACATAGAAAGCAACCAGTCTCAACGTAAAACTCCATAAACATAACTGAAGCTATAAGCATAAACAGCATGCAAATCCAGCATCCAATCATGGCAGCATAATATAACAGCAATCTAACTCAGCTCCGGCCTCCTGCCGCCTAAGGTCTAAACATTACCTGACCCTGAAATAAGCATTCCCCAAACGTGGGGTGAGATCTCTAAACTAGAAATCTCAGTAAGACAAGGGGTCCTCAAGGATCTTCCACCCCAAGCTCACTTACATGTGCAATATAAGTTCAAAAAGCATTTATATCATTATCAGTTCCAAAACTATGTAGTGCAACAGATATCTATGGCATGTGTGTAATCACTATCTACTGGCCAGAGAAATGTAGGAATACGTTTATTCCCTACATGTAGTACAAGGAACACCGCTTGCACCTCACCCACAGCCTCACCCTATTGTATGTTCTACATACTCAGGCTTACCGTATAGGTGGAACACCTCCATGCATATCAACAAGGCACTAACATACAATAGCTCAACAACATTTCCAAAACATCAAAAGCATGTAACACAACATGCATATACCATATCCCCATGGGACATGGTGGAACCACAACATGGCTAAACCGAGGACACGAAAGCTTACCTGTACCTGTATGCCCCTCCGACTCGAACTCGGTATCACAAGGGTCCACACCACAAATAGAATCAAATGCACTCACAGATCTGGTTCAATGACCATCATAGTATCAATATACACATTCTAAAATTCCAAGGCAATCGGATATTATTTTCTTTTTTTTTTAATTCAAACCGGAGATCCTTTCTAAGATATATCATTTAACTTAATTAATTTTAGATAATTCTTATCTTATATATATATATATATATATATATATATATATATATATAGCCACAAAATATAATTATTTATTATATATAAATATATAACGTTCCGTTTTCGAAGACCATACCAAGTAAGCATGTTTCCTTTTTACTACTTTGTCTCCCTGTGCATTATTTTCTAAAATGAAGCTTAATAATATATTATATAATATATAAAAGTTTGACCTCCTGGATACAAATTTATATAGATAAGCCTTAAGCCTTCCTTTCTAATGATAACCTCCAGGGTACAAAACTTATATGTATCACGTAGAAACAAACAAGGACTTCCTGATTCTTATTTATATATATATAATATATATCAATTTGGAACATCATGAATCAAAGATTTCATTTTGAAATCACGCATATCGAAACCAAGGTAATAACTTGGACCAACGTGGATCAGAGATTTCATTTTGAAATCACCCGTACAAAAACCGGAACATAAAAAAATGACAACACAACGGCCAAGTAAGGTGTAACATCCCCGTCTCGAGCCGGTTCAATTAACATACATATGATACAAACAGAAACAGCGGAAGACTTAACTTACGAAAATACGAACTAACTTTTTCTTTTCCTTTAATCTTTTTTCACATGACATATCACATTGCATACTTCTTCTAATTTAATTCTTATTTTACGGAGACGAAAATCGGACAGAGTAACCTCTGTAAATCGGACAACTGGGGATTTTCCAATCCCACACTCAAGAGTTCCTGATAGACAGTTTAAACAATATATATTTCTAGAAGTACCAGTCATGCAAATATACTCAGATACCCATCTATGGGCGCATGCTGAACTTGGCTCCGTGCCACAAATCTAATAGCATGCAATCCAATACATAACATAACTGAATACTACATAGTCATATCATCATGCCTGAATACATAAATGTACATGTATCGAATATGAACACTATGCAACAATACATCTTTTCCAAAAATACGTCTAAAACAAATAGTAGCATCCGACCACCCAGAACTCCACATCCTCATACTAGTACCTCTAGCCACGGTTAGTGTCCTTGTCCCATGAGGCTCTTCAATTAACTGTGTTCCTGAAATCATATCCCCAAACGGGGTTAGAGACGAATCTCTAGTAAACTCCAGGTTTATGGAAAACCCTCCATACCCTGGGCTCACTTCCTGCATGACAGTCAGATACATAATATACAAAGCATCATATAAGCAATTATCATAACTGAACAAAGCATATATACATATCTTATCAAAGACAAACGCAGTCATTCCCAAGGGATGACCCCAAGCGAAAATCAACACACGTAACAAATATCTTTTACAAAAATCATCACAATACTCACATCAGAACAAAACGTGTTATATCAAAGATGTACGCAATCGTTCCCAAGGGATGACCCCAAGCGGAAATCAACGTACGTAACAAATATCATTTACAAAATCATCATACATATCCCATAAAACATGTCATAAAATCAAATATCATAACTAAACAAAACATATACACATATCTTATCAGAAACGTACGCAGATATTCCCAAGGAAGGACCCCAAGCGGAAATCAACGCACGTGTTCCCAAGGGAGGACCCCAAGCGGAACCAGAACATATCAGAGGCGTACGCAGTCATTCCCAAGGGAGGACCCCAAGCGGAAATCAACGCACGTGTTCCCGAGGGAGGACCCCAAAGCGGAACCAGAACATATCAGAGGCGTACGCAGTCATTCCCAAGGGAGGACCCCAAGCGGAAATCAACGCACGTGTTCCCGAGGGAGGACCCCAAAGCGGAACCAGAACATATCAGAGGCGTACGTAGTCATTCCCAAGGGAGGACCCCAGGCAGAAATCAACGCACGTGTTCCCGAGGGAGGACCCCAAAGCGGAACCAGAACATATCAGAGGCGTACACCATCAGTCCCGAGGGAGGACCCCAAAGCGAACATCCGGGTACTATACAATCAATGGCCAGATATTGTTACAGAAATCATATTACAGAAGTCATATCATAACAAAACATATCATATTAACACATATCAAAGTAAATACATCAAAACAAAACATATCATATTATCATATAGCTCTATATGAATGCATCTATATCATATATCTCATACATATCATACAACCTGACCACAGTCCGTACACTATGGCGGAACACAAAGTAGGAGCGAACCCCATAAACATAGAGCTTACCTCTTTGAGCTTTACAATCTGCTTACTTGAAGAACAAGCTACTTATCATACTCCACGAGAATCCAAACGTTCACAGTCCCTAGGTACACCTAGAGAAGGAATTCAACATAAAACTCAATAAAATGATATAATGCCATGTAAATATACAAGACACACACTTTATTGTTTATTTTCTTTTTACTTAATCATATTAAGTCATGAGTGGGTGGTTCTTTGTTCAACAAATCCCCACAAAATTCCATATATTCACTTAGTCTTAGGATAGTCCCAAAAGGCCTTTAGAACACTCATTACTCCTCTTAGCACCTAAAAGCCTATTTTTCCCAATTTAAGGCCGAATGCCCATTACAAAGGAGCTATAAGATTTCTCTTTGTCTAGTGCCTAAACCCAAGCTTAGCCACCTATATAAATTATTTTACGCATATAAGTGTCCTCACTTTGCGAAACAATATCTCCGAACATATACCTCATTTGAAAATGGCCAAAACTCATTTTAAGGCCATACAAAGGAGCTACCTTATTTTCTTTTTTATTTCACCAAAGCGAAGGTCCATACACCTTAGAATATCATTCCACGCATAAAAGTATGCTCGCTTTGTAAAACAGTAACTCATAGCACATACTTCCTTTGAAAATGGCTAAGAGGCACATAAAGGAAATCATGCCAACTTCATGATTTCAATGCTTTACTCCATCAAATTCAAGCTTATCACACACCTCTAATCCAAGATTCGTTAATTGATATATACGACACTGTTCATCTCTACAATACTATTCATGTATGCGTCACTATTCACGTATACGACACTATTCAAAAATACGGTATTTTTAATTTTCCAAAATACATTTTCACCGTTAAAATTCTCATCTAAACACTTTTCTCAACATGAGCTAAACCTGAATTAAGCTCTAACATGCTCAATCAATCCAAATTTTTAAAATGAAAACCTATATTCAATCTTTCTCAAAACTCAAAGAAAACAAAGATTTCTTAACATGAACTTACCTAGAATGAAGGGAGAAGCTTGCTTCAAGCTCCCATGGCTTCAAGCTCCATCAAAACCCATATTTTCCATGAAATTCGAATTCTTTGGGGGAGAAGATCTCTCTCTACAGTGAACCCCACTCAGAAATACTGGTACCAATAGATTCCTCTCGAAATTTCTCACAGGTTTGGCTTTGGAACGGAGTGATTTGGAGGTCTCTAGCTCAAGTTATGAATTTTGGAAGAATTTTAATCAAAATCTCCATTTTCATTTTCTTTCCTTCGTTCTCTCTGTCTCGCGTCCGTAAAGAGAAGGGAACAGTGACTCCCTTGAGTCACTTATATAAATTCATTATACTAGCGGGTATAAGCTCATCTATCTACACACCTCCATTCATTACCAAACTTTAACCAATAGACTAGAATATTTTTCTAGTCACGTTTCTATTTTTACTTTCACTTTTAGATAACTTTATTTACCCGCATTTTTTACCTCTTAACTGTCATTTTAACTCATTTTTCACCAAAAGTGACTTTATTTCTTTTTCTTTGTAATTATCCTTCAATATTAAATCCATAATAAATGTGAGGGTCATTATATTCACCCCACCTTTTAAGGATTTTGCCCCCAAAATCACACATATAACATAACACATACCTGACGTCAAACTCAGGATAACGCTGGAGAATATCATTCTCTCGCTCTCAAGTAGCATCCTCAGAAGTCAAACTTTCCCATTGTATCTTAACCCATTGTATCTTAACCATAAGAATAACCATGTTCCTCAATACTTTCTCATCGCGAACCAGAACTTTCAGTGGTCCCACAACAAACTTCAAATCTTACTTTACCTCATTATCGTCGTGTTGAACAATGTGGGACACATCAGATACATCTCTACAAAGTTGACTGATGCGAAAAACATCATGCAAATTAGACAAATGTGGAGGTAAGGCAAGCTGATACGCCACAGGTCCGACCCTCTTTATTATCTGGTGGGGCCTTATGAACCTAGGACTTAACTTCCTCACACCTAGAGCACGCCTAAACCTGTAGTCGGAGACAAACTAATAAACACATGATTCCCTTCATAAAATTCAAAGGGTTTATGTTTCTCAATCTCTTTTACATATAATCGAGCCAACTGCTCAATAGAGCAACTCATCTTGACTGGAATGAAATATGCATACTTAATCAATCTGCCTACCACAACTCACATAAAATCAAAACCAGCCTAAGTTCTCGGCAATGCTACTACAAAATCCATAGAAATACTAACCCACTTCTATTCCAGAATATTCAAGGGCTGCAGTAATCCATAGGGCTTCTCATTCTCAAATTTATATTCGTCATTTTATTTCTCTGAGCTCATTTAAGTTCACTTTTATTCCCTAAGGAACAGTAATAACAATTCACAGTTGGGTTTCTGCACTGTTTTTAACGAAGTGCCCTGTGAATTACAAACTGTGCACTGTTTGCACGCAAAATCGTAAAATTTCTAAACTTATCATTTTTGGTCTAAACATGACTTGTTTAGCATATAATGGACTTACTTATTACATCCATCTTCTTACTGAAAATATAATTCCACTAAAACATCAATGTATCAGTCTTTCTACTGATAATATAATTTACAATTTATTGTACATCAGTCCTTGCACTGATAATACAATTTACAATTTCATTGTACACCAGTCCTTACACTGATAATACAATTTACAAATTTTAATGACCAGGGAAACTGCACTCTATGAATTACACAAGGAATATCCTTGATACATGCTAAATGCAAAGCATCACATCATAACTAATACTCTGGTTAACTATTCAAGGGCTCTCCCCAAGAATAGCTAACTGACATGTCTCACATGTCTAGTGTGACTCCCAGGGTCAAGCCATAGGCAATCAACACAAACTGTACACAAACTGTAGTATGAAAATAACTCCCAGGGTCAAAGCCATAGGCAGTCAACATACCAAGGTCACTGACAAGGATTCTCATAACATATATCATCATTACATCAAAAATCATATAATATTTATATGAACGTGAATGAATGCACATATACAACATATCAAACACTTATTCATAAACTGAACAATATCTTTCTTCATACCAGACCACCAGAAATTTTGGTTTCATGGCCTGATACATCTTGGTAGCAATAGGATGGATAATGTACTTACCCATATGGCCCTCAGCCAATACCTCATCTACCATTTGACCCTTCGGAACAATGATCCGATCTTTGTAAAATTTAAGACCGAACCTATCAGTGGACACAAAGTCCTGTTCTTTCATGGACTGAATCTCTTCATCAAGCAATTGAGCTTCTTTGATCCGCTCAACTAATGAGTTCTGGACTACCGTAGTAGTCAATAAATGCAGACTATCCTCGGTATTCACAGGAATGCAGAGATCCCTGAATTTCTCAATCAAATTATACTCAGAAATCATCAAATTGGCCATACCAAGCGTCTTTCTGCTTAAAGCATCTGCTACTACATTAGCCTTACCGGGGTGATATTGCAATTCAAAATCATAATCCTTCAGGAATTCCACCCATCGGCGTTGCCTCATATTCAGCTCTTTCTGATCAAACAGATACTTCAAACTTTTGTGGTCATTGTAGACAATGAAATCGGCCCCCGTATAGAAAGTGTCGCCAGATTCTCAATGCGAACACTACGGCTGCCAACTCAAGATCGTGTGTCGGATAGTTCTTCTCATGCGGCTTTAACTGCCGAGAAGCATAAGCAACCACCTGACGAAACTGCATTAAAACACAGCCTAACCCAAACTTAGAAGCATCACAATACACCACAAATTTACTGGTAGGATCCGGCAATATCAATACCGGAGCTGTAGTCAACTTCCTTTTTAACTCCTGAAAACTCACTTCACATTCTTGGGTCCACACAAATGGGTTCCCCTTACGGGTTAACCGTGTCAAAGGTAGTACCATCCGTGAGAATCCCTCAATAAAACACCTGTAATACCCAGTCAAACCAAGAAAACTCCTGATTTCTGTAATATTTTTAGGACGCTCCCAATCTAACACTGCTTCAATCTTACTCGGGTCCATTGCCACTCCTTCAGATGAAATGACATGGCCCAGAAATTGTATCTCAGAAAGCCAGAAATCACACTTTAACGGTTTAGCATACAACTGATGCTCTTTCAGAATCTGCAAAACAATCTTTAAATGCTCAGAATGCTCTTCTTTGCACCTTGAATATATCAGTATGTCATCAATAAAGACAACCACAAATTGATCCAGATAGGCTTTAAAGATCCGATTCATATAACTCATAAAAACGGCTGGTGCATTCGTAAGCCCAAAAGGAATAACCAGGTACTCGTAGTGCCCATATCAGGACCTGAAAGCTGTCTTCGGAACATCATCCGACTTTATCCGGATTTGATGATACCCGGACCGAAGATCAATCTTAGAAAATATAGTCGCACCACGCAACTGATCCAACAAATCGTCTATACGCGGCAAAGGATACTTATTCTTGACAGTAACCTTGTTCCACTGCCGGTAATCTGTACACAATCTTATAGACTCGTCCTTCTTCTTAACAAAGATCACCGGGACTCTCCACGGAGATACACTCCGTCTGATAAAATTCTTACTAGACAAGTCTTCGATCTGCTTCTTCAATTCAGATAATTCCAGAGGTGACATCCGGTATGGGGCAAGAGAGATAGGCCCCACGCCAGGTAACAAGTCGATTGTAAATTCAATTTCCTTCTCTGACGAAAATTCGAAATTTCATCCTTATCACAGTCAAATCGAATGCTTCATTATTAATTCAAGCTCTTTCTGCCTAGTTGCAGTCCAAGTCTGCTGTAGTGCAGCCAAAATCGCTACAACATGATCCGGTGGTGGATCATGATTATTAAATGTTCTACGAGTTCTCCTTGGAGGAACCATATCTCTGCATATATTACACTAAGGAATGAGTTAGCTACGCTCACACTCAGTGATCACACATGCATTATACAGCACTGCAAGAAAACACTCAAGAACTTCCAACTTCAAATATATTATGCTATATATCATGTAACTCCCTAGAGCAACTGCTCTGATACCATAAATGTAACATCCCCGTCTCGAGCCGGTTCAATTAACATACATATGATACAAACAGAAACAGCGGAAGACTTAACTTACGAAAATACGAACTAACTTTTTCTTTTTCTTTAATCCTTTTTCACATGACATATCACATTGCATACTTCTTCTAATTTAATTCTTATTTTACGGAGACGAAAATCGGACAGAGTAACCTCTGTAAATCGGACAACTGGGGATTTTCCAATCCCACACTCAAGAGTTCCTGATAGACAGTTTAAACAATATATATTTCCAGAAGTACCAGTCATGCAAATATACTCAGATACCCATCTATGGGCGCATGCTGAACTTGGCTCCGTGCCACAAATCTAATAGCATGCAATCCAATACATAACATAACTGAATACTACATAGTCATATCATCATGCCTGAATACATAAATGTACATGTATCGAATATGAACACTATGCAACAATACATCTTTTCCAAAAATACGTCTAAAACAAATAGTAGCATCCGACCACCCAGAACTCCACATCCTCATACTAGTACCTCTAGCCACGGTTAGTGTCCTTGTCCCATGAGGCTCTTCAATTAACTGTGTTCCTGAAATCATATCCCCAAACGGGGTTAGAGACGAATCTCTAGTAAACTCCAGGTTTATGGAAAACCCTCCATACCCTGGGCTCACTTCCCGCATGACAGTCAGATACATAATATACAAAACATCATATAAGCAATTATCATAACTGAACAAAGCATATATACATATCTTATCAAAGACAAACGCAGTCATTCCCAAGGGATGACCCCAAGCGAAAATCAACACACGTAACAAATATCTTTTACAAAAATCATCACAATACTCACATCAGAACAAAACGTGTTATATCAAAGATGTACGCAATCGTTCCCAAGGGATGACCCCAAGCGGAAATCAACGTACGTAACAAATATCATTTACAAAATCATCATACATATCCCATAAAACATGTCATAAAATCAAATATCATAACTAAACAAAACATATACACATATCTTATCAGAAACGTACGCAGATATTCCCAAGGAAGGACCCCAAGCGGAAATCAACGCACGTGTTCCCAAGGGAGGACCCCAAGCGGAACCAGAACATATCAGAGGCGTACGCAGTCATTCCCAAGGGAGGACCCCAAGCGGAAATCAACGCACGTGTTCCCGAGGGAGGACCCCAAAGCGGAACCAGAACATATCAGAGGCGTACGCAGTCATTCCCAAGGGAGGACCCCAAGCGGAAATCAACGCACGTGTTCCCGAGGGAGGACCCCAAAGCGGAACCAGAACATATCAGAGGCGTACGCAGTCATTCCCAAGGGAGGACCCCAAGCGGAAATCAACGCACGTGTTCCCGAGGGAGGACCCCAAAGCGGAACCAGAACATATCAGAGGCGTACACCATCAGTCCCGAGGGAGGACCCCAAAGCGAACATCCGGGTACTATACAATCAATGGCCAGATATTGTTACAGAAATCATATTACAGAAGTCATATCATAACAAAACATATCATATTAACACATATCAAAGTAAATACATCAAAACAAAACATATCATATTATCATATAGCTCTATATGAATGCATCTATATCATATATCTCATACATATCATACAACCTGACCACAGTCCGTACACTATGGCGGAACACAAAGTAGGAGCGAACCCCATAAACATAGAGCTTACCTCTTTGAGCTTTACAATCTGCTTACTTGAAGAACAAGCTACTTATCATACTCCACGAGAATCCAAACGTTCACAGTCCCTAGGTACACCTAGAGAAGGAATTCAACATAAAACTCAATAAAATGATATAATGCCATGTAAATATACAAGACACACACTTTATTGTTTATTTTCTTTTTACTTAATCATATTAAGTCATGAGTGGGTGGTTCTTTGTTCAACAAATCCCCACAAAATTCCATATATTCACTTAGTCTTAGGATAGTCCCAAAAGGCCTTTAGAACACTCATTACTCCTCTTAGCACCTAAAAGCCTATTTTTCCCAATTTAAGGCCGAATGCCCATTACAAAGGAGCTATAAGATTTCTCTTTGTCTAGTGCCTAAACCCAAGCTTAGCCACCTATATAAATTATTTTACGCATATAAGTATCCTCACTTTGCGAAACAATATCTCCGAACATATACCTCATTTGAAAATGGCCAAAACTCATTTTAAGGCCATACAAAGGAGCTACCTTATTTTCTTTTTTATTTCACCAAAGCGAAGGTCCATACACCTTAGAATATCATTCCACGCATAAAAGTATGCTCGCTTTGTAAAACAGTAACTCATAGCACATACTTCCTTTGAAAATGGCTAAGAGGCACATAAAGGAAATCATGCCAACTTCATGATTTCAATGCTTTACTCCATCAAATTCAAGCTTATCACACACCTCTAATCCAAGATTCGTTAATTGATATATACGACACTGTTCATCTCTACAATACTATTCATGTATGCGTTACTATTCACGTATACGACACTATTCAAAAATACGGTATTTTTAATTTTCCAAAATACATTTTCACCGTTAAAATTCTCATCTAAACACTTTTCTCAACATGAGCTAAACCTGAATTAAGCTCTAACATGCTCAATCAATCCAAATTTTTAAAATGAAAACCTATATTCAATCTTTCTCAAAACTCAAAGAAAACAAAGATTTCTTAACATGAACTTACCTAGAATGAAGGGAGAAGCTTGCTTCAAGCTCCCATGGCTTCAAGCTCCATCAAAACCCATATTTTCCATGAAATTCGAATTCTTTGGGGGAGAAGATCTCTCTCTACAGTGAACCCCACTCAGAAATACTGGTACCAATAGATTCCTCTCGAAATTTTTTACAGGTTTGGCTTTGGAACGGAGTGATTTGGAGGTCTCTAGCTCAAGTTATGAATTTTGGAAGAATTTTAATCAAAATCTCCATTTTCATTTTCTTTCCTTCGTTCTCTCTGTCTCGCGTCCGTAAAGAGAAGGGAACAGTGACTCCCTTGAGTCACTTATATAAATTCATTATACTAGCGGGTATAAGCTCATCTATCTACACACCTCCATTCATTACCAAACTTTAACCAATAGACTAGAATATTTTTCTAGTCGCGTTTCTATTTTTACTTTCACTTTTAGATAACTTTATTTATCCGCATTTTTTACCTCTTAACTGTCATTTTAACTCATTTTTCACCAAAAATGACTTTATTTCTTTTTCTTTGTAATTATCCTTCAATATTAAATCCATAATAAATGTGAGGGTCATTATATAAGGAAACCGCGCACAGTAATTTCACGAATAATATTTCAACAGAATACATAACAATAATTTACAGAGGGAATAGTTAAATTTACCTAGGATTCTTTTGAGAACAGAAAAATGAAAGCTTGAGAGGTTTAGAAAGCACCCAAATCTTCAACAATGGGTTCTCCTTCAACACCCTAAAGCTTTAATGGATGGGTGGTGTTTTAATGGAAGAGAGGAAGAAGAAAAAAAATGAAAACTTTAGAGAAGAAGGCTAGGACTCCAAGAAACTCTAAAGAGAAGCCACACTCAGCCGCTGAGTTTCTTTCAAAAAACACACCTAGGGTTTTGTGCCCAACTATTGTATTTATAGGGCACTTAAGGGTTAAAACACACAGTATTAGCTTTAATTGCTACGCTTAGCATTTTAATCCCAAACTTTGGATTATGAAACTACATAATTTTCTGAGATTTATCATATTTTTCTTATAATTTTCTGAGCAACTTTCCGGTACGCGCTTTTAAGAGCCAGTACCGATTTCTAGCACCAGTTCTCATTATTTGGACTTGAAACTCGTTTTATAAGTCCTACATATTATTCTAGTAATTATCATGCACTTACATTAATTTTCTGGGATACTTTTTTGGCACGCATTTATACCGACTAGCAGAACCAGTATCTGCACTTTTCTTCCGAAAAGCGACTTTCAGCATTCTTAATCACTTATTATGATTATTAAGCCTCATAATTAATTATTAGGGTCAATTATGGAATCATTTCCTATTTTTGCATAATTAATTAATTAAATATCTTAATTAACGGTGCGGGTTCTTACACACAAAGTCATGCACTAGGTGCTGGACTTGGTGGTGCATGACGTGGTACATTAGGTGCCTGACGTAGTGCACCTAATGCTTGACTTGGTGCCTGGCGTGGTGCACCTGCTGCTTGAATTAATGTTTGACGAGGTGCATGTGATGCTTGACTTGGTGCCTGACGAGGTGCATGTGGTGCATCACGAGGTGCACACGGTGCCTGGCTAAGTGCACCTGGTGCAGGACGTGATGCACATGGTGCCTAACAAGGTGCACCCAGTGCCTGGTTTGGTGCACCTGGTGCTTGACGATGGTCACCTAATGGTTAACTTGGTGCCCGACGAGGTGCACCCAGTGCCTGGCGTGGTGCACCTGGTGCTTGACTATTGATCGTCAGGTCGTCCTCCTTCAACTCACCAACTTTCAAGTCAATCAGAGCAACTTAAATTGATGCAAAATTTACGATTTTGCCATTCTGCAACAGTAAAACAGCAAAAAGGGTTAGCAAACGATTGAATTTGACAAAAGTAGGGGCAAATTCACCCTTTTTAAAGAATGAGTTTTTCTCATTAGGTCGAATTCCACTGGGATTAGAACTTTTGAGAGTGATTTCGGCAAGACAGAGTTTTTCCCAATCACAAAAGTTGCCCAAATCAAAAAGAAACAAATAAAAAAATGAAGAAGAAAGAAAATGAAAGGTTAGGAAAGTTAATTTGAAGAATTTAATTTTATTTTCAAAAAGATATATTTTAGAAAGTTTTCTTAAAAATCATGATGCAATATCTAGTGCATAAATCTAGAGATTTTTCCTTAGGATTTGATTTTCAGAAAAAGTCTAAAATACTATACCTTGAGTCATTATTCATAGCTCTTCAAGAATTAAGGAGAGAAAAATGTTGAAACACTTAGAACCCAAAAATCATACTCATCTAGGCTTATTTTGCATACTTTGAGAGAGCTCAACATCTTTTCTTTTCTTCATCTTTTTTTTGTGATAACTTTTAATTCTAGACGTAGGGAGGTTGCTCTACAGGTTCTAAACGATTTGGTTTGCTGTGTTTTTATTTTTAGTACAGGTGGAGTAATACTTAAGGTGGTCGGGTTGAGCGTGGTCTAGGGAGATCACAGGTCTTATAAAATTTCTCTTGTGATTGGTTTTGAGACAAGTGGAGTGATCCTAGGGTTTAGGTTAAGGGTGATCAAATGGTTTATCATAGTCTTGTAAATTTCCTCTTGTAAAATGGTTTCTTTAAGCACCGATTGGAAGTTTGATGATAGTGGAACAATCGATAACAGTCTGGATGTAGCTCTCAAGTGGTAGAGAGTGAATAAGGATAAATCCCAGTGTTATCTTCTCTTCCCTTACCTTTTTACTTTCTGGTGCATATAACTCTTTTGATTTAGTGTTCTTGATGATATGAATTTTTTTATAAAGTTTGAGAATTTTTGTTAATAGTTTAAAATCTCTCTTGCATGCTTTCTTGAAAAGAGATTTTTGATTTTCTTTGTTTAAAACGAAAAAATTTGAAAACCCAATTCACCCCACCTTGTGTTGTTATTTAGCCATTCTTTCTTTTCAGTTTGTGTTTTACCTCGAAATTATTTTTATGCATTCTTGAATGACTCGATCATTTATATAGGGATTTGAGAGTTAGGGTTCACAATAGGCATATTGAGATTTTAATCTTGACAGGGGTAAACACTAGTTCTTGCATGATTTAGATATAGGCTTGTAGGAATTGCAAACTTTCATAATTCATTGCGCTTAAAGCTTAATCTGAAAGAAATTACTAAGACATTATGATTCTAATTAGGTCAAAGGGTCGAAGTCACTAAGAAATTATGATTTAACCAACCAATTATTAGAAGATAAATTATTTGAAACAATTGGGATAAATTATTATTGAAATCAATTTAAACTACTCAAAGGGGATCGGAGGTGAAGTATACCCTAACTACAGTCTCATTATTGATTTCTTTAATTCTGTTTTAATTCTCTGCATTCTTGTCTGAGTTTTATTTTAATTGCAATTGTCTTTATTTTTAATTTTATTCAAAATTACTCTTCCAATTATTTTGATCCGTCCAGATTAAGGGAAATAGTGAGAATAGTGCTTGGTTCAATTAATTCTGGTGAGAACGATATATTTCTCAGCACTTTATTACTTTTACGACCGGTATACTTGCCGTGATTGCAACAAATTCCATGAAATAAAATAATACTACTAGGTAAGGGTATTCTTGGATTTTCAACTTGTGGAAATATTTTACATAATTTATAGGACATAAATAACTCTGCTTTAATATTTTTATGACTAAAATACCCTATCTTGTTAAAGACCTAGTCGTTTGAGGTTGTTCTAATTTGAGAACGAAATTGGTTTGATAATGGTCAAATTCATTTGGAAAATTTGAGTTTGATCTCCAACGCAGCTTTTTGACCCTTTTATGACATATTAGAATTTTTTAAAAAAATCATTAAATATTAATTTTATAAAATCAACACATATTCCCATGAATCATTAACAATCAACCAAATATAGAATCAAGAAATTTGAGCCAATATTTCTAAAAATATTTTATTCTACCAAATAATTTTTTGATAATATTTATGAAAAAATCACTTTCCCAATATACTTTCAAGAATCATAATTCTCAAGCCCCGGGGCATAAGCTTAGTGGAAAGGGTCGAAACCTAGGGTCTTGTGGCAGAAATGCACCAAAGCACCGGGTTCGATTCCTGCCTCGACATGCACATCCGGCGATTTATATCCTCCCAAGGTTCCCAAGGGCGTGGGCTTGAGGGGCGGCAGTGATGGGCCGTAATCCAAAAAAAAAAATCATAATTCTCAAAAATAAAAATATTTATCTTCTACTAAATGCTTTTAAAGATTTGAAATAATTCATGAGATAGATGGGTTTTTTTTTCGGGTTTAATTAGATAGAGGTTTTAGAAACTCCAAGAGTGGAGAAACAGGTGCGTCACATTGGTAACGTTGGCATGTGTCTACAAATTTATCTTTGTCATATGTTTTTTTATTTTTAGTTTTTATGATTTTCAATTGTTGTTTGTGTGTTGATACTGTGTTTGAAAATGTGAAAAAGAAGATAAGGATCTGACACAAAATGTGAAAGGAAGAAGACAAGGATGTGACAACCCACGACACCGTGTGTACGAAAATATTTTTGATACTCCTACTAGATTCAATTAATATTCGATGTATCAAGGGAAAATGATTCTCTCATTTTATATTAAATAACTATCTCATGTTTTTTTACATAAAAAATTGTGTCATTATTTTTCTTTTCTTTTTTAATAAATAATGGACCCCATCATATTATGTGTTTATGATAAGAGATATTTATCTCCAACAACATGAGAAAAATAAAACATTTTATTAAATATGACAAAAGATAATATTTTTATATTATTCTTAGAGAAAATTTATATTTACAATTTTTTTTACTTATAAACAACACTATATGACCGGTAAGATACTCTTGAGTGAAGTTTGACCGATCAGACATAGTATAATTTATAAATTTATAAAAAAAAAAAATTCAATGTAACCCTTCTCTTATTTTTATGGATAATAGTTTTTTTTCTTCCATAAAGTAAGAAATAACTATTGTATCCCATGGTCTCATTTATGCAGGTGAGATCTACTTTTAAGGGAAGAGAGAGAGAAAAAATAGAGTGAGATCTATTTTGAATTTGCATGTGTAAAAGATAATTTCTTTTTTATCTAACATAAGAATAATAAATTCCTATTTTTATTTTAATAATTATTTTTATTTGTATCTCATATATTTATTTTTTGAATAAAGAAATTGGTACTCTCAATGTACCCAAAATAAGCTTCGTTTGTAGATAAATGGCTCAAAATCTATATGTACTATATAGCATATTAAGAGAAAAAAAACTTTATAAATATCTCTGATTTTTTTAAATAAAAAATACTCTAATTTTTTTAATTAATAATACCCTTAACATTTAAATATTCTTATCCGTCTTTTAATTTAAATAAAACTGTTAAATTTGGTTTAAAAAAACTGTTAAATTTTATTATATCATAATTATTTTGTTCCCCAATTATTTATCCGTAAGTTCTAAATCAATTATTAAAAGCTTGAGTTGCCTACCCAAAAAAAAGAGCTTGAGCTGCTAGAGCATTATTAATTAAAAAGAAGTTAATTAGTGATATTTTTTATTTTTTTACAAAAAGTAGGATCATTTATAAAATTATCCCAATTTATAACTTAACTATCTATCTTTGAAATTTACGTATTTTATTTAAGTTTTGTTTCATTACAACTAATCACTTGTCAAGCTATAGTCAATTTCAAGATGTTAACATGACCAAAATATCACACTGGAACTGGATTAAGTTAAAGTTAACCTAGTAATACTTTACTTTAAATGGAATAATTTTTTTATTAACAGAATGATTTTTTTCTCAGCTTAAAGAAAAAAAATTACAAGCCCATAATGCATAATCCCTTTTTTTATAGTCCCCTCCCTTTATATACAAGGTGGGATCCATTTTATTAGACCACCTCTTATCAAAGCGATAAGATTATCTTAGCCCAACTTCTTCACTTGAAATATGTTCCTTTCTTTTAAAAAACATACCTTAAAATGTCAGCTCAAAAACAACATATATTAGGAAAAATATTTTCCCTAAAGTAAATTTATTTTTATAAGTGTAAATAAAGATATATTCTTTTAAAATTTTAATAAATTAGAAAAATTCATGGCTCCTGCAAGGTCGGAAAAGACTATTAACTTTATTTTACTATATAATATTTTAAAAACGGACTCCTTAGCAAAGAAGGATAAACTTACTTAAAATAATTTTTTTTTTTTTTTTTTTGTAACTATAAAACAAAACACCCAATCAAATGGACTCCTTAGCAAAGAAGGTGTCATACTGGACCCAGTACCAATAATAGAGCCCTTCCTATTTATGAGAGAGTGGAAGTCTTTGTCTAATTATTACTTGCTGTTTTTAATAATCTCTTTGGTAAAGCAAAGCATCCGATAATAGTTAAAATAAGAGTGCTTTTAATAATTTTGTATCTAATCTTGTTTTAACCATATGAATTAGGAAAGATTATATTTACTATCTCTTTCTTTTACTATCTTTTATTATTAAATTTTAATTGTTAATTTTCATCAATTTAATGGTTGTAATTTATTAAAAATTAAAAATTAACTAATAAATATAACCCAATCAATTACAATCATTAGATTGATAAGAGGTAGTAAGAAAAAGATGTAATAATTATAACCTTCCCCTTTTAACAATAAATAAAATTAGATGTTTTATAGTATTATTTTTAAAAATAGCTTCATTCTTTAACATTAATTTTTTTTGGAGGAAGGTTATACTTACAACCTTTTTTCTTTACAACCTCTTACAATCATATTTTAACATGGTTGATTTCCGCCAATCAACGGTTATTATTTATTGTGAATTATTAATAAATTAATGAATTTAATTTGCGAAAATGATAACCGTTGATTGACAGAAATCAATGGTGTTAAAATATGGTTGTAAGAGATTGTAAAGAAAAAAGGTTGTAAGTATAACCTTGTTCTTTTTTTTTTATGTAATTTTTAAAATTCTTAATATTGATTGATTTAAAACCAATTAAAATAAATATAAATTAATTATTTAAAGATCTAAATATATATTCCCTTTGTTTTGGGATAAGAATAATTCCCACTTTATTGAGGGCCAGTCTTTGGAAATTACCAAACCTTCCATTTCCCAATCCTTCAAACATTGCCCCAATATTCTTCATGGTTATTTCCAAGAAGATGCATCACAAACTTTCGATATAAATTGTTATTCAGATACTATCAGTTTATTTTCCATGCCTATAAATACATAAAGAGTGTCTTGCATCTTGTTCATTAATCACATCCACATTTTCATTTTCATAACCCAAAATACCATTTTCTTTCTTTGTTAAAAGTGTCCAACTCTCAAGTTGTTAAGCTCTGCCATGGCAACAAGGAAAGGCAAAGCCATAGGCATTGACCTTGGCACAACCTACAGCTGCATCGCAGTGTGGCAACGCAACCGTGTTGAGGTCATTCCAAATGACCAAGGAAACCGCACAACACCTTCTTACGTTGCCTTCACTGATTCTGAAAGGTTATTGGGCGATGCTGCCAGGAACCAGGTAGCCATTAATCCACACAACACCGTTTTCGACGCCAAACGTTTGATTGGTCGGCGATTCTCCGACCCATTAGTTCAACAAGACATGAAGGTATGGCCTTTCAAGGTTGTCCCTGGCACCAGAGACAAGCCCATGATTGTGGTCACATATAAAGGGGAAGAGAAACATCTTGCAGCTGAAGAAATATCTTCCATGGTGTTGTCCAAGATGAAGGAAGTTGCTGAGGCGTATCTGGGTCATGCAGTGAAGCATGCTGTGATCACTGTCCCTGCTTACTTCAACAACTCACAGAGACAGGCCACTAAGGATGCAGGGGAAATCGCAGGTTTCAACGTGATGAGGATCATCAACGAACCTACTGCAGCTGCTATTGCTTACGGGTTGGACAAGAAGGAGTGGAGAAAAGGTGAGAAGAACGTGCTCGTGTTTGATCTTGGTGGTGGTACTTTTGATGTTTCCTTGGTGACCATCGATGAAGGGATGTTCAAAGTTAAGGCCACAGTGGGAGATACCCATTTGGGTGGTGTGGATTTTGATAACAATATGGTGAATTATCTTGTGGATGTGTTTAAGAGGAAGTACAAGAAGGACATTAGTGAGAATGCTAAAGCTCTTGGGAGGTTAAGGTCGGCGTGTGAGAAAGCTAAGAGGTTATTGTCTTCAACTTCCCAGACCACTATTGAGCTTGATTCTTTATGTGGAGGGGTTGATCTATATGCCACTGTTACAAGGGCGTTGTTCGAGGAATTGAACAAGGACTTGTTCATAAAGTGTATGGAGACGGTGGAGAAGTGCCTCGTTGAGGCAAAGATTGGTAAATTTCAAGTCCATGAGTTTGTTCTTGTAGGTGGGTCTACTAGAATTCCAAAAGTTCAGCAACTATTGAAGGACATGTTTAGTGTCAATGGCAAAGTCAAAGAGCTATGCAAAAGCATTAACCCTGATGAAGCCGTGGCATATGGTGCAGCAGTTCAGGCTGCGATCTTGAGTGGTGAAGGAGATAAGAAAGTGGAGGAATTGTTGTTGCTTGATGTCATGCCGCTTAGTCTTGGTGTTGAGACTGATGGTGGTGTCATGTCTGTGTTGATTCCAAAGAATACAATGATCCCCACCAAGAAGGAAAGTGTTTTCTCAACCACACAAGATAATCAAACTAATGTTTTGGTCAAAGTATATGAGGGAGAGCGAGCTAAGACACAGGATAACTTCCTTCTCGGGAAGTTTGAGCTCTCTGGGTTCCCTCCAGCACAAAGAGGAGACCCAAAGATTACTGTTAGCTTTGATATAAATGTTGATGGTATTCTCGAGGTCGCTGCTGAAGATAAAGCCACGAGGGTGAAGAAGAAGATAACAATCAGCAACAAGAAGGGAAGGTTAAGCCCGGAAGAGATCAGGAGAATGGTGAGAGATGCAGAGAGGTATAAGGCAGAGGATGAGGAGGTGAGAAAGAAGGTGAAGGCTAAGAACTCGCTTGAGAATCTTGCTTATGAATTGAGGGATAGAGTGAAGAAGCTTGAGAAGGCAGTGGAAGACACCATAGAATGGCTTGACAGAAACCAATTGGCTGAAACTGATGAGTTTGAGTACAAGAAGATGGAGTTGAAAAGGGATATGCAATTTCTGTCAGTGTAAAATGGTTCACTGTTGACTTACCGAGTCTGAAGCAATGTAAAATAGTTCAAGCTTTGTTAATCAGTCAAGTATTTTGAGTGTGTTTATGAGTTTATCTGATCTAGTTTCTGGTTTTTGTCCACCGTGTGAATGTACTTTTGGTAATATGCATTCAAGGAATATTATATTGAGTTTATTACCTTTCTTAGTGTAATTTTTCTAACTATAATCCAACACAAAGAAGAAAACCTAAATATACTCTTATTCCACCCATAAAGAAAGTCCTAATAGATCGGTTTAAATTTTTATTATCTGTTTATAATTATGAATTCTTATAAAATCCTTATTATAACATTTGTAATGCTCCAAGTCCAAGCACAGATAGGCCAAGAAAATTAGGTCGAATTGCGGACCAAACTTTCAACTTTCAAGTTAATCAATTTATTGACGACCGAAAATCTCGGTCAGATAATGTGGAATATTCCAGACTTACTAACTCCCCAAACACAATTGGCTCAGGCTCAGGCAACTGATATGCAAAAGCATACTATCCAATCAAATAACCTATTTTTTTAAAATTAGTTTAATGAGAGTGTGATTTCCATTGTATGAAGTATGAACAACAGAGAAAGCATGGTGTGTGGTGACGGTTTCCACCGTCCACACAAATAAGATACTTTCTTTGTTTCTTTTTTTCATATCTTAAAAATTTAATAAATTTCAATATTTTTCTAAATTTATGTTTAATATTAATAATTAAGAAAAAAAAATGAATAAAAGCACATTTTCAATATTTTAAAGAACCAATTAAATTTATTTTATTTGTAATAAAAATTTCTTAATTTTTGTATAACAAAGTTGAAGTAGAATCGATGAAGCAGAATCGGATCAACCCAGGTCTCAGTGGGGGGGGGGGGGGGAATTTAATATGCTCCAGATTCACTATTTATTTAGTGGTCCCTTCTCTATAAATGAAAAATTTTCTTTCATTTCTACCTTTCTCTTTTTGATTTTTTTCCTCTCCATCCTTATTTTTTTTTTTTTTTTTGGGAAAGGACCATCATGATCCAGGCTCACAGAATACCTTCTCCAGTTAGGGGCATCAATTCGAGTAATTATTTAGATTGGCCGTGCACTTGACTCGGTTTTAATCTGTTGACCCTTTTTAGTTGTTGTTGAAAAATTGACCTTTTTTTTTTTAAGTTTGCTTCTTGTTCAAACAAAAGAAGAGGAGAAAAAATCTTAAGCAAACTGGACCTATATCATAAGCTGGAATTGGAAACTAAAGAAAAATCCTAAAAATAATTTGATTTTTCAACTTAAAAAAATAAAAAGAAACAAAGCTCTAGTTGGAACCATGTATAATAGCCATCATTTTATCCCTCCTGGTGTGCATTCTTTTATTAATATATTATTATAGAAAGTTTATATTTTATGAAAACATTTGAACAATCAGTATTGTTGTTTTCATCGATTATGTTTTTATATTTATAAAGAAATATTCATAATGCAGTAACTTTTTATCTGACATTTGCTATTGTATCGTCTCAAAGTGTATAAAATTTTGAAGATGATAATTTTATTCTATTTCACTTTTTTACCGACGTTGATTCACGAGACCCATTTTTAATATTAATTCACCAATTTTTTATACCTCCCTTAAAGGAGTTGCACTCATAAAAAAAGATGAATCGTGGCAATTTAATATAATTTAGTTAATATTATTCTTTTACTTTTATACAAACAGTTATCTTTACGAAGATTTGATTAAAAAATTATAAATTATATAAACTATTAATAAACAATGGCCGCCACTTTCTTCGTAGAAATAATATTTTTCTTTCGGCTTTTTTACTCTTATAACCTTTAATTAATAATTAATTATTAATTTGACCTTCATTTGAAACTAATTCGAAAATTTAACCCCTTCAGAAAACATAACACCAATCTGCCCCTGTTTGACCGTTGACCATGAAGTCTACCCGGGTACACCCCTCCCTACCCTGGTATTTTTTGAAATTTTTTATCTACCCGGGTAGAGAGGGGTGTACCCGGGTAGAGTTCTTGAATCTGAAAAAATGCTTGAATTAGTTACCCGGGTAAGAAGGGTTGTACCCGGGTAAACATCCAGAGTAGCGTTTTTATATAACCGAGATGCTAAAAAGTTTCTTTTTCCAATTCATATTCTCCTAGGATTTATATTTCTATCAGGTTAATGAAAACGCAAAAAATTGAAGCACCTTCTGATTACAGAAAACAAAATGAAATTAGTAAAAAATTAATACAACATTACCATGTAATTGTATCCCCTAGTTTCTCTAATCTTCCTCAACATCATTTGGATTCAGCTTCCAGTATAAGAGTCTCAATTATGCAAAACTCACCATTTTTCTGCAACATCACAACTAAGTAAAACTATAGATAGATAGAGAGAGTAATGACCTGCTAATTGGTTGATGGAAACAAATTCATTAGGGCTGCCATGGCGAGGAAGCCTTGGATCTTCGTTGCTATCGTCCATAAACCATGCCTGTCACAGTTTTTTTCATTTATATAAAAACGCTACTCTGGATGTTTACCCGGGTACAACCCTTCTTACCCGGGTAACGAATTCAACCATTTTTCCAGATTCAAGAACTCTACCCGGGTACACCCCTCTCTACCCGGGTAGATAAAAAATTTCAAAAAATACCAGGGTAGGGAGGGGTGTACCCGGGTAGGCTTCGTGGTCAACGGTCAAACAGAGGCAGATTGGTGTTATGTTTGTTGGGGAGGGTAAATTTTTGAAATAGTTTTAAATGAAGGGCAATTTGGTAATTAATTATTAATTAAGGGTCATAAGGGTCAAAAAGCCTTTTTCTTTCACTTATAACACTTATTACCATTCATTTTTTTCATATTATTATAATTAATATGTTTATAGGTAAAATCATATACGTGAAGCAATAATAAATATATAGTTATAATTTCTCAGCTTTTACTTTTTATGGTTATAATTTCACTTGTTAAATGCTTTAACTATATACTTTATCTAATACTTTCACCATTATCTAATACTTAGATAATTCCCCGAATCTAATACTTTCATCTTTGTTGTACGGAGCCATGTGGTGACTACGAAAAGAAATTGTTCTTGTTCCTTTGTTTCGGAGTTCAGTTCCAACTTCAACCTTACCTTCAACTACAATCCTCACTGAAACCAACTCAAATTTCAAATCCAGAACAGAATCTGAATTGAAATTAGAGATTCGACATGGAGAGGCTTCAGCGAATGTTCGCAGGTGCAGGAGGAGCGCTAGGGCATCCACCCCCAGATTCCCCAACTCTCGATTCCTCCGAGCAGGTCTACATTTCCTCGCTCGCTCTCCTCAAGATGCTTAAGCACGGTAAAGTTCCCGTTTTTAACCCAATCAAATCATGGGGGTGCCCAATTTCAAAATTAGGGTTTTCTTGAATTCGTGGTTTTTTCAATGATAGGAAGGGCTGGGGTTCCCATGGAGGTGATGGGTTTAATGCTGGGCGAATTCGTGGACGAGTATACCGTCCGTGTTGTTGATGTCTTTGCAATGCCTCAGAGTGGCACTGGTGTTAGTGTTGAAGCCGTTGATCATGTCTTTCAGACTAATATGCTTGATATGCTCAAACAAACTGGAAGGTATTTTTATTTTATTTTTTTTAAATCTTTGTGTTTGCTTTGATTCATGAATTTATTGATGATTGTTACTTGTGTTGCAGACCAGAGATGGTTGTTGGCTGGTACCATTCACATCCTGGATTTGGCTGTTGGCTGTCTGGTGTTGACATCAATACACAGCAGGTTCAGCTTTTTTTATTCTTATTTTTTCTTCTTCTTCTTCTTTTGGTGATCCTTGTGTTTTTATATCTTGTTTATGTATCTACTACCCTAATCCAAGGGAAATTTATGTGGCAGGTGATCCCATTTAGTTTTTATTTTAATGATTTTTTAAGTTTTAAACACTGAATTAGAATTTGAAGCACTTCTATCATTGACAGGTTTATATATGTATAACTTGTTCTTATTAGTATGGTGCTGTTGATTAGTATGTATAACTTGTTCTTGTATATTCTGCCATGCAGAGTTTTGAGGCTTTGAATCAGCGTGCAGTGGCTGTGGTTGTAGATCCAATACAAAGTGTTAAAGGCAAAGTGGTTATTGATGCTTTTCGATTGATCAATCCACAGACGATGATGCTTGGCCAAGAACCAAGGCAGACAACATCCAATCTGGGGCATCTGAATAAACCTTCCATTCAAGTGAGCTACTCAAAGCCCTTTATCTTTTTTGGCATCAGTACCATTGTTTTTTTTTTGGGAAGCAGTTACATTGCACTTATATATTTTTTTTACTGCTTCTGATCTATATTTGTTGGCCCTCTTTAGGCACTGATCCATGGGTTGAACCGGCATTACTATTCCATAGCCATTAATTACAGGAAGAATGAACTTGAGGAGAAAATGTTGCTTAATCTTCACAAGAAGAAGTGGACTGATGGTTTGACACTTCAGCATTTTGATACGCATTCCAAAACTAATGAACAGATTGTTCAGGTAATTTAAGGATTCAGTGTATAAGGTAGATCGGTGCCTGTCTGATTACTCAAATAAACTCGCTGCATAATTTTTTTGTTTATTTATGCTGGTTTTAAGATTTGAAAACTGGCCTAATATATTTCATAGACTAGATACTCGTAGGTCTCAATTAATTTGATAATGCAGGAAATGTTGAACTTAGCTATCAAATACAACAAGGCAGTCCAAGAGGAAGATGAGCTGCCCCCTGAAAAGCTTGCAATAGCAAATGTGGGAAGACAGGATGCCAAGAAACATCTTGAAGAGCATGTTTCCAATTTGATGTCTTCCAACATTGTTCAAACTCTTGGAATGATGCTTGATACTGTTGTCTTCTAGAGTTGTCATTTTGGACCTTCTGGTTTCTCTAGCGTGATAAGGAGGCAAGTTGATTTTTTATAATTCTGTTTCCCAATTTATCTCAAACTATATTTGAAGGCAGTTGTATTCTTTGGACGAGCTGAAAAGGTCAAGAAAGTAAAACTTAGCATCGTAGTTTGTGTGGTGTCTCCCTCAGTATCAGTGGGTATCTTTTAATGTTATCTTATTGCATGATTATATCTTTTATAAAACTGTCTTTGATGAGGTACCACTCAGTCCAAAAAGAGTTTCAACAATCAAACAGTTGCTAAACAAACCAACAGTAGGCAAATACTCAAGAAAACAGGGGAAATAAGTCTGAATTCCCATTAACAACTGCAAAGGAATTATAGACAACCTGAATCGTAAGTCAGGTGTTTAAGGAAAGCTAAAGGCACCTGCACTTCCAATGGAAGCACCGGCAGTCAAAACATCAACTTTATTGTTCAGAATTACCCAAATTATTCTCTGACCCTTAATTATTCTCTCTTCTAACGGTTTCTCCCTTGCTCTTCAACTTATCCATGTCTGAATAGCCATCAGAAGCTACCACATTCTTCCTCACGTCCACTCACGACCTTCTCATTCACATGTACTTGAGGAATTAACCCTCTGTATTCTCTCACTCTTCCTTGTGTACACTCTTTGATTAGGGGCTATCAGTCTTTATCCACCCAAAAAAATGTCAGTTATGTTTTGAAATACTGTAAGAAACATTTTATATTGCATATAGAAATACTGTAATACACACACTAGGTCTGTAGTCTCTTATGAAATAACAAATACAACAAGGTCTAAATTAAGCAACATTTACTAAAAACATGGTCTTGAAACTAGGATGTGGGATTATGTTACAGGAGTGCTATTAGTAACAAATGCATAGTAATTGAAGCTACTAGAATGCTGGTCTACTCGTACTTACAACTAAAGTAGTGTGGTTTTGTACCTACGCTGTGGTACTTTCTTAAAAGTAGCCCATATAAGATCCAAGTATAGTGGAAATTGAGCCAAGGCAAAAAGTGTCACTGGCAGGCATGTCACGGCATATACAGGATATGCAGCGGATCTAAATTTGTCCTTGAGCACAAAGAAAAAAGCACCGCAGAAAGAAACCAGCATGGAGGTAATGGACATGAACAACGATGTCAAACCAAATATAATCTTCCTAGGAAGACTTTTACCGAAATCATTCTCTTGGTACCGAGATGTGAGTATTGACAGGAACAACACCACCGAGGTGACCGAACAGCAAAGTGCAATGAGTGATGAGATGGCAAAGATGTCAAATGCTGGCTTGTCTTCGAGGATTGGGAGACCGGTTGTGTCATGAAAACCACCTGGGACAGTGGTGGATGTGGTGAAGGCCACAGTGGCAACCAGTGCTGCCACCACGGAGCAAGATTCAGAGGTTTTGATCAGCCAATCCCCGCCGCTTTTGACGAGTTCCCTGTGAGTTTCGGTGAAGATCTCTCTTGGAGTCTTGTTGTCCTTGTTGTATCGACCAAAGAAACGTGGTGGCATCGATTCCTTAACATACTGCATCCATTCATCAGTAAAGGTAATTGGGTGAGTATATTTATACTTGGAGGTGTTATATTTATAATAGTAGGTAATTCCAATGAATGGTAATAATGAAAAATAGTATGTGATTTTGTAGGGATAATTGATTTCAGATTGACATCCAAGTGGTTTAATCTATTTTTGTATATAATTGATTCTTAAACGTTATGGTGGATACAAGTTTTAAGCATTTTTGTTTGAAAACAAGTTAATGTTGCTTATGTTTTTCACATGTTTTCAAACGGTGCTTTTATTATTTATTTTTCTTCATTCAAACAAGCGTTTTTAATTTATCTCAACTCAGTCATATATACACTTACCAAGTACCACTTGATTTCCCCGTGCATTTGCAGCGCTGCGCCAGGAATGCGCCAAGGTTTAAGGTCTCCATACTTGGCTGCCAAGTGCAATGCACTGTTCCCCTCGTTATCCACTTTCTTGAATATACTTTCCTTTCGGTTTTTCCATTTGAGCAAGAACTCATATAAGTGGGATTGCCTGTTCTCTACTGCCAACAGCACTATGTTTTTCTTCTTAGCATCCATGTCATGAATAGCTACCGGAAACAATTCCAGGATTTTCTCTACCAATTCTGTCACACCATTCTTTGCTGCTATTAATATCGGTGTCTCCAGCATCTCCCCCTTTATATGTTTCTCATCTATTGCACATTAAAAGAAAGATAAATAGTAATTACAAAAATTACAAAAGCTGAAGCACTAATCAATATTAATCCAGAAACGTTCTAGTGATTAATGTTTTACCATTATTTTGTTGCCTGGCCTCTCCTTTGGTGGTGGAAGATTGCTGCTTCTCGGTAATAGTGGCCAAAGTATCATCCCACCCTTCAAAACTAGATGGAGCTATCTCTCGAGCTTTACCCCGTAAGTTTTCGTGTGGATCACGGCCATTGTCATCGTACTCATACATGCGACCTCGTTGTAGAAGTACGTACACTAGTTGAGCACACCACACGTGTTTCTCCTTCTTCCGTCGTATTTTCCTTATTTTGGTTGACCCTTCGTAGTTTCATTAATAAAAAAATACTACATTGTTATGGGTTATATTATGTCATTTTTATACTTGAAAAGGGACCCCAACAAAAGACAGCAACGAAAACAAATGATGATTGATGAGGCGTAAGATGCCTTTCAAAAGAAAATCAAAATCAAAATTCGTGTACTTTTTTTTTTTTTGAAAATAAACCAATCCAAAGATACACGAATTTGGAAATTATTTATTTTCAAATTCATGTATCTTTGGATTGGTTTATTTAGTCGCGAAATTAATCTTTTCAGTTAAAAGTTAAAAAAAGAATGCTCATCCAAATGCCTCCAGTTAAATTGTAAACTCTATTATGAGTTTAGTTAAAATTCAAAATTGCAAAAATGGTATGCAAATTTTATGGAAGAAGCACGGTGTGCATATTAAATATACAAAATACATGACTCTACCATTAAATATGTTCATGGTGACGTACCTTTTCCAAGAATTACCAACGTTAGCTTATATGCAAACTTGAATAAATCCACACAGCATTTGTAATTGGCAGGAAATAACGGACTCGACGAATCCCTTGTTTCTGATCCTGAAGAAATGATACCAAAGGGTACTGAGATTACTAAACACCAAAGGGTAGTGAGATTACTAAACACCTATCTAAATTCTGTTTTCAAAAATAATTTTTTAATTTTCAGAAAAAAAAATAAAAAATATGTTTAATAAGGTTTGTTTTATAAAAATAGTTCTAAAAAAAATTATATTTCTTTTTTGTTTTGTTTTTACAATTAAATTTAGAGAACATATTTGATTAGTTTTTGGGGAGAGATTATTCTTATTGCTGAAAAGTTTTACAAATCTTACTACTAAATTAATCACCATTGATTTCCGTCAATTTAACGGTTATAATTTATTGAAAATTATTATTGTGTTTTGATTTTTAACTTTTGAAATAAAACAAAACACAGAAAACACATATTCCATTAAGTATTCTATAAAATAATTTTAAAAACAAAAAAAATCAAAATACAATCAAAAGAGACCCGCTTAAAGTTGTTCTCTTGATTTATGATTCCTCGATTCACTTATAAATAGAAGTAGGGATTTTCACCCAAACGGAGAAAAAAATTTGTATCGTTCAGGACCATACAAAATTCTGGTAGTACCTTTAACAAAAATAATTTTTTCTTTTTCATTTTATCCACTTTTTTTCATTTTCCTTTTTACTCTCTCTATCTGTGAGAAGGGAACACTTAATTTTGATGCTCCCTGCACATAGAAAATTCACTCCCAAATGAGGGTGTGAGAAACACGTGCTTAAAGAGTAGACAAAGCTAGATGAGTCTCCTTCCATAAGATGAAGCCCATCCTACTTTTTTTTCATCTAGGATGAGCTTCTTTTATGAAAGTTTTAAAATCTATCGTAACGTATGAGTTGTACCAAAATTATTCCTCACCTGAACATTTTGTCTCGGCTCCATTTGTAGCCATCTCTTTCGATGCTTCAACGTCTCCTTGAGTTCCAGTTTGATCTTTTCGTGGCAACTTATTTTTCAAAAATCGTGTCAAAGGGTCGGTCACTGGATATGTGGAAAATGAATCAAATTGCGGTTACAATAATTTTCTCTAAAATTCAGGAACAAATCATAGTGAGAGTATTGTGGCTTTCTTCTACTTTATCTATATATTATTCAGAAAAGAAATTACATCTGAAAAAAGAAATGATTTTATATGTTATTGAAAAAAAAAAACAACAACAACAAATAATAGATTCGTTTTACTTACGAACTAAGACAGATCTTTTTATCACCCTCAAAAGCTCCACACATGTCTGGTAATTTTTGGGATGACTATTTTTGTCTTTGCTTGTTGTTGGACATAGCTCCTCACAATTGGGTGCTGCTTCGAGCTTCTTAATGAATATTCCTTTCAAATAAATAACACACATATATTGTAATTTTGAACAACGAGGTTAAAAAAAATAAAATAATAACATTTCTTTAAATTTTTATAGTGTAAACTAATTCAGAAAAACATGTATTAAAAAGAGAGAGTCTAATTAGTTGATTTGTGGTGGAATGGAGACCCTCATATAAATGCTTAAAAAAACTGCTAAATGCCTTATCGTAATAGACAAGTTACAATAACTTTTCCGAAACTTACCGTAATAAACAATTGCTTCGAACCGTCGAAGGCGGCTACCACTTCTGAAAGCGGAAGGCTTACTCGCCAGGATATGAAGAGGAGAGGACCCTCTCTCGTTAACCCAGTTTGCAAGATCTTCGTATAAGTGAATTATTTGGAATGCCAAATCTGTCACACAAATTATATAAATAACTTAAAAGGGTTTCATTTAGAAAATAGATATCTCATGCTATATACATCACATCTATTAAACAAATAAAAGAAAATACTCCACGAAAATTGAATGATCACTATTAAAAGAAAACAACTATCCTATAACATGAGTTGTTTTTCCCTATGATGCACGGACACTGACACGAAACACGACACGACACGCCGACACGATAATTTTAAAAAATGACATTTTGTTATAAAAAAAAAATGACATTTTTCGACACGTTGGGACATGTTTTGATATTAAATAATATTTTCAATATATATAATATAATTTATATTTAATTTAATACATATAACAGTCCATAATGAGTCATATAACCAATCAAATATTCAAATTTTATAACATAAAATATAAAAAAAAAAATTCGTACATTGTTAATTTTTCATGTCAAATTTCATAACAGAAAAAAATATATTTATAAATGATTTTTTTAATTTTAGTTATTAAAAAAAACGTGTCCGAGCGTTGATCACGTGTCGAAAAAAAGTTGACTGCGTGTCAGAAAAACGTGTCGAAGAGTTGACTACGTGTCCCAAAATGTTGATAACGTGTCAGACTTCTTACTTAATGCTTATATTTTCTGTTTCGTCGAGCCCCGAGCTTGTGGTCCTTCTTTGAGGGTGGGTTCCATTGGATGAATCTCTCAAGTCAAGGTTCACGTACATAGCAGCAAGAATGGTCGCCTCGCTCGGGAGCCAAAACGAACACGCCTGCTACCTACTGTACTGGACCTTCGACCAGGCATTCTACCCTTGTCGAATCGGAACCAACGCGTGTTGAAACATTGACACGCACATTTAAAAAAAAAAACTCGTGTCCGGTGTAAGAGGTTTTCCCTATAACTTAATTATATATAATAACTTGATTTTCTTTATATAATAACTTAATCATTCCCTAGGGAGCTAAAGAGAATTAGCGTGTGTTGGTGTGTCTATACTCGCACATTAAAAGATGAATATATCACAAAATATAAATTTCTTCATCATCATTTTTTTATACAAAAATTCGCATATAAGATGTTTTTGAAACAATGAAAATATCTACAAATGAAAGTATCTATGCTCTTACCAAAATAATCTCCGGCAATTGCACAATGAAGAATGGTGTCACCGTCATTTCTTCTACATATTGAATAGTTGGGAGTCTTTGGATTGGCGTGGCAATGATAATGAAGGGAAAGGAAAGCTTCTTTTCTGCCATGGAGAGCAGCCAAAAAGAGAGGGGTCTCACCATCAACGTTGCGAATACTCAACAATGAAGGTGCTTTGGAAGCAATGCAGTGACACATTTTCACACTCCCCAGTGAAGCCGCATAGTGCAACGCCGTGTTCCCTCTCTTATTCCCAATTCGCAAAGCTTTTCGATGCTCATCTTGCTCGCAACAAATCAGTTTCACTAGTTCTTCGACCACGTTCTCTTGCCCATCAGAAACCGCTACGTGCAATGCAGTGTCCCCTGATCTCGTTATTCTGGCTTCGTGAGCCTTCTTATTCTTCTTGTAGATATCAACTACCTCATTCCATTCCCCTTCCATGCAAATTTTGAACAGTAACTTGTTAGTGTTTTCAACGTCTTCCCTACTCATCACTCTTATCTCTAGTTTCTATTACAGATACTGTTGGTCGGTTGCAGGTTGCCAAATATAGATAAGTTTTACTTATGATCTTAGTGTCAAATCTAACAAATGTTTCCCTCTTTGTTATAAAATTATATGTCGGACACGGTCAAATTCGCGTGTCGGAATGGTCAACGTGTCGGAAAAAATTGACCGCGTGTCTGACACCGTGTCGGAGAGTGTCGCCGTGTCGGAGCGTGTTGGACACGACTCTCCCTGTTTTTACAAGTGCCCGTGCTTCCTTAGCTACGGGTGTTAACGTGCTGAGTTGAGCCGAATTTTATCTTAAAAAAATTAAGTTTGTGTTTCAATGTGTTAGTCTGATTTAATTTGTGTCATATTATGAATATAATTATCGGCTTGTGGACTGACTTATTTACAAAAAAATAAAAGCCTAATTTGGCATGTTAAAAAAAATATAAAACAATAAAAATTTATCCAAACAGAATATACAATCAATAACGCTACTAATTCCATAAAGAATTCTCCACACAAAAAAATAATTTTACAAAGATTCATAATTTCAATGTATATCCAAACAACATAATATAGAACAAAATCATTCAAAAAGTCTATTTAACCAATAAAATCGGGTGAAATGGTTTGAGGAGAGAGAGGGTTATTATGAGTAGTATAAAAAATAAAATCAAAATAAAAAGTTCGTATACTAGACCAGCCTGAGAGGTTCTAAAGTCGGGCTTTTGAATTGGAGTTTGATGCTTTTTTATTAAACGAGTTTTTATACAAGTTCAAACATGATTCCAACAATAAATTTTGGATATGTAAACCCAGACCTTCACGAGCTGAACCACAGGCCCTTGTTCGTTTAACACCCCCTACTTAGAGCTATTGAGCCTAGACCTTGTTTAGTGGTTGAAGTTTTATTTTCTTAGTTTTGAGCATTTCTTGTGGATAAGTTGTATTGAACATGTTATATTTATAAATTTTTTTATTTACAAACTCTTACAAATTACACTATGTACTACGGGTAATACATATTACTTGAGTATGTACTACCCATTGTACATAGTGTAGTTTGTAAACAAAATTTGTAAATATAACTTACCTCAGTTATATTTACAAACTTGTATAAATTATAATATATACTCGAAAAGTATATTTCTAAATAAGTGTATAATGTAGTTTGTAAATATTTTTTTTTTAAATATAACTCTCTTTTTTAACGTATGAGAGCCGTTAATGCAGAGTTTATTATTCAGATAATGGATTGGGTTGTTAAACTTGTTAAATTTGGTGGGCTTGGACTTTCTTAAGTTTTGATGAAACAATATTCTATTGGTGAATTTGGGCTTCCTTATATAAGACAATGACTAGATTCTATGGTTAGTTGGTTCCACTTTGGTTTCTTTTGTTTGTTTATTGGTAGGATTGTAAATAAACGTAAAAACGAATAAGTAAATGGAATACTTTAATAAATAGGGTTAGTCATCATATCATATGTAAAGAGTACAAAACAATAAAATGATATAAAACAAAAAATCAAAATAAAAGACTTTGAATTTTTGTTGGAATAATTAGAGTTTGATTGATTGATTTATTTTCTTGTTCATTTGATTACTTTAGTTTGTTTCTCTTGATTAATTGAGTTTATTAGCAAGTCACTTTGTTTAACCTAATCTCTTAAGAAAAATCTTTCTTGCATCCGTTATTCCATTTCAAAATCAAAATAAAATAAATTAATCAACTCACAAATATTTTTTTAGAAAAATTACGTGAATTTACTAAAACACTATTATTCACCGGTAAGTTCTTTCATTTCATCTTAAAAAGCAATAATCTCATCAAAAACTTGAAATCTATATAGAATAATAATTTTTATTTTGTCATTTTGACTTCATTTTCAAAATCTGCACGGTCGTCCACTATACATAAATTAATAATTGATGCAAAACGAGATGAATTATGTTTCCGGAAATTCACAAATGATTTTTTTAGTAATTTTTCTGTTTTAAGTTTTAACTCTTCAGTTAACAATAATTTGTTTTTGTTCTCTTCCAATTTCTCATATGGTGGCTTAAAAAAAGAAAAAAGAAAAAGAACTATTGGGCAATACCCCCCCTAATGAAACCCGAAGGTCAGATTCTGAATGGACCCGTCAGCTTCAATCCAGGAACATGAAAACGACGACGTTTTCTCCGATGCTCTTGACTCCTGCCTCACTTTCAACGCCACCGCCGAGGACCTACCGGAATCCACCGTTTCGGATCCTCAACCCGTTTTATCCGAACCTGGAGATTCGCTACCCACTCCACCGTCTCCGGCGTCCATAATCCGGCGCCGGCCGATCCGTCGCGGAATACCGGGTAAGGAATCGTCAGATTCCGGTATCGAATCTTCCATCAGTTCCGATAGAGATTTGATCAATGGCGCGAGAAGGAGCTTCCGACATCGATCAAGGTATAGAAATCTCAAGGAAGATGAGAATTTGGGTGCGAAACCCGATTCGGATGAAGCACAACAAGTTAGCACCTCGCTAGCTCCAATTGCTGTGACGGAGGAGAACAATGATGAATCGACACTAACTACTGCTGCGAATGATGATGCAGCTGTCGATTCCGCTGACTCGGCGCCTCGACTCAGTGACTCGTCTTCGAATTTTCTTGAATTCATAGCGGGGTTGGTGATTAAGGCGTTAGGGTTTCAGATCCATTTAATCTATATGTTTGTGACTTATCCGTTGTTGTTCATATTTCACTGTTGCATGTTTTGCATCGACCCTTTTGGGACAGCGAGGAGGGGCAAGGATTTTTTGATAGGGATTTTGTGCAGAGTGCATGGTGTTGTGTTTGTGTGCATTAGCCCATTTACTAATAGATTGTTTAAGGAAAACGAGTCAATTTGGAGCGTGGCATTTCGATTTGGATGGGGCTTCTTGTGGTCAATCTATGTTTGTTGCATTTTGTTTGGTCTCCTGGTTTCATCGTTTGTGTTTAGTGGATTTTTGATGAAGTGCTTAGTGGAGAAGCCAATTCAGATAAGGGAGGTTTTGAATTTTGATTACACCAAGCACAGTCCCGTGGCATATGTGCCCATAATATCATGTGCTGGTGTTGATGTTGGGAAAAATTCTGAAAGTAACGTTGATGTTAGGAAGTGGATGGGTGAACGGGTTATACCTTCTAAACGCAAAGTGCAAGTCACTGTTTCATTAAGAGTGCCAGACTCAGGATACAACAGAAATCTTGGGGTCTTTCAGGTGCCTATCTCTATCTGATTCATTTCATTGTAAACAAAATTTGGCTTGGCATGAACTTCTCTGCAAATTTTCTTGCTCTCTGTCGTTATGTAGTTTACTTGTTCAAAATCTTCTCTGGATTTTAATGTATATAGGGTAAGAATGTAGTTTTACTTGCAAATTTCTTAGTTGTAAGAAATTTTGTTTATTATGCCACAGAATGTGTATATTATAGCTTTGTTGAGTAAGCCGGGAAGGAATTTTAGCATTTTACTTGTTCTGTTGTTCTGATTGCTCTTTGAGACTTCAATTAATAAGATACTCTATTTGCTTTTCCTCTTGATTTTGTGCTAAGGACCTCACAGTGGTAGAATAGGGATAGGATAAACTACATGGAAGGATGTTGATTGTCTGATGAAACATTATGCATTACTATGGTAGAATAGGGACCTTCGATGGGGAATATGTTATTTGCAACCACTAGTTTTGACTTTTGAAGATAGTTGTTTTTGGAAACTTTAAAGGGTTTGAGGCAACTCGTTGATCAGAAGTAAGTTCTGTATGGTAACTCCCGATAGCTTATCATTTCCATTATTTGAGTATTGTTGGAGGGAGACAACAAATTCTTGTATGCATGATTTTAGAACTTTACGAACAAATGTTGCTTCAAAGGAGTTCAAGAGCTTCATTTATTAGGAGTTTAAGTGGCTTAGAGTTCTATTCTCAGTGTCCTTGTCAAGCTATTTTTAGTATATAAGAACATATAGTATTGAGCTCTCAGACAATCCTTTTCCATATTTCAAACCATGTGGACTTTCCTATGAATTTTGTGTTAGACAATAAAACTTTTCACAGGCCTTTGCTTATTAGCTCAAACTTTTAGGTGAAGTGGTTCTTTGGCATGTCATTTTTTTTCTGCAATGGTTCCTATCAGTACGTTGTAGGTGCTCTAAAATATGTTATATTTATTAGACAAAGAAGGAATTAATTGTACTTGTTTCATGACTGTTGATCATGATTTCGTCACTCATCTTCTTAGTGCATGATGTAAAAATTGTCATTTCTCTGTAATTTGTATGAGTCTTAGACAAGTAGAACTACTGATGATAATTACAGTTCATAGTTTCCTGTTATTTGCTTTAAGTTTCTGCTTTGACTTATGTTCTTTTATTATAGGCCAGGGTAGATTTCCTATTGTCTAATGGCAAAACTATTGCAAGCTTAAGTCAACCTTGCATGTTAAGATTCACAAGTGAGCCTATCCGCCTAATCATGACTTTCCTCAAGATTGCTCCTCTTGTTACTGGCTATATATCCGAATCCCAGACTCTGAATGTCAAGATGAGAGGTTTCGTTGAAGGGAATGTACCTACTTCGTGCTTGAAAGTCACACTTGAGCAACGAGCAGAATACCAACCTGGTGCTGGCATTCCTGAAATATATGATGCATCTCTGGTTATTGAGTCCGAACTTCCCTTTTTCAAGAGGATTATTTGGCTTTGGAAGATGACCATATTTATATGGACCACGATGATGGCATTCGTCACGGAGTTATTTTTTGTTCTATTATGTTGTAGGCCTCTAATAATTCCGAGAACAAGGCAAAGAGTGACTTCTGCTCGCGGTCCTGCAACGTAAAACAATCTTCAGGCGCAAAGTTTGATAGTATTCATTTCCCAGGCTTTATTACAACGATGGAAGTAAGGTTTTTGTTTAACAGTTTAACCTATAGCATGTTCCGACATGTGATCTATGTTTAGTGAGGCATCCTAGTTAAATTACCCTTACAATCACAATGTACATGTTTAATAGCACGTCAGGTATAATGTAATTTATATAATGTAGCTAACCTTTTGCTGTTGTAATGACGAAAATATACATTGATTTGGATGTAATGATTAATAATAAAGGACACATTGTTTGATTACTCCTGTATGTGTTCAATACAGTTTGCATTTGGTCCTTATGGGATATTGAACTTCACGAATGTATATATAAAGTTGGACTAAATCTACTTTTTACCCAGATAGTATTAAGCATTAAGTGCATGTTTGATTTTGACTCATTTAATTTTATTTTTATTTTTAATTTCCAAAGCTCCATGCCTTGAGATTTTAATTACAAGAAATTTTAAATACAAAATAATTTTTTTTTTGGAAATCATTACTTTCTAATAAATAAGTTAATATAAATAGATACGGATTGGGTTATCTATACTTTCTAATAAACAATTTCGTTCTAATTAAAATTATGATCATTCATCTATGAATGAAATAATAAATAATAGAAGTCGTTGATCAAGATATCCCTTCTAGAAATTTCTTCATCTTATATCTTCTTTATCTTCTAGATATCCCCCAATCTCTTTTTATTTTGTGTGTGATTTTTTCAATAAATTACAGAAAATGGTAAACATTGTATTTTTGTAAAGAAATTATTTTCTGTACTCTATTTTCCGATCATAAAGAGCAATCTTATCCATTGCTCCAAGCGTGCCATTTATTATTATTATTTTCAATGAATTGATTAGATTTATTAGATTTTGAGAATGGTTGTCAGTATATCCTTCTCAATGTTAGATATTGTGGCTTTATAGTCCCTTTTATATATCGGGTGTGCATAGATGAGAATTTCATATCTACTTTGGGAGGCATAATACATTCTTTAAACTGCAACACTTTCTATGTTAATTAGTCTTCACTTTGAAATACGCTTAGTCATCAATATTTTTTTGATAAAGCCAAAGTACATATCATTGTTTAGTTTAGAGTATATTGTATTTGTTTCTTTCTCTCTTTAGGTCTAATGTATCTTTTTCAATTTGAGTTTTATTTGGCTTTGTTCATGATGAATTTTCTTTCTTTAGAAAATCAAACTGAGGGGAAAAATGTAGATGTGGCTGAAATACATTACTAAATAATATTTGTATCTTCATGTGATTTTTTCAAGTATGATATTTTCATATACTTTTATGTTTTATGGATCGGTTATATTAGTAGATAGAAAATTTAAATGAATAATTTTGACATTGTTGCATGCAAAAATTGAGTCGTTTATCTAGCTTGTTATAAGTCATGAATTTTGCATATTAACCAAAATAAAAGTATTGGTAAAGATATGGGGAAATTGTAAATGTAATGGTTATCGATTAGATAATTGAATTTTAATGACCTGGTTATGGATAATAGAATTTTAAGATAATGAATATGAGTTGGCTTAATTGATAAAAAAAACCCTTTGCTGTGAGTCGTGTACCGAAGGATTTCTTAGATATATATATTTGCTGTGAGTCGTGTACCGAAGGATTTCTTATATATATATATATATATATATATATATATATATATATATATATATATATATATATGTGAGGCAAGATCTTTGACACCGGTGTCAAATTTGAAGTTTTACACCTCATATGAGAGCCATTAGATCAAAAAGATCAACGGCTCTGATTTGTAAGCATGTGACACCATTGATCTTTTTTAATCTAAGGGCTCTCAGATGAGTTGTCAAATTTCAAATTTGACACCGGTGTCAAAGAATCCTACATATATATATATATATATATATGGAAAAAAGAACTATCATTTTAAAGGACACAAGATGTATCCTTTGTGTAAATCATAAAAGTTACTTTTTTTTGTCTCTCTTCAGTCACATCGCTGACGTGTAAAATGAAAAAAAACAACTTTTCAGAATTACACAAAGTTACTTTTTTTTTTCTCTCTCCTCAGTCACATTGCTGACGTGTAAAGTGAAAAAAAACAACTTTTCAGAATTACACAGTGTATGACCGGTCATACTCTGTGTAAGTTACTAAAAGGACACAATTTTAAATGACACACACTAAACCCTACATATATATATATATATATATATATATATATATATATATATATAGGATCCTTTGACACCGGTGTCAAATTTGAAGTTTGACACCTCGTCTAAGAGCCGTTATATCAAAAAAGATCAACGGTGTCACATACTTACAAATCAGAGTCATTGATCTTTTTTGATCTAACGGCTCTCAGATTAAGTGTTAAACTTTAAATTTGACACCGGTGTCAAAGGATCTTACATCATATATATATATATATATATATATATATATATATATATATATATATATAAAGGCTATGTGAAAGCGATCAAGTGAGTCTAACTCGTCGATGGGATGTTACATTTTTAATTACAATGTCGCACAAAACTTGCAGAAGTATATATATCTAAGATCCAGATGAGTTATTATAATGTTCCTTGTCCTTATCTCTTGTCCGCTCTGTGTTGATCTTTCTCAGATATCTTTTTGTTTCGGCATCTTCTTAACAATTGCCCTGTTGAATTGATTGTAACTACGGGTGAAACTGGTCGGGCTAGCCTACAGTGACTTACGGCTTGGACTACGTAAGGTCAGATCTGACCTAGTATATTTTGTAAAATAAGTCAGGTTTAGGCTTTGAAAAAACTTGTTTAATAAAAAGATCATAGACCCACTTTCACAAGACCTGACCTATAAGCCTACAGGCCGGCCTATATTGTACTATTTATTTTAAATAAAATAGAATATAATAAGTATGCCTTGAAGAAAAAACAAAAGATATAAATTTAATCAATTGCAATTATTTATAACTTAATTATATTCGATTATATTTTAATAGAAATCTAATTTTATTTCTTATGTAGGAGGAGCCAACATCTCAGCATGTTAGATTGTGTATATGAATATATTAAAAGGTTTTTAGAAAAGGTTATACTTACTACAAGCATCATAATGTGTTTGTTGAATTCATGTAGTTATTTTAATTTACATAGTATGTATTTGTTTGTTAGATCTGATGAAATATATGTTAGTTAGTTTGAGCATTTTGCTTTTGAAATTGACTTAAATGCAGATTATATGAGTTTTGTTGTGATTCATGATTCTGTTTGGATGTTGAAATTATGATTTTTGATTTAGCAAGAGAATTTGAGTATTTTGTAAAGTTAATTCATGGTTCTGCTTGAAAGTTACAAATTAACGGACTAACAGGCTAGGCCAGACCATTTGTTTTTTTATAAACAGGTCAAACCAGGGTAACAATTAGACGACTTGAGTCATGCCAAATTAAAATTTTTGGTGTAGGCTTGGACTTTTCAGGATAAAGGTTGGCCCAACACAGCCCAGTTTCACCCCTAATTGTAACTTATTACTTAAACACTATCACTTCGTTGGTTGGTGGATTTGAGATTCTTATATCAGGATAAGAATAAAAAGTCTTACACCCAATCTAAATAATTGATTTATTTATATTAATAGCTCAAATATCTAATACATAAAAATCGTTAAATATAAATAGAATCAATAATCAATATTGAGAATGTAACTCAAATCGATGTAAAATAATCTTGACATATATATATATATATATATATATATATATATATATATATATAGAATAACAAATTCCCTGAGTTTTATCTTAATTACATATTTATTTTAGACAATAATAAGAGCTCAACAAAGCTACGTTTTCTTGCTGGCTTGCTACTATTGTGTTCGTCTGGCTGGCCATAAGTTAGCGATATGATTTTCTACTGCCAAATATTTCAAATAACTTCTTCAAAGATTATTATTAATTCATGTTTAACTAATCAGAACAAGGATTTTAGTTTTTTTTTTCGTTCAATGAAAAGGAAGAAAGATTTTTGTTTCCTTCTTCCTTCACTTCTCTTTTTTTTATTTTTCAAGAATTGAAAGGAAGTATCGATTTTAAAATTTCATGATCACGGGGTTATAATATAAACCAATTATACACACCTACAGAATCAGTGCATTATCTCGTGCATTCACGTGATTCTGGAAATCTTTTGACGCAGTATATATGTTCAACAATTCAGCCATATCTGATCTTATCCGCTCCAATCACTACAAAAATTTCTGGATAAACTTCTTCTTTGTTCAATTAATATCTACTTCTTATCATCAACTCATCGCCAAAAAATTTCTATACCATGTTTCCCTTAAATGCTTCATATTCTTGAAGTTGGGCAAGTACTATACAATATACTCTTCTTCATGCGTAGGTTACCCCATTCTGCATATTTTTCATTAAACCCCAAAAGAAATCCCTTTCATCTCTTCATACGCTCAACTTAAATAATACTGCCATTTTCACCAGAAAAAATAAAATAAAATAATACTTCCATGTTAATAATTAATCAATGTAATAAATATTTATTTCTCCAAGGAAATCATTCTCTCTTAATTAATAACTACCAACTATATCTACATCTATTCAAATAACAACCAACTTTGCAAATTTTATCAATTAAAAAATAGTAAACTTATTTATTAATAATTTAAATATTTAATAATTAAAAAAAGAATAAAAATTACATGACATTAATTGAGCATAAATGAATTTAGTATACATGTCAAAAGATTGGTATTATATTTAATAAAATGGGGCACCAAACCTGAACAGAGAATAGAAGAGTCCATCTTCAATAGAACTTTTTAGGTGTTGAGCTAGCCAAGTTTGTAGGATACTGGAGTCTGTTAATTATTGATCACATTTGGGTCTAATTGTACACGGTTAAGCTTGCTTTAAGTTGATATATTTTAGTGTTGAAACTTGTTATCTTCTGGATCAAGAGTTGTTATGCGAGACGACATTGCTTGATGAAATATGGATGCCGCAAATGGTTGATTTGATTGGAACAGGTTGGAGTGGGTATAAACAAGGCATTCTGATGCTCCAATTAGTTTATGAATCAATGAGGTTAAGTAATAAGGAGAAGATGAAAGTACCTAGTCTTAGTCTCTCTTATTTATATTGTGTGACATGACTTATTATTAAGCTCAATTCTCTTCAATTCTCATTCAACATGAGAAAATTAAACCCCAATAAAAAACATGTGAGACCCATGTATTAGAAAAAATTATATGTAGGACCCATGTTAACACGGGAATCAAAGGGTGTGTAGGAAAATTTGAATTCTCATGTTGAATGAGAATTATAAAACCCAATTTTATTTGGCATAAACATGTTTCCAGCTAAGTAGGATGCTGGGAATTCGCAGTATGGCGTGCACATGCATCCTATGCGTTTTTTAGTTGTTAAGTCTTGGCTTGGCCCGGCCTTAATCCCTTAATGGGTTTATGCCTTAGCCTTTTTGGTGGCCCATATTTTTTGTCTAGATCAATTTTTTTTTAAAAATAAAATAAAATAAATCATGTAGACGTTTAAGCTATCTTACATTTTCTTATCAGCATGGATCTGATACTCATGCAACACAATTTTGGTGGTACAAAATATAAGGTGGTAAATTCAAATTTGCATATTACGATTTTTAATTTAATTAATTAAAAACAAATATGACGATTGATACATGGATAAGAAGAAACTGCTGTACCTTTCATTTTCTCTAGATGTATTACAGGGTTATTTACCATTCTAAAGTGGTGATTCTTCCTTACGTTTCAGCCCTAATACATGGTGATCTTTAAGTAAGAAAATGAAGAGAAAAGAAAATTGTTGCATTTGCTATTACATCACTCAGCTCCACCACTTCCTTTTCCTTTGAGGAAAGAGGCACTCTTGGTGAGCTCACGCACTGGCTTGTTTGTGTATCTGATGAAGTTATAGGCCCAAGTACCGGCCACAGCACCCAGAATGGGTGAGACCAAGTATATCCATATTCCTCTGTATTCACTGTGCACAATAGCAGGCCCCAAGCTTCTTGCTGGATTCATTGATGCTCCAGTGATTGGCCTGTCACATATTATTCACGCACAAATGAGTTCTAAGTCACATATTATTCATGCACATATGAGTTCTAAGTTTTTCCTTACTTCAAAAAGGTGTAACATCTTGATTTAATTGAATAACGTAAAATCCTACTCTAAAATGCTATATTAAATAAAGTTTTGGGATAAGTTAATACCCTGCAAACATCACATTTAGCAGTACCGTTGACCCAACTGCAAGCCCAGCCAACTCACCAATCTGCATCATTTAAAAATAAAATAAATAAACAAAAGCTATGAAGTAGGGTCGAAAATTATTCAAATATAGATTGAGACGCATCGAGTGCGACTTGTGATGTGAACTTCTACCCTTTATTCCAAGTGATTCATATGTTTATACAATTGGTCAATTTAAGCAACCATTTTTTATGTCAAAGGTCAAAGAATTTGGCAAGCTGATTTGCCAACCCCCGTCTGCTTAACAAATCTCAATCAAATTACTCAAAAGATAATATGACCCAATAATAAGCAAACAAGCAAGATTTTTTTTTATAAGAACAGGAGAGATTACCGCTCTGTTATCGGTGGCAACTCCAGAAATGATGAACATTAGGTAGAAAGTGATAATGAATTCGACCACAAAAGCTTGCAGGTTAGATCCAGCGGGAAGTGTTCCAGCAAAATGGTCATCCTTTCCCATGAATATAAGTCTTAGTGTTCCACTTGCAAGTGTGGATCCAACCACCTGAGCTACTATATATGCTGGCACCTGCAACACCAAATGAAGGAAAATTCAATATTAATGTAAGACAAAGTGAGACATTTAAGTGTTTTAATTATTTGGATATGAATATTATGGTTAGTTAATTTGGTTGACCTGCTTCCAGGGAAATCTTTTGGTGGAAGCATGAGCAAGTGTGACAGCTGGGTTGAAATGAGCACCAGAGATGTGTCCAACTGAATAAACCAATACCATAACAGCGAGTCCCCAAACAATAGAAATCCCGGGAAGAGTCACCACCTTGTCGTTGTTAAGGTTCACAACCACCGAACCACATCCTGCAAATATCAAGAAGTACGTCCCCACCACCTCTGTCACCACCTACATTCGATCAATACGGATGATCAAATTTAACCATTAGTTTAAGTTTTGGTATTCTAATCCAATTTCCAAGCTCAATATATATATATAATCGATAAATTGATTCGAAAAGAGTCTATATATACTGGTCGGGGATTAAAAAAACAACAAAAAAGTTTGGAATTTTATCAGGGACAACAATTCATTTTTGTAAAACCCATATGGGTTGGGAAACACAGCATTTGAATGATTTTTGGGTAGAGAAGAAACCACTTTTTGTATATGGAAAGAAAAGATTAGGAGAGACACCTTCTGCAAAAATGGCACACAGTCTTCCTCGATGCCGTCACACTTTTTGGAGGCATCACCGTTTAAATTTAAAACCACTTCGTTGTTTCCATTGCTTGATGAATTATCAGCCATCACCGACAGAGAATAAGGAAAAAAGCTAAGAAATGAAGCGAGTGTGAGATGAATGCTCTACTTTGTCAAAGGGATGCAATGTTTTTGAATCCGATCGAGACAAAAAGTGATGAAGAACCGAGCGAGCAACTACTCCAATTTATGGGCACCCCAAAGTCCTAAAAGAGGGAGAGACAGTGTGCACAAGGAGGGACAGATTTAGAGATTGGACTTTTTCGGTTTTTCCAGAGATTCTGATGTGTCAATGAATTTTTTATATATTTTTTCTCACCGGGCAAACTACCTTATGCTCTTTCCCTTATTTTAATTTCTGGATGATGCATAGATATAACGATGGAAAGTGTGACATTGGTAGATTGTGAGTTGTGAATTGTGATCTAAGAAAAGCGGGAGTGGATCCTCTCATGTGCTAATTAACATGATCATGTTATGTGAGACAATCATAACCATATATGGGGTGAGTTAACGGTGATAAGGGAGAAGAGAGAAAAAATATAAGAATAAGAAGTTACACAATAATCACCGTTGATTTAATTATTAATGGTTAAGATCCTCCCACATGACATGATCATGTTAAATTACACATGAGAGAATTCATTTTCAAAAAAAGCATTGAAAGCTAGTCCAAGAGCCCAACTACCCACCGGAAATACAGAAAGGATCATGAATGGCACTCGGGACTCAGCATTAACGTAAGACGAGATTCAGGCTTATTTTTGGGCAATATCTCCTATATTGTCTAATGTCTGGCAAAGGTTTAATTGGAAAACGGGGTTGGCAATACAAAAATTAAAAACAAAACATGGTAAAAAGTGGATAAGATCGAGTCAATAGATGAGGACTCTAATTTTAGTACATGCAATAAACCATGGATTAAAACTAATTTTCGCTGTTTCTTTATTTTATTTATTTTTTTATTTAAAGTTTGCCATACTTTTCTTTGATATCAAATCCCTTGAAAAGATAAGATTGTTTGCTATTAATGTTATATCTTGATATTGAATTTTCATAAATCCTTTGAATTACTTCCAATAGTAAGTATTAATAAATAAAAGTAAAAAAATTAATGTTTTAAAAACTCATAAAGCATTTAATAGTTTCTTTTAGGACTATTAAAAAGAATCATTAAAAATATATAATTATTCTATTGTTTACAATTGAAATTTAATTATAAAAAATAAAAACAGATCTTTTTAGTTTTTGAAACTAACAGTATGAAAATGAAGGTATATTTAATTAAGCCGAACTATGTCAAACTTATATTTTAGATACACGCTGAAAATATAGTTGTTTAATGGTCATCATCTTATTGGACTCTTATTTAAGTTTCACGATATTATTAAATATAAAAATTTCGAGTAAATAAACAGTGATTTAATGTTGCATCCGTCCTGTATTAAAAACAAAAAAATGCTGCATCCGTCCAAATTGATGACTTAGGGTCTGTTTGATTAGTGTTTTAGAAAATAGTTTTTTGTTTTGTTTTGAAAATTAGAAGAAAAAATTATTTGATAAAAGTGTTTCCTCAAAATAGATTTAAAAACAATCACCGGTTTTCAGTTTTTAGAACAAAAATCTCAGAACACCTTTGAGTTGTTTTCGTTTTGATTTTTGCATTTTTTGTTTTGAGAATTATGAAAATACAGAGAACACTCTGTTTTCATTAATGGCAATAGTGTAAATACTAATATATTATTATAAGTCATTTACAATTTCAATTTTTTTCCCTTCTTCTTCATTCTTTGCACCTCTAATTTTCCTCTCAATCCCTCTGTCTCTCTCCTGTTATCATTATCCTCTTCAATCAATATTCACGGAGAAAGAAGGAAAATAATTCCTTGTTCGTTTGAAAGTAGATTTTGCAATATATCTGAGTTTTCAATATATCTAAACAATCAGCACTGTTCTAAAGGAACAACATTCTTCTCTGAGGAAAGTTACTTAAGCACTTGACTGACGTGGTTTTCAAGGATCAAACAGTTTGGATGAGCAGATTCCGAAGAGATTCACCAATGATTGAATCCCAGCTTTTGGGTTTTTCAAGTGGGCAAAAGCGCAAATGGGATATGAGCATTCTCCTGAACTGTACAACTTGATGGTTAACATATTGAGAAAATCCAATAATTTTGGTAGGACTTCAAGTGGGTAATAACCACATACATATAAGTTCATTCAATTTTTATTTTATTTTTATGTTTAATAAGTCAATAGCATAATAATTAACTTTCATTTGATTAAAAATTATTTTAAATAACAATTGAAAATTTTATTTTGTTTTCATTAGTTTGCAACGTGATTTACTTTAATCTTAAAAAATAATTATAATATGATTTGTCATGGTGTTAAAAATATATTTAAAATTTTACATATAGTTAAAAAAAACTACAAAATGAAGTTGAAAATAATCAAACGAGTTTTCTGTTTTCTAATTTTGAAAATATGTTTCCAAAAAAAAATTATCAAGCAAATTTTTTTTTTTTTTTTTAAGTTTTAAAACTCTTTTAAAAACAATTTTATCAAGCGAATTTTTTCCTTCTTTTTTCTTTCAAATATATTATACATGCATTTACACATATCTTGTACTTTTTCAAAGATAAAATTAAGATATATGTACTTTTACAATGCTACTATTATTTATATGCGTATTATCTCACGTTTATATAATTTTTAATTAATTATATGGTTTTACAATTATTTAGACATATATTTTATATATTCTATTTACTTACATAATTAAATTTAGGAAAAATTTCACTTTTACCGTATGTGGTTGCATAATATATCATTTTATCCACCATGATTTCAATCAGTGTTATCAAATTCGAATCGGTTTACGACTTGGTCGGGTATTAAGTCAATTCGTTGCTGGTTCAACCAATGAGTTACTGGTTCAATTACTTAAATGAATATATAAAAAAATATAATAAATTAAAATTATAAGAATTATAACTAATAAATAGAGTTAGTTTACTGACAAGTGTTGTAATATGATCCACATGGTAGATTCAAATCTCATTAATGGTATTTTTCAAGTATTTTGTCCAAAATTTTACAAGACCTAGTTCAGGATCGATTTACCAATTTTATATTAGGTCAAGTGCATAACCAGTCCAATGCCTAAACTGCATTGGTCAGGGGTCCGACTTATAAGTCAACAGGTCACTTTGACCGGGTCATGTCGGTTTTTATAACACAGGTTTTAATCTTTCACTTACACCATTGTAGTTACAAGATATATCACTTAAACCATTTGTCGACCTATTCATATAAAACTCTTTTTTTATTTTTATTTTGATCTTATATAATTATAATATTGCCAATGAAAATTACAATAAAATTAAGTATTTAAGATTAAATTAAAAATTATTTATTTTGAAAGTATTTTAAAAACCATCTTAAATTTTTTTTTATTTATTAAGGAAAAAATCTTTAAAACTAAAAATATTATTTGAGATAAATTAAAGAAGAATTATATTAAAAATTCATTTATTTAAATGTATTTTCATTGATAATATTATAATGATGTCAAATAAAAATTAAAATACAATAAAATAATATTTGCCTTAAATTTATTTTTATGATAAAAATAAAGAAATTTTTTAAAAATTATTTTAATTTATTTCTCGTAAATACATTTTTAAGATAATAGGCTTTTGATTCTCTTAAATAATATTTTTAATTTTTAAATAAATTATTAAATTTACCATAACTTTTGAACAAATAATTTCTAATTAATTTTGTTATACTTTTAATTGATACTATTATACTAATATAGAATAAAAATTAGAAAAATAAATTTTACCCTATATTTTTAATCAATTTTACATCATTTATGATTTTGTAACTACTATACTAGTGGAGCATCAATTCTCCATTTATGAGTGTATCTCTATATATACATTATGCTTGTATTGAAAAAATGTGAGCTGAAACAGAATCAGAATTTTACCCTGTCTGTCTGCTCTACTTTTTGTCCCCATGTCTCTCATTAGTCTCTTTTCCTCTATTTTATAACAAATTATCAAGGCACGGTAGTCTAGTCTATATAGCCTTTCTCCCTGAAGGCTTCTCTACCCGTACACCTTGTCACTCTTGCTCCATCTTAGTCTTTCTGTTGATGTATACCCATAGGCGGATCCACATACAAGAGAAGGGGGTAAGTGCCCACCCTTGAAATTTGATGTAGAAATACAAAAATATCTTTATCTTAAAATTCAAGTTTTTCCAATTTAATTTCGGGGTAGGATATTATAACAACCAATTAGGGTTACTACCAATATTACTACTAATCAATTTCACTGTTAGATCAATTATGTTGATCCAATGGTTATATTTATTTTCATCTTTGTATGGTTATGATTCCCCATATTTAATACTTTATATTTATTTTCAACTTTGTACCTACCCCTTTAATTTTCCTCCTTCTATTTTATTTTTTCGTGATTTTTTCTCTCCTCCACCTTCATTATTTAAACTTAACAGCGGAAAACTCTATTACAGACCCATCATTTGCATCTAGATACTGATTCATCTTCTCTCAAACCTCAATCTCCATTATTGGAAGATGGAATATTTGCTTCTTCCTCCATCATCGATCCAGTTGAGTCGCAATCCGTCAAATATCTAGATCTAAACCAGACCCATACAGTCGGCAGCTGCTCGCAAGTCACAGTTCAGACCAGAACTAGATCTATATGTACTTGAACTTAGTGCCCACCCTTCGTTAATTTTTTGGATCCGCTACGGTATACAGTATACCATAAATTTATTTTTCTCATCAATCAATCATTTGAGAAGAGATCTTTGATTTAAAAAATAAAATAAAATGGCTGACGACAGCACAACCACCTGCATCGACATCCTCCATTCCATCATCCTCACTCCTCTTGGGGTTTTCCTCAAGTATGGTTTTCAAGTGGAGTTCTGGATCTGTTTGGTGCTGATAAGCGGTGTGCGATGGAGAAGAGTTGATGCAGGCCTGTCTGTTGAAGAGCTCGACTGGGGATGGCGATCGGTACAAAATATGACCATTGGAGACTGCAGTAGCGGTGGACATATTATCACATAAGTTGTTCCTCATCGATTCCGGTATCTAATAAGTTTTTCGACCCACCTTGTTTTGTTTACTTATTCTTCTTTTTTATCTTTTCTCACCCTTCTTCTTTTTTTTTTGTTCCTTTTAAATTTTAACTTTTTAATTTAGAATTTGTAATTATTAGGACACACCAACTTGTTACGAAATCATATTGATAGCCTCTACTCGTGTTCTAGCTCGTCGGAGAACTAGATTTGCCTCAATTGTTTGTCTCTTGCCCTTAGCCTTATTCAAGTTAGCTTCTGCTAGTTCAAGAGTTTGTTGTGCTTCTTGCGGATCAATGTCACTACCCCTCTCTGCATCATTTACTAAAACAATGATTTCATTATTGCCTATTCTAGCAAAACCTCCCATTAGAGCCATTGTTAACCATCGGTCGTTAAGGCGGATTCTCAAAATACCTATATCTATAGCTGTGGCAATAGGTGCATGATTTGGTAATACTCCAATTTGTCCACTATTAGTAGATAAAATAATTTCCCTCACTTCTGAATCCCAAACAATTCGATTGGGGGTTAATACACAAAGATTTAAAGTCATTTCTTCAATTTGCTCTCCATTTCTAAGTTCGTAGCCTTCGCAGTAGCTTCATCAATATTACCTACCAAATAAAAGGATTGTTCGGGAAGACCATCTAATTCTCCAGAAAGAATCAATTTAAACCCTCTAATTGTTTTTGCTAGACCAACATATTTCCCCGACGAACCTGTAAATACTTCTGCTACGAAAAACGGCTGTGATAAGAAATGCTCTATTTTTCGTGCATGTTTTGGCTCATTAAATATAAAATTATTATTTTATACAAAAAAATATAAAATTATTATATATTGAAAAAAAATATCTATCATTTTAAACGACAAACAGTTAACCCTTATATATTATGGGTTTTATAAGAGTTATGTTGCAGGAAAAATGACTGCGTAATGTTATAGAGATTCCTTTTGTGTACCGTAATTTTTTTTTCTTTTTTCTTCAAAAAGTGTGGGCCCCACAAGATGTTGTGTGTGTAAGAAAGTTTGTTGTGTCATGTTAAATGACAAATGCAAACCCCATATATTATACATCTTTACTAATATATTAAGAGAAAAATGTGTATAAAGGATGTAAAATTATGTCATTTTAAGTGAGAGAAAGAGATAGATAAAGGAGAAGAGAGAGTGGACAAAAAAATATAAAGATGTGAGTTCCACTTCTTTGTGAGAGTGAAAAAATATAAGTTGTGTTATTTAAAATGACAAACACTTTTTCCATATATTAAAAGATTATAAGTTAAATTTAATGGGGTTCATTTCCCTGAAATGGCCTGCAACGGTAAATGAGCAAAGAAGTTGGGTTACTTCACTAATTGGAAGAAAGTGCTTGTTTATTTCTTCAGAACCCAACAGATGTAAGTATTTAAAGTTATGTCTCACTTGATTACTTAATTGCTGGTAGTACGCCCATGATAATTGGTTTTTACTCAAAATGACAAATGGTATTGGTACCCACTCAAGATCAATATTCCAAGAAAAGGAAATATTAGGTAAGATAATATATTTCTATTGCTTATAAATTAATATGTGGGTCTAGCCAGACTTCACGTGTCAAAGAAAATGCCAAATGCATAGATTTGCTTCCACGAGACATGTTGATTTATTTTACTAGCAACTCATTGTATAATTTGCTTCCAAATGATTGTGTTTGTGTGCAATTAAATAATTGTTTATATAGTGGGTGGAAATGTTTTGATTGCTTAATAATATGTGCAATAGTGGTATTGTAGGGACCCCACCACTTGGACTTTATGTCCAATTTTTCTTTACAGAAAGTTTTCATTGAAGTTTGTTCGATTCTTCATCATAACATTACAATCATTGTCATTTTAATTTCTTTGAATTACTTGGTTATATGTATAAATGATAATAATTCAATGACATATTTGACGAAGTGTCAAAAGATATTTGACAATATATCATCTTCCTGCTGCTCTGGAGTAGTAGTGAGTATCTCATGTTTAAAAATATTCTTATTGGATATTTGAGAAATTATATAATTTTGCTTTTGAAGTAGTAGTGAATGTCTGACAACAATCCTTATTATTGATTTACGGATTTTTCAATATAGTGTTATGTCAAACATTGTAAAAACCATATTTTCACGTCCTTGAAGTGAGTGAAAATAATTATAATTTTTGATTTGTTGGTTCACAAGTATTGCTTAAAGTAAATGCCAAATTTATGAAATAATCTAGCTATTTTGAGGGTTATAAGCATAAGTTATGATATAACCTCTGAAGGAATGATAGAAAATTTAACACTAGATCAAATAATGAAAAGGAAATAAGCCAAACGAAAGTGGCTAATGAAATTCATATGGCTAATTAAATAAGGGCAAGAATGATGAATTTTGCGCCATTGAAAATACACCTACATTATATATATCCCAGAAGGATTGCTTAAAAATGAATGATTTTTTTGGCCATCATTATTATGAATATTCATGGTATTGTTCCTGAAGAACTATAACTTCATAGCATGATCTAACTGATCTAACATTTATAGCTGATCTAACATATCATCCTAGATATGACTAAATCAAGTTCTACGAACTTGATTGAAGGCTCTAGAAGAGCTTGTATTATGAAAAGTAATCAAGCAATAAGATAATATCTCCTAACAAAAGAATGCCAATGAAATAATGTTTCTTCATCATTTATATAATGATCTTAAAGTCAGATATTTATGGCAAAAAGATTATTTGATTCTGTAGAATTTTGACCAATTTCTTTGTCATTCCTTGAAGTGAACGCAATATATTTACATAATCATGAATATGGTCATGGGCATGTCTGCAACAATATTTGCAATAGCTCAATAGCTCTAGAAGAGCTGATTATTTATTTAGATGAATTAATGAATTATTCGTCCTATTATATGCCAAATGATTATGAACCTGAAGTTCACTAGCTTATATGCTTTTAAGCATACCCCCTTGAACTTGTACGTGGATGTGAACATGATGTTTCCCATATGCTCATTTTTGGTTGATTTATATATGTCCTTATGTCATCGGAAGGTTTGACATTTACACGAGTTTTTTGAGACTCAATATACAGAATCAAGTATTTGGAGCCCCTGATGGGAGACTTGTTTATATGATTCATTGATTAAATATTTAATGAAAGACATTTCCCGACATTAGGGGGAGAAAGCCAACAGCTTAATGAATCCCGAGAAATTATTTTGAATGAAAAACCAAATGAATTATTATGGCCCATGTACAAGTATAATTGAACTTGAAGTTCAAAATATCATTAGCTTGCAATCATTAGTAACAAAAATGCCATATATATTTACTGATCACAAAGGAGTGACTAAATCTCATATCCCTACAAAAGAAAAAGAGCCACTTGTAGTGGAGAATTTAATGAGATAAAAATTTGGTTGAGTCTAGATAACACCGGAAGCAATAATGAGACTAAAGACATAAATCAGCAAAAAATAAAAATAAGTCACTTATCGCGCCTCCTGAAAAGGTTAATTATGAAGAAAGCAAACCCGGTGAAATAAATGCAGGGCTGCTAATTGCAACAAATCCCGGGAATATGGAACAATCAAATCTGAATGTCGTGTGAAACGACAAAGATTTGGTTGATGTTGACATAATAGTTGCAATACACTATAGTGATATAGGAGAAAATATGATAATATCATCTGTCATCGGCGACATTATTGCCTTCTCAGTAAGTTTTACTGTCTCAAGAGATAATCTGGATCTAGAACCGTAAACCATTCAAGAATTCTAGAAGCATTCAAATGGGAATGAATGGAAGAAGACAATTAAGAATGAACAAGGGTTTTTGCAGAGATCCTACATCAATTTGATGTTTATTCTCCTGTAATGAATTCTATCATGTTCTGTTACTTGATCAGTAGTGCAACTAAGATGCATATTAAGATGCATTTACTGGACGTCGTGACTGCAAGGTCACTTGACTATGATATTTGAAAATCCCCGAAGGATTCTCTATACCTTAGGAATACTGAGAATTCCATTGAATATTATTATGAAAGTGGGGATTAGAATGAAATCATTGTTGATGATGTTTTTGCGTTCTCAGTTACTTATAAAAATTATTACATATGATTATGAGCCATATTCTATTATTGAATGTCATCAAAGGCAAGATTAGGCTAAATGGGAGGAAGCATTCAAGGTTGAATTAGCTTCCTTAGCCAAACAAGAAGTTTTTGGGCTCATAACTTGAATCCTCGACATTGTAAAGCTTGTTGGATATAAATGGGTATTTGTCTGAAAACGAAATGTGAAAATGAGGTTGAGATATAAAGTTCGACTCATCACCCAAGGGTTCTCTCAAAGACTTGAGATTGATTATGAAGAGACATATTCACCTATAATGGATATGATTACATTTCATTTTCTAATTTGCCTAATAGTCTCTGAAAGACTGGAAATACGTCTTATGAACGTTTTGATGACACACATATATATATGGCTTATTTGATGGTGATATTTAGGGGTGGTGAATGAATCAGGGGCCTTTGACCCGGCTCGTGAAGGCATGAGCTTACATGTCTAAAATTGATTGTTAGAACCAGGCTTAGACTTACATAAAAGCTCATTTAATAAAAACGCATCAGTGTCCAATTCAAAAGCTTGACCTTAGAGCCTCTTAGGCTAACCTAGTATACTAACTTTTATTTTTATTTCATATTTTTTATACTACTGATAATAGCCCTCTTCTCTCCTCAATCCATTTCACCCCATTTTATTGGTTAAACAAACTTTTTGAATGATTTTATTCTATATTATGTTGTTTGGATATACATTGAATTTATGAATCTTTATGAAATTATTAGTGTTGTTGATCGTATATTCTGTTTAGATAAATTTTTATTGTCTTATTTATTTTTAACAGGCTAAACCAGGCTTTTATTTTTTGTAAATAAGTCAGGCCACAGGCCGATAACTATGTTCATAACAGGTAACAAGTTAGGCCAGACTGACACATTTAAACACATGCTTAGCTTTTTAAGATCAAAGCTCAACCCATTAACACCCTTAGTGATATTTATATGAAAATTCTTGAAGGATTTCCTATATAACATGTGGAAAATAATGAAATTCGCAACATATTTAACATCGAGCCGCAAAGATCATTAAATGATGGTCTTAAACATATTATTATCTTGGCTTGCAGATCAAACGTTGAGCATTTTCCAAAATTGGTTATTTCACCAGTGTTTCTATATAAATGACCTAATGACGATCCATTCACTAGAAGTGAATACAGATCCATTTAGACCAAAAGAAAATAACGAGAAAGGATTGGGACGTGAAACTCCTAATCTAAAATGTCATAACAACACTATACTTTGCAAATTGCAATCAGGCCTAATATTGCATTTGCAGTGAAAGTTCTAACTAGACATAGTGTTTTCTTTTATTAAATTGGAATTACGTTAATCATATTTTGGTTATCTTCAAGGATCCATCCATGATGTGAAGATTCTACATTGGTGAAATATTTTGGTGTTGACTATATAATCACAGATTAGAGATGCATCTCTCTGTTGAAGTACCACAATGTTATGAAAGGCTGTAAAGTTAAGCCTAGTCGCTACTTCCTTGATAGATTGTAGGGAGAGCGAATAAATTATGACCCTGAAGGATAGATCCCTGAAGGTTTATTACTATACTCTTTTCCTTTGTTAATTTTTTTTCCAACAGGTTTTTCTTAGCTACAAATTTTTAATGATGTAGTTTATGTAATGATTTGGTAGCGCATGTCATATACTCTTTTTTCTTCGCTAGTTTTTTCCCACTAGATTTTTCTAGCAAGGTTTAACGAGGCATGAATATTAGTGTAGCGATGTCCATAGGAAATGTTATAAATTGATATAATTACAATTTACTATGGAGAAGATTATGAAATTGCTATTATGGAAAATTGTAACTATTACTCCACTGCCTTAGCTCCAACAGTAGTTATATGGCTTAATTGAGGGGGAGTTATACACACTGTACTCTTTTTTCCTTTACCAAGTTTTTATCCCACTAAATTTTTCTTGGAACGGTTTTTAACGAGGTAGTCTATGTTAACGTATAACAAGAGCTTGTTTATTAATATTGTACTCATTTTACTTCGCTAAGCTTTTATCTCACTGGATTTTTCTTAGCAAGGTTTTAATGAGGCATATCCATAGTGTATAGTCATCCAAGCGGGCGTATTGTAAAATATGAATGACGTTACCGTTGGCACTAATGATGCAGTTGTGGATGGTGTTACCGTTGGCATTAACGACACAATTATCTCTCACTTATAATTTTGTAACCACTACACTAGTGGAGCATCAATTCCCTATTCATGGTTATATCTCTATATATACATGATGCTTGTATTGGAAAATATGAGCTGAATAAGAATCAGAATTCTACCCTATTTGTCTACTCTACTCTTTGTCTCTATGTCTCTCTTCAGAAATTTTTCCTCTATTATATATATTTAGAGTAAACACCCTTTTTGGTCCCTGGCAATATCCACGAAATTCTTTTTAGTCCCTGGCAATAAAAAAGGACCAAATTGGTCCCTAAAATTATGAAAAAGGGCCACGTTAGTCCTTCTGTCAACTCCTCCGTCACGGTCAAACTAACGGTGCCCATGTGGCACGTTAGTCTGCTGACGCGGACTGGACGTTGAAGAAGAGACGACGTCGTTTAGGTATCTTTTAATTTATTTATTTTTTCTTTCTTCTTCTTCTTCTTCTTTCTTTCACCCATTTCCTGGTTTCTGAAGGATATTTACTTTTTTTTTTCCTTTCTTTCTTCTTCTTCTTTCTTTCACCACTGCAGTGACCGCATTTTCACCATAAAATTCATCTCTATCTTCTCTGCAGAGCCACGAAGAAGCCATGGATCCCTACAAGGTAACCTTCTTCGCTTTTCTTTCACATTAGATTCCTCAAATATCAAACATCTCCTTAAACCCTCTTCTGCTTTGAAGCTTTACTTTTTCGAAGCAGTAGTCCTGATCTACATACATTCCCATGCTTTTCCATTCCATTGCTCTTCTATGCTATGCTATGCATGATGCATCCCTTACGCTCCAACACCGACTTGCATTACATGCATCATCCCCCAACGACAACGACGTCGTCGTTCAGGTCCCTCCCCAGCTTCATCAATCAGCTAAACGACACTACAACCGTAAGAGGAAACGAAATATATGGCCTTCTCTATAAATGGGTCAATTACGCCCGAGGGTGGCGCCCTCGTTGGTTCATCCTCCACGACGGCGTTCTCTCTTATTACAACCGCGAAATCGTCACTCCGCCTCCAAGGTCATCGGCTTCCGCCACATCGACGTTGCCACACATAGCGATTCTACTCTCACCCACCGCAAACCCCTCGGCCAAGTCCACCTCATGGTTAATTTCACCTTTTGATTAATTCTTCTCCATTTTTTTTCTTCTTCTACCTAAGCATTATTGTATTATCATACAGTACTAATTAAACTTCATGCACGTGATCATTATTGTTTCGTTTCGTTTCGTTTGGTGTTATATATAGGTGTGTTCCGTACGAGAGCACAAGTCAAATGAGAAGAGGTTCTGTGTGTATACCGGAATGAAGAAGAGGCTCCATTTGAGGGCAGAGACCAAGGAGGATAGGAACACATGGGTGGAGGCCATGCTCTCCGTCAAGGACGTGTTTCCTCGTACGTCCAACTCCATTGCAGAGTCAATCTCAGAAGCAGAGTCAATGGTGATTTCCACACACAGGTTGAGGCAACGTTTGTTAGAAGAGGGTGTGAGCGAAGCTACTATTCAGGAAAGTGAGAACATCATGAGAAGCGAGATATCTCACGTTCTCAGCCACAACCACTTCAATCTAAACCTAATTGACACGGTACATAAATGCACGCACTTTATTAATTAATACAATATGATAATTGATAATTGATATATGATAACCATCAATGTGCTAGCTAATTGTATTCAATTCATGCAACTCTGTTTTCTAGACAGAGAGGGTTGATCAGGTTGAAAGCCAAAGGCAACAATATTTAAAGGATGATGGAGATTCCTTTATTTCAATGCTTGAGAATGATAGTGGTATGTGGAAAGTTAAACCTTTTAATTAGAATCCATTTTTTTAACACATTTTAATTTTAATTTTTTTAACTGTTATCGTATTTCGAACAATGTACGATTCTAGAAATGAGTTGGCTTATAACTATGTTGTGACTTGATGACTGCACAACAACCTCATCTGGCGATATTGGTGATGATGATGAGCGTGGGGAGATTGAAAGCAAACAGGATATCCCATTGCCATCTATTACCCTTTGAAATGTCATGTGTGACTTCAAAGAAACCTTTTGCACTAGCTCCTATGGCATGAACAACACGTTCTGGGATCCTTTCCCTATCAAAGTTTGCAAGCTTCTCCACTAGATGATAATCCTCCAGAAGAATTGGACCTGCCAAAACAAAAAACAAAAAAAATCATTTCTCCAAATTCACAACCACAAAATCAAAATCAAAAATCAATTTACTCTGTTTCAAAATTTTCAATAGCATATAGATAATTGATACCTCGAGATCCAACGGATAGCGATGAGTTATTGTTCCAAACAGGAGCACCAGAATTAGTGGTCCAGAACGGAGAATTGAACGCGCTTGATGGACAGTGCTGCATCAGGAATCAGTTAAAATCTTAATAAGTGAAAGCAAACAAAAATCTACCCAATTAACGAACAGAAAGTTACCTTGTAGGGATCCATGGCTTCTTCGTGGCTCTGCAGAGAAGATAGAGATGAATTTTGTGGTGAAAATGCGGTCACTGCAGTGGTGAAAGAAAGAAGAAGAAGAAAGAAAGGAAAAAAGAGAGAGTAAATATCCTTCAGAAACTAGGAAATGGGTGAAAGAAAGAAGAAGAAGAAGAAAGAAAGAAAAAAAATTAAAAGATACCTAAACGACGTCGTCTCTCCTTCCAGGCTGTCCAACGTCCAAGCCGCGTCATCACACTAACGTGCCACGTGGGTACCGTTAGTTTGACCGTTACAGTGGAGTTCACAGAAAGACTAACGTGGCCCTTTTTTTGTTATTTTAGGGACCAATTTAGTCATTTTTTATTGTTAGGGACTAAAAAGGACTTCGTAGATATTGTCAGGGACTAAAAAGGGTGTTTACTCATATATTTAAGGATGATAGTTTCTCGTGTCATATGAGATAAAGTTATTTCTTATAATCTTAAAATAATATCATTTTGAAGTTAAAGATTAAAAATAAAGAATATTTTAGTAAAATTTAAGGTACAAGAAGGAATGTAAATTTTCTAAAGTACCTTTTATTTTTAGTACTAAATCCCAAAACCATACATTTTCGGTTGTAGAAAATAATGTTATCTCCTGTCACAAGAAAAATATTATATATATATATATATATATATATATATATATATATATATATATATATATATATTTATAGGGTTTTATAAGAGTTATGTTGTAGGAAAAGTGATTGCGAATTTATAGCGATTCGTTTTGCGTGCTGTAGTGTTTTTTTTCTTTCAAAAAGTGTGGACCCCACAAAATATTGCGTGTGTAGAAAATTTTGTTATGTCGTGTTAAATGACAAATGCAAATATATATATATATATATATATATATATATATATATATATATATATAAAAGGTGAGAGTATAAGAGGTGATGAGGAATTAATTTTAACAATTCAATCTTATATGAATAGTTTGAAGTAATTTTTTATTTTGGTAAACAGTTTGAAGTAATTTTATTTATATCTAATCTTAACACGTGTACGATTATAAAAGTAAAATTAAATCTTCTCACTTTTGTGTGTCTGTGTAAAAAAACATCAAACACGATGGTGTTGAATTATCCTTTACTTGAAATTTTATTTGTTTATTATTTAATATGATGCTGCGTATTTCATCATTCTAAATGTTTTCCTTAAAAAATTACACATTAAACGTTTTAGCATATTTTAGTGTAGAAATTATTAAATAAAAGGTAATTAATATAATTGATAACAATGTCATATCTTCTTCTTTTATTAAAATCAATAATCCTAGGTTATTAAAATTGTTTTTTAAAATTTATTTATTAATTATTTTGTGCTGTATTTTTTTATGATTTTTTTAATCAATTGATAAGTTATATATTAAATATTTCAACAATTTTAATCTACAATTTAATCATTAAATATTAATTAATATTATTAATGAAAATTTTATATTAAATTTAATTTTACAATTCAGTTTGATTTTGATAAGAAATTTTTATTAAATAACAATTAACATAATTGATCAATAATTTAATTTTATTCTGTATGTCGGATTTTGTTTTTAGTTAAAATATTTGTTTTGATTTTTTTATTTTCTTTATTTATTTTATCCTTTTTTATTTTTTATTAAATAAATAAGTTCATATATTGAATACTTGAACAAATTTTATCTATAATTTAATTATAAAAAATTAATGACTAAATTTTCTCTCTTTATTAAAATTGAATTCAAGTGTTTTCTTTCTTCTTTGAATTTAGTAATATTAAATTATTAAAATACTATTATTACTTATTATTTTATTATTATTTTTGTTCAAAACAAAGATGTAAAAACTGTAATAGAGAGTTTAACAATCTTGAAAATTCGAAAGAACTTCACATGATTAATAGGAAATGCAGTTCTGCAGACACGTCAAAAGAACTATCAATTAATTCACGAGGCGAAGCATACGAGAACGTAAAAGTCTGAAAGATACGGATGCTGCGTAAACGTCAAGGTCTAATTTGATGGCTGAACTTCGTTGCAACGTTTTTGACATGACGAGTAGTTTTTTCACATATATATATATATATATATATATGAGATTTACTAATTTCATCTTACATGAGATAGTACTTTCATGTATGGGTGGCAAAATAGGTTCTGACCTGCGGGTTGACGCGTGACACGACCTGTCAAAATGTGTGTCGTGTCAACCCGCGGGTCACTAGGATCGTGTACGAGTTTAAAAAAATTGACACGTTTTTATTCGGCTCGGGTCACGGGTTAACCCGCGGATTCGCGTGTCAACTCATATAGTGGATATTTTGATAATTTTTTTATTTTTGGATATAATATTTTGGTCATTTTCATTGAAAAGTGTAAAAACTTTCTTTAGGATAAGGTTATTATTACTTGTCTATTTTTGGTTGTTTTTAATTTATTTAAAAAAAATTATTTTTTTTGTTTTTTTATTAATTTCAAATTTTGCGTGTCGTGTCGACCCATGACCCGCAACGGTCGTGTCAGGGTACATATTTTTTGACCCGTTAACAATGCGTGTCGTTTACGGGTCGTGTCGTTTCGTGTACGTGTCAAACGCGTGCCGTGTCGGGTTGACCCGTATTGTCACCCCTACTCTCATGTGGGTGATACAAATATGTGGGGTTCACAATTTAAAAAGAAAAGAAAAAATTGGCACAAAATTCTATGGGTGTATGACATGAGATATGTATCTTATGTAGCATGAGACTATCATTTGTATATATATATATATATATATATATATATATATATATATATATATATGGGAAAAATGTTTCTCCAGTTACTGCAGACAAGTTATCTGCATTTTTTCCAAAACGACATCGTTGTGGTATTGAAATCTTAAAAAATTATAAATATAAAGACTGTTATAACCCTGAAATAAATTAAAATTACAAAAACAACATGATTTCCGCCTTAAAACGACGTCGTATTGGGCTTACTGCAGATAACTTATATGCAGTAACTGCAGAAAAAGCGAACCCTTTATATATATATTGAAGAAAAATCATCTCCATATATATATATATATATATATATATATATATATATATATATATATATATATATATATATATATATATATATATATATATATATATATATATATATTTTGGAGATGATTTTTCTGTCATTGAAGAAAAATCATCTCCTGTCACCTCATAATAGTTTTTTTTTTCTTTAACTTTTTTTTATGTTTTCAAAATAATGGTGGGACCCACCAGAACATTGTTTCTATGGCATGAGACAAAAAATTGCCTGTAACATAAGAAAAGATTTAGCCATATATATATATATATATATATATATGGTGGGTTTTATTAATATCATGGAATAGAAGAGAAGTTCTCTCATGTTAGAGAGACAATCATGTGTTGTGGGACCCATTCATTTATAGAAAAAGGAAAAAAAGATAAAAATGTAACACGAAAATCGATGTATGTGTAGGAGAAAAATATTATTCTACAACATAAGAGTATATTTTCTCATATATGGATTCGCTTTTACTATAGATAATTTATCTACATTAATGAGCTTAAAATGACGTCGTTTTGAAGCGGAAATCAAGGTATTTTTATAATTGTAATTTATTTCAGGGTTATAATAGTTTTTTTCATTATAATTTTTTAATATTTTTACCCAAAATGACGTCGTTTTGAGAGCGAATGTAGATAACTTATCTACATTCACTTTAGAAACATTAAAGTATATATATTATATATATAGGGTTCGCTTTTTTTACAGTCAATGTAGATAACTTATCTACAGTGAGCCCAAAATGACGTCGTTTTGAAGCGAAAATCAAGGTATTTTTGTAATTATAATTTATTTCAGGGTTATAATAGTCTTTTTTTTAATTTTTAACCCAAAATGACGTCATTTTGGGAGTGAATGTAGATAACTTATCTACATTCACTTTAGAAATATTAAAGTCATATATATATATATATATATATATATATATATATATATATGAGTTTTATGTCTCTCCTTTTGCAAGAGAGATTTTTCATTTTCCTACTGATAGAAAAAATGGTGGGACCCTTTATTTGTAAAAAAGTAGAAAAAAGCAAACACGGAATTCGAAGTTTCAGCAGGAGAGATATAAAAATTTCTGTCACCGAAGAGAATTTAAATTTTAAATCCTATAAATATATATATATATATATATATATATATATATATATATAGGAAGGTTATACTTACAACCTTTTATTTTTACAACCTCTTGCAATCATATATCATAACCGTTGATTTCCGCCAATCAACGATTGTCATTTATTATGAATTAATAATTAATTAATAAATTTAATTTGCGAAAATCATAACTGTTGATTGGCGAAAATCAACGGTTATGATATATGGTTGTAAGAGGTTGTAAAAAAAAAGGTTGTAACTGTAACCTATTCCATATATATATAGGCTTTAATGTTTAAAGTGAATGTAGATAAGTTATCTACATTCGCTGCTAAAACGATGTAGTTTTGGATTGAAAAATTAAAAATTTATAATAAAAAAAACTATTATAACCCTAAAATAAATTATAATTATAAAAATACCTTGATTTCTGCCTCAAAATAAAGTCATTTTGGTCTTAATGTAGATAAATTATCTACATTGACTGTAGAAAAAGCGAACCCATATATATATATATACTAGTATATTACCCGTGCGATGCACCGAGTAAAAAGATTAAAATTTTTGTCGTCCGTCGTGATTGGTTAATCGCACTGCAAACCTTATATTTACAAAAAATTGTGTTATTATTTTGTTCTATATTTCAGGTGAAAAAAATTACAGCATTGACATAGAGCTTTACAAATATCAACAACAAACAAAAATCTGCTATTCAGAGGGATAAATAATTTTGCATACAACTATATCATAATACACCATAATACGTTATAATACACCATGTTAACATGAGAAAGGGATATAAAAAGAAAAATGCGTACAAATCATTGCTAACTATAACATTCATCAACAAAATCAAG